ATATTTTACCTTGCCATTACGAGCTATTTTACCTTGCCATTACGAGCTATTTTACCTTGCCATTACGAGCTATTTTACCTTGCCATACCGAGCCATTTTACCTTGCCATTACGAGCCATTTTACCTTACCATTACGAGCTATTTTACCGTGCCATTACAAGCTATTTTACCTTGGTATTACGATCTATTTTACCTTGTCATTTCGAGCTATTTTGCCTTGCCATTACGATCTATTTTACCGTGCCATTACAAGCTATTTTACCTTTCCATTGCGAACTATTTTACCTTGTCATTACGAACTATTTTACCTTGTCATTACGAGCTATTTTACCTTGCCATTACGAGCTATTTTACCTTGCCATTACGAGCTATTTTGCCTTGCCATTACGAGCTATTTTACCTTGCCATTACGAGCTTCTCTACTTGCACGACTATTATCACAAACTTGTTGGACAATCAACGAAATTGCAGGCTCTGAATCTCGACTACTGAAAGTTTTTCTAGCTAACACCACTCAGCAGCTCGAAAGTTTTCCTGGATAATAATGCACTTCGTAGCCTAGGCGCCTCGGTGCGTGTTTCGGACGTAGCAGTCCCAGGTCACGCTGTAACGCTATGATAATAATGAGACGAAATCATACCAATTCCGTGACAAATTGCCCACAGACTTTGCGGGTTCGCAGAAGCTCAGGGCCAAAATGTCCTGAGCCGCAGTAACTGTGCAAAATGAGTGTCAGATTGCAAACTTTTTTAGCGCGACGGAATAGTTTGGCCTTGGATAAATGTCAGCAGGGGTACATTTTGAATCGAACTTGTGTCGTCAGGTGTACAGTTGTAATCGAACATGTGTCATCAGGTGTACGTACATTTGACATTTGTACTCGAATAAGTATCAGCAGTTGTACATTTGTACTCGAATAAGTGTCAGCAGTTGTACATTTGTACTCGAATAAGCGTTAGTAAGTAGACGACAACGTGTCAGTATTAACGGAACCATGTCAGAGTGGGCATCAGTGCGCAGTTGCGTGCCACAAGGTAACGTTCTTAGGCCTGTTTTGCTTGTTGCTTTTATAAATGATCTGCCAGAAGTAGTGTCCAGCGTGTGCTCCATGGATTCCAACGACACAAAAGTTTATAATACAGTGAAGGATGCGTCAAATAAAGCGCAATTACAAGATGATCTTTACAGTTTAGTTACCTGGGCTGATACGTGGCAGCTGCGGTTTAACGCAGAGAAGTGATTAGTGCTTCACCTCGGAAAAAGACAATGAACAGCAAGATTACAGTATGAGGAGACATGGTGGCAACGAGAGAGTAATGATTGAAAAAACTAGCTTGGAGAAAGATTTGGGAGTTTGTGTCGACAAGGAGCTGAAATTCTCTGTCGCGCCTATCTTGGGTCACCAGGATCTGGAGTCAATATAAACGCCTAACGGTAGCGTTAAGTCGTAAGGTCCAAAGAAAGCTTGATACTTCAGTGAATATTTAATTCTTAAAACCACCGTAAATCCTGCACATTCAGAATTTAATTGGAAATAGTCCGAATGGAAATGAAATCTGATATTAAATTTATTATTCTAAAAAGTTCAAAGGACATGGTTCACTACTGCTTCAAACAAGAATCAATTGTAAAAGAAATTGAAGATTTCACCACCACTCAAATCTAAGAAAAGTGAGCATTCCACAGCTTGGTTCAAAAATTCTCGTCGCTTGAAAAACTAGACACGAAGACGTGTAAGAGAAGTCTTCATAACAATAAACGTGAGCTGAAATATTCCCAATGCTCATATCAGCGGAATAAGGTGTAATGTATGGCACAAAAAGTGGTAAACACAGTGATAACTAGCAGTTTAGGCTAATTCGAATCATGTATTCTAGAAGCAAATTAGTTTTCTTAAAATAGGCTACCAAATAATAATCTCAGGTGCTATACTGGCCTGCGGTCGCGTCGCTGCAATTAGACGTGAAATTACACTCTGGCTAGACATTGATTACTCACGTTGCTCTGATGGCTCCGAAAATTGCGCTTAACTACTGAAAAATATTCTGTTATTTGGTCGATACCTGCGCAAACACAGAAGGTTGCCATACATTATAAATAAAAAGTAGCAAGACAAGCAATTTGAAAAATTCTAATATCTCTCAACTCTACTGAATAATCATTTCACTGATATTCTAAACAAACTAGATAGCCAGACTGTTTCTATCAAACTAATACTTATTGATTTATAATGTGCTACACATAATTTGCGTGCTGGCACTGACCACTTGAACCACTTGAATAATTCAATCAAAGAGATTCAAACTTCTCTTGTAGAAACATAACTGTCAGCATGCTAAAAACAAACATGACATAGCTAAATCAAATGGCGAGTTAATTAAACCTTAATCGGTTAAATATGATCACTGAATTTGAATTTTTTCGTAGAATCTTTTAGTTGGGTTTCCGTCGCAATTGGTTTATACTCAAATTAAGAAATTCATATCCAGGCAATATAATGAAGTTGTTCCCGATTGTAACTGTAGGAACCTGATTTATTGTTCTTTTCCCAACTTCCGTAATGCATCTGAGACTGTGCTATGGAATTCAAAGTTTTGTGCAATAAATTTTTTCCGAATGTTAATCTGGGTGTGGTGTTGGTTAATAACTTTAAAATCAGCTCGTTCTTCAAGTATAAAGATACTCTCCCCATTTTTATGCGTTCGTCCCTGGTATATAGATTCAGTTGTGCAGGGTGCGCACTACTGTCGCAGTGCACAACTGGCTGGCGGAGCACAAGGGCGGAAGTTTTAGAACGAGAACATTACTTGCGCATCCTCCTCATCCAGCTGTGCGTGTCCTTGCCGAGCAGTGCAATGTTCCGGTGTCCGATAGTGATTTGGAGTTCTAGCTTACACGACCGGTGTTGCTGGCCTACGAATTTTAGAATCCCTGTATATTTTTAAGCAGAAACTTTGTTTAAATGCAGCCTTTAGCTCCTATCCCCTTGAAATCGTAAATATATAGGCCTTTCACCTCACGTGCTATGATTTTTATCTTTTGTCAATTTATGTTTTATCTTCAATGTGAATTTTAGTTTTAAAGTTGGTTCAGCTTGTCTTATAGGTTATGAACTGACGATGGAGCTGGAATCCGTTGCGAACGTTTTCATTCTTAAGAAATGGTAAATTCTTTGGCTGTATACTTTGCTTATAAATTTTTGATTTGCTCACGAAGTTCTGAGCCATAACTCTGATCATGAAGTTCTGAGTCACGACTCTGATCATGAAGTTCTGAGCCGCGACTCTGCTCATGAAGTTCTAAGGCGCGACTCTGCTCACGAAGTTCTGAGTCACGACTCTGATCATGAAGTTCTGAGCCGCGATTCTGATCATGAAGTTCTAAGGCGCGACTCTGCTCACGAAGTTCTGAGTCGCGACTCTGATCATGAAGTTCTGAGCCATAACTCTGATCATGAAGTTCTGAGTCACGACTCTGATCATGAAGTTCTGAGCCGCGACTCTGCTCTTGAAGTTCTGAGTCACGACTCTGATCATTAAGTTCTGAGTCGCGACTCTGCTCAGCTCATGAAATTCAGAGCATATATGTGACAGAAATTACTCTGTAAAAGGAATTCAGAACAAAGGCTGTTCTCAGTTTATTCCTAGCAACGTATATCCTAAGAAAGTTCAGAGTTTAAAAGCTGTTCTCAATTGTTTTACTACTAAACTTCTGCTCAAAAACTCTAAATCTTTCAGTTATTTGCTCTAACTCTACACGAAGCCTGAGAGTTGCAGGTACGGAGCTTACTGTTCTTTCGTGAGAACACTTTTTTAAAAACTCAAATCAACTCTCACGCGGAATTAGAAATGAATATCAGTCACGCAACTCTGAATAAAAAGTAAAACTAACTTTTCTTTACCTTTTGTCTTGAAACCTAGTACCGACGGCAATCTCTCTCCAGAACTGACTCCTTAACTCATAAATAACGTTTTTACCTTGAAGTGGCTATCCTAACCCTATAACTGAATGTTGTTACTTATAACTTACTTCTTTCCCTAGAACCGACTATTCTTACCTTAGAATTGACAGCTCTTGGCACATAACTGCCTGTTCTTCTTACCTATAACTTACTGTTCCTACCTGTATTGGCTGATCTTGCCTAGAACTTATTGCCTTTACTTAAAACTGGCATTCTTCACTTAGAACAGACATTTATAAACATCGAACTGACCGTTAGTATCGTCAAACTAACTTTTATTTCGTAGATCTGACTGGGGCAAATCATACACAAAAACTAACGCACCTTGAAAGCTTCATTCAATTTTCACGGAATTAACACATTGCTTGAAGGTTTCGAGTTCAATAAAATTAAACTGATTAAAAAATCTTAGACGATCAGCTTCTAACGTACGTTACTTGAACAAATTGTAGTGTGTAAATTTTCCTAAGTTTAAGCTACAAATTAGTTATCGATTCAATCAAGAAAATTGCTTCAGCTCAGCTGCGAACTAATTGTGATGTGAATATTACCCGAAGGTTGAAGCTGTGCACAATTTTTTGGTACACGTTGCAGGTCGGCTCTCACGACATTTGCTAGTACATATTAATGCCAGAACCTGTTTTTGTGGCAGACTGGCTTACAGGATCTTTACTGGTATGCAACGTACTGAGGATTTACGCTTGCATTAAAACGTTAACGCTGGAAAATTATTTTTATCTCTCTCAAAACAATATAATTCAATCAATTACTGGCGCAGCAACTTTCACGGCACACGTTGGTAAGCAGTCGTCGGTCTCTGATTGTGGCAGCTGGCGAGGCACACGTCAGACAGCAGTCATCGAGGCCAGATTGTGGCAGCTGGCGAGGCACACGTCAGACAGCAGTCGTCGAGGCCAGATTGTGGCAGCTGGCGAGGCACACGTCAGACAGCAGTCATCGAGGCCAGATTGTGACAGCTGGCGAGGCACACGTCAGGCAGCAGTCGTCGAGGCCGGATTGTGGCAGCTAGCTGGCGAGGCACACGTCAGGCAGCAGTCGTCGAGGTTGGTACTCACGGCAGGAGTCAGGTGAGTGGGATACCCGAGCTATTTGTTGACGATGGCTAAAAAATCAACTCATTTCCACGTAACTCTGGCACAAAGATGCTCAATTTAACCATTTAAAATCCAACGATACAATTCGACTGACACATCCCGATCAGCTTATAAATGATTGTGGAAAATGCGAACAATTTCTAAGTATACAAGAACATTTGATATATAATGATTTGCGTTTAAAAATTACTTTTTAAAGACCGCACATCATAAGAAGCCAGCGTCTCCGATTTCACGCATGTATAATGAATTTATTGTTTTATAGTTGAATATTTAAAAGAATTATTTTTTTAAATGTGTAAACTTTTTTTCATTTTTAAAATTATTCATTCTGTCAATTGATTCAAGCATTGTCTCCGACTTTACTCAAGTGTGCAAAATTTCAGATCAATTGGACAGGCAGAAGAGTATTATTGCTTATAAGATTTGTAGCAGACAAAATCAAGAAGTGAAGAAAAGTGCCGTAAATAATATGCATTTAAAAATTACTTTTTAAAGACAACACTCCCAAAGAGGCCATTGTCTCCGATGTTACACATGTACAATTAATTTCTAAGTTTATTTGTGAATATTAAAACAATTTCCTTTTTTTTAATATTTAAAAAAATTTTTTAATTATTGTGTCAATTGCAAGTGTGAAAAATTTCTGATCGATTGGACAATTAGAAGTGTGTTAAATATCGACTATAAGATTCGTAGCAGACAAACAAACAACAAGAAGTGAAGTTAAAAAGAAATGTTGTAATACTAATAACCACGATTTACGTGCAGACGTTATCAAATGTATCAGTATCACCTTCGTGCTTGCAAGGGGCAGGTCACATTTATCGGGATTTACACTCAGCAGGAGCTCGCATTCTATTAAATATATGACGCGATCGGAGATCTGATTTTCGATTGCTTGCACTTATAATTCATCACGAACTCAACTATTTTCGATAGTAATGCGCAGAGATTTAAGCACGTTTATTAATTGCCTACAGTCATTTAGTTTAAATAGAAGTTAAAATTTTAAAGTCAGTGTCGGACACTGACTTTAAAATTTTGGAATCCTTGTATATTTTACAACACTTCTCTTTAACTTCACTTCTTGTTTGTCTGTTTGTCTGTCTGTCTGTCTGTCTGCTACAAATCTTGTAATCGAAATTTAATACACTTCTACTTATCCTATCGATCTGATATTTTGCACACTTGTGTAAATTTGGAGACAATGCATTAATCAAATGTCAAAATAAATGATTTTAAAAATTAAAAAAATTTTTTTCAAAATTAAAAAATTTGAAAAAATAATTTTGTCAGCTACAAATCTTATAACTGATATTTGACACACTTTTACGTGTCTAATTGATCTGAAATTTTGCACACTTGTGTGAAATCAGAGGCAATGCATGAATCATTTAACAGAATAAATAATTTTGAAAAAGTGTATCTATTAAAAAATTTATATATATTAAAAAATTGAAAAGTAAATTTTTTCAATTTTCGAAAATTAGATGAGAAATTCATGGTACATCTGCAAGATTGGAGATACTGGATTCTCTGGAAGTGTTGTCTTTAAAAAGTAATTTTTAAACGTATATTATTTAAAGAGAAGCCTAGTTTAAATGCAGCCTTTAGTTCTTATCCACTAGAAATTGTGAATAGATAGGTATTAGGTTTATTATGCTGTCCTTTTCCTGTAAATTTAGGTTTTCAACTTCTGCATTTTTTTTCTTTTGAATCCAAACTTTATCAATTTATTTTTGTATTTGTGTTCTAGATTTATCAAACTGACGATGGAGCTGGACTCTGAAACGTTTTCAATAGAGATAAGCTGAAAATTTGTGGAGTTTTCTTCGTTTTTAAATTTCTAGTGGATCTGCGATTCAAGCAATCTAGTGACATTATTACTTGTTTGCTATCCGTTTATTTCAAATGTTGATTGTTAAAGCATATTTAGGCAGTCATGCCATTTCACTAACTGACGGCCCTAGAAATATGACTAGGGTCGTCAAGTCTCAATAACTATATACTTACGGTACACAATATATTGGTGTCAATAACTATATACTTATACAATATATGTCCCAATAACTATGTAATCATTGCATTTATTCTGAGATAAACTATAAAACCGGCGTTATTTGTAGTTTTACTGGCGTAAACTGGTTAACTGGATAAAACTTTTTGTTTTACTGGTTTTTACGTAAACAGGTACCTTGCATCGGGAATATTTTCCTTGCTAAAATGAGTAAAGGCTTCCAATGAAGTGGAATTAGTTTCATATTATTTAGGTTTAAACTTGATACTTTCAACAAGCAATTGATGGTTTACCAGTAAACATGAACCAAAACATAATCGTGCTTTCACCATACGATCCAGATACTCCGTGAGACGAACTTAAAGGATTTCCCATTACACGGAAGAGATCAGGATGTCCGGCGGTGGACTTGTGGTCTTCGGTCTGGTGGTCAAAGCACTTCTCGAAGTCTGGAGTGTGCAAGAGGCGGGTGTGGCGTCGCAGGTGGCGTGCGCGGCTCGTTGCAGTCAACACGATGCCTGTGGAGGATTCCAGTGGAACACTGATGCAGTGAGATAATACGATATTTCTTGATGTTGACAGCATTAGTTAATCAACGTACGCTGCTTGGTCAAAATAATTATTTAGTTTATCGTTTAATGTTCTGTGAAACCCTTTAGAAACCACTTTCTTGATAATCAAGGAAATCAATTAGGCTCAGATGTGGATTACGTATCGAGATCGTACGTTTCAATCACACAACTTCTATGAGCACTTCTTTCAGCTAGATCAACAGGGCAGGGTGGCCCAGTGGTTAAAGTTCAGAGTAACATGATTGACGCAGAGAGGTGCGGGTTCGATCCCAGCTCTGTGCACCAGTTTCTGGTAAGACTCGGCAAGGAGGCCGGGCGGTTAACCCGAACAGAATTGGAGCAGTGAGTTGCGAGTTCGAGACCGTAATAAGCTGTGAATGTTCTGCTATGTTATGAATCGGCGACAGGCCTACGGCCTGATAAGCGCTGAAACCGCTATATATATATATGTATGTATGTCAACTGAAACTTCTTTTTCTCATTGAATACGATATGTCAAGTTTGCATTGACTTTGCCTGTGTAATTCTGGTTTAAAAGTAGATAAATCCCAATGGCTATACAGCCATTCACTGTTCTACTGGAGGTATTGGTGATTTCGGCGATAGAAGGCGTGATTTTCTAAATCAACTAACGGTCAAACTCTTCTGCCGCTTCTGGATCGATACTTCTCCGAACTTACCCGTGAACTCGTCAGAGGACTGAAACACAAAACAGAATTTGTGCTCAACCATGCAGCTCACAACTACCTACCTATATTCTGAACAGATCTGCCTGAAATTTAAGGTATAAATAATTATAAGCAATACGCCACGAAAGTAATTATTACAGATTATTGCGTCATTTCATTTTAAATTAAACCAAAATACGCAACTTTTTGGCAACTGAACAGCTCCCGACTCCGTCAATTCAGAACGGATTTGTCTGAAATTCACAACATGAGTTTCGAATTTATTGAAATTCATGAAATCGGCAATTCGCCGCTATAGGTTTTATTAATTTTTTACCGATTATTACTTTGTGAGAACGAAATTTAAAAAATTAGGTCAGATTAGGTTAGGCTATATGTTATTACATAATGAGGATCTAACATATCATACCAAAACCATAATTTTTAAAGTTTAGTTTTAATCATAACAGAAGAGGCCTGAAAATATGTACGTAATATCTCCTAGCGCGGCGTATTAGAATAGAAGTGTCGGCACTGAAGAAATAGGGCCATGGCCTGTTACCGATTCTTGAATTTTTCGTGACTTGATTCACAAGGGATCCGGCCTTTGGAACCCGATCTTTCCATAACTGAAGATTGACGTACCTAACTGACTTTTGTGGCGTACCGTAGCTGCCTAATCACGGCGAGAAGACATTAAGGATCAAAAAGACGATCTTGATTTAATTCTTTACTATCCAGCTACCCTCTTGCCATGATGAAATCCTGCACATTCAGAATTCAATTAGAAATATTTAACAAATTTGTGATTCTAAGAGCATTTAAATGGGCAAAGTTTAAGTAATAAATTACATGAAACATAATATTCGGAATGTACTACAGCATGAAATAACGATAAATCGAAACTACTTCAATGTTAAACGAGCTCGTAGGATGAGCATTTCACGATCCGCTACTTTCAATTCAAGTATTCATGAATTGCGTTCTGAACTCAGAACGAGGACATCGAATAAATCCCTGCACATTGGTTTCAAAATTTGCTATTTATTTCCATGCTATGAATTTCAGGCAAATCTGTTCAGAAATTGAAAGATTCGTGGGCTGTTCAGTTGCCAAAAAGTTGCGTTTTTTTATTTTAATGAAAACAAAATGACTTAAAAACATCTTATGAAAAAATCTTATGACGGGAATGTTATGGTGGAAATTGAGGTTTCTGTAGATCTGTTTTGTCCATTTTTCTATTCTTCGAATATTTTTCATTTTCTTTGAATATTCTGCTTATCAGGCTCAAACAAATAATGCTGAATTGGCACGAATCATTTCCATTAATTACGAACATTTGCAGACACGAATCATAATGTCGCTCACCAGACGTCTCGGACAAAAACGCGGCCTCTCTCACGGCCGGTCTCGCGGCCGTGATTCCAAATTCAGTGAGCGTGGAATATCTCGCAAAATACTGAACGTAGCTCGATGAAACTTGGTACACATAATCATTAGAGCCTAACGGTGATGTTTAGCTCGTGACAATTTTTCAAAATTCGCCTTAAATTGTCACGAGCTAAACATCACCGTTAGGCTCTAATGATTATGTGTACCAAGTTTCATCAAGCTACGTTCAGTATTTTGCGAGATATTCCACGCTCACTGAATTTGGAATCACGGCCGCGAGACCGGCCGTGAGAGAGGCCGCGTTTTTGTCCGAGACGTCTCACCAGTTGCTTCCCCATTGCTACCGCAGTGCCGTCTGGTGGTGGACGCTTCGGTGCCTGGCGCCGTGAAGGGCATGTTGACAAACGTGTTCAGACTCAACTCGTACAAGACGAACTACATCCTGTACGAATTCCCTCTGCCGCCAGGTGGCATCAGTCCCACGTGAGTGCAGCTGATATTAAGATGGTAGACCTTTTAATACAAGCTACGAACAGAATTTCTGCCTAAATTTGCGACGTACAGATGTATATTTGTATGATTTTTGTATTTATCGCTTTAGAGTGAACTAATAATTCAAATTTGTTAATACCGGAAAAGTTTTCCTTTCATTTCTCATTTCGCAATTGTTTTACATCAATTTTTAGCTCCAGCTCTCATAATTTTCTTATTATAAATTTATATTGAAGAATATTAGTCTTCAATTCCTCTTCCTTCAAAAATCAGCAGGAACTTTATGTTCAGTCTACATCCACACGAATCGATCAATCGAATACCCGACCATGCAAACAATCGAGGTCGGTGCGCTGGCACCTTGAACGTGGCCAATGCAAAGAGTTCACTTTAACGTCAGGTTATTCCTACGTCATTCAGTGAGCTTTTAATGAACTCATTGACTAGCTGAACAAATTTTAATTTTTGTCTTTGCACTTTCGTGCAAATTTAATATACAAATCGTATTCACGATTTGTATATCACGATTGCGTATTCAGTGAAATGGAAAGAGGTACTGAGGAGAAATAAATGTAAAAGATTTTCATCATGTAGCGTAAGTAGATACATTTCAAAGAACTTCACCGTCCAACGTAAGTGAATTCATTTCATAGAACTTCACTATCTAATCTATCTATCTATACGTTCCAGAGACTATAAACATCATACATAAATGAGTATATTTAAAATTTCATTAACCTGGAACCTTATCCTTATTTAACCAAGTGGATAAATTTCAGAAACCATTCAATGTCGTTTCTGTCAGGCCATAAGTTATTGTGGTATTTTGTAAGGATATCAGGCAATTAAGAGCCATAAATTGATTTAGGCAATACTGCCCGTTTGATTTGATCACGTAATTGGACGTCCAATGATTTTATGATTAATAGGTAATATTACGGTAAAGCTCCGACTCGGTAAAATGAGTCAGTCAGGTATAAGGCGGACCTTGCGAACGATACTCTTATCCCACTCGTGTCGCAATGTAATCCCATCAAACCATGGAGTGCATCATTAATTTTCTAATATTAATAGGGAATTTACCTGGTCTCATTCGAGTGTTATAGTTGCTTTAGAGAAATGTTGATTCTGGAACATATTTTAGTATAACATTTAGTAATTATATAAGTGGATGCTACGAAAACGGCACCTGACAAGTACTGCGAGTATTCAAGAGTCACGACACGAGTGTCTATCCAATATCCGGACACTGAAGATAAGGCAAGCAAGAGCTAGCAAAATTTTTTGTCTCTTAGGTGAAATTTGCGGTCTATTTTGGACAATAAGTTTAGTTAAGCTAAAGCAATCTCGAGCTACGGTCTCGTAGGAATTTCTCCAAGGCACACCATAGTTTACGTTTCGGGTTAATCACAATTTTGTACATTTAATGTCGCGGCCTCATTGCCAGAGGACGCAGATGGGTCGGTCAATGAAATACAGATGTTCTTAGTCTTACTGTACTTCTTATATCGAGTCCAACTTCACATGAGGTGCTCTACAAAAATAGAGTACCGTAGGAAGGCAGAACTTGTATTAGTCTTAAGGGTAATTCCTCTGAACGTTAGTCGGCAACGACTGAGCAATTCAAGACGCTTTAGTAGGATTATTCAGATTTCTATATAGGCGGCAACATAAAAATATTTGTCAAGGAAAAGTTCAGGTGGAGACCACCACTGCCGTGCTTCGAATGGACTATCATGATACCTTCCCTGAAGAACGTAGCCTACAACACATCTTGACTGTAACGTTATCAGCCGCATGCCACCAGACAGATCACATCCATTGAATTAGATCAATCAGCCCACAGGAAAATAAGCCTGGCGTCTAAGGCCCAGCGTCGTCTGCCAACACGTGAAAAATTTTTACACCACCCGGACGGAGCGCGCCGGAGCCGTCCGTATCTGTCCCGTGTGTCGAACCAGCCGGGACGCAGTATAGACCCCTACATAGCCCTTGCCCACAATTCAATATCTATTCCTCTCCGCTCGTAATCACGCTAGAGGGCATTTTAGCCTGTGTGATTAGGCGCCTAAAGCCATAGGTGTCATTTCCTTTCCTGGATATGAATCAATCAGCCAGATAACATCAAGCCACCGAAGCAACAGTCGTGGGCAAATAGCCAAACTGTTGCGTGCTAGTATTAAACACAGCCTGGCGTCTTCGCGGCTTTTGAAAATAAGCGCCCGACATAACAGCGCCGTTACGTCACAGCCACTACTTCATGGCGCTCTACTCCACAGGCAAAAGCGCAAACCCGCCATGCCCCGGCTGACTGTCCCGCCATGCCCCGGCTCTCCAATAACGCCATGCCCCGGCTCTCCCCCTTCGCAGCCAGCAGAAGGCTTTTCTCGTTGCCCGATCAGTAATTAATGCGCCTGGCGCGATGGAGGGACCTAACTTAACCTAACCTAACCAAACCTTACCTAACCTAACCTGGCGCACAACTGATCAGCAATTGAAGAAAGCCTTATGGCTGCGAAGTGGAGCTTTACGCCACCATATTCTGAAGCGAATAGCCCAGAGAGTAATGGTTATGCACCACTGAACGTTGCATCGAATCATCACTTCATACCCTGACTTTAGCTCGAATTGTAACTTGCGGACAACGGACTGTGACCAACCAGCCCAGGTCGCCAGTGGAACTGTGTGCATCCTGCCGTGCACCACCAGACCGTACCTTTTAGCTCACAGCATTGGGGTTAGGTTTCAGAAAGCATATTTCTGTTCCAAAATCTGTCGTCCTTCGACGAGCGACTTCCACAGCTTCGCTAAATTACGTAACTTTTAGCTCACAGCATCTGGGGTTAGGTTTCAGATAGCATAGTTCTGTTCCAAAATTTATCGTCGTACGACGCGTGGCCGTTCGACCGTGGGCTGATTCGACACACGGGACAGATACGGCCGGCTCCGGCGCGCTCCGTCCGGTTGGTGTAAAATTTTTTCGCGTGTTGGCAGACGACGCCAGGCTTATTTTCCTGTGGGCTGATTGATCTAATTCAATGGACGTGATCTGTCTGGTGGCGTGCGGCTGATAACGTTAATGTCAAGATGTGATGTAGGCTACGTTCTTCAGGGAAGGGATCATGATAGTCCATTCGAAGCACTGCAGTGGTGGTCTCCGACAGGCGTCCCTTTGAAGGCGATCTTGTCTTTGGCGTAACACCGGGATTTTCGTCCGCCATTCTGCACAATTGAACTACCTCTTTTGCCATAGGGCGATATGGATGATCTTCCGAGCTCCAAGAAACATCGACATAAGAAGAAGAAGAGACGGTCATCCTGAGGAAATTATTCCCGTGATATTGTTCATGACCGTACCAACGAGTCAAAGTTTCGAGTTTTAATTTGCATAATTCATTGTTGATTAACTTATTTTCTAGGGTCGCGTTTGAAACCTGTCGGAACAACAGCATGGATTTGGTACCAAACCCCGTTACCCCAAAAGTGAGTCACTAAGGCAATTTCTGTGTTAAAATAATTTTGGTTTCTTGGGGGCTATTATAAGCTGCGAGTATTTGCTGCGAGTTTCCACACTCTCACTTTAGCCAGCTGAAAACCTAGACACGAGGCGAGTATTTGGTAAACAGTCCACAGCTGCCAGTGCAGTGTTATAAGCTGTCGAATGGTGGTATATGGAAAATGGAACGTAGCGGTACTGCTATGACGAGTTTAAGAAGGCGTTTGATGAAGTTTTCAACTCATGAAATTGGGAAGAAACTTCTCATGTTTTTCGTTAATGAAGCAAAGACCTATAATTTCCTAGTTGATTTAGTTATCTAAAATTGGTAAGAAATTTCCCATGTTTTTAGTTAATGAAGGAAAAGACCTATAATTTCCTTGTTGATTTAGTTATCCTAAATTGGTAAGAAATTTCTCATGTTTTTAGTTAATGAAGAAAAGGGCCTATAATTTCCTTGTTGATTTAGTAAGCCGAATACGTAAGGTCGACTTCATATGCGGTACCGATCACATTAGAAATAACGTAAATCTGATTAAATTTTTGCCAATTTCAGGACAGGGCTAGTTTGTCCATCCGCCTATCGGGTGGCTTCTACATAGACATGATACGCGCCAGCAACGGCTCGTACGTGACATGGAGCTCCGGAGTCCTGGTGCCGGACACTGACATCTACGGCTGGCTGCCTGGAGAACCTGAGGGCGGCGACCAGCAATGCATGGCAATTGGCGGCTATCTTTCCTTGTACCTCGACTGTCTCTGCAGTTATAAGGATACCAATGCAGGGGTCATTTGCGTCTACAGTGCATTGCATTAAAACACGCATTTTGTTTGAGTGATTCTAGCAAAGTTGTCTTCATGTAAGGTTTGCTAGAATTTATGACATCACAATGATTGACTGGATTAAATTCAAAAGTGATCTTTGTGTATAATTTTTACAGAGACTTTTCAAACGACAGTAGAGCGTTTGTTCGTAGTCGAACGATTGATCGTTGTTGCACGATTTAGCAATTGTGTTTTGCAATGAATGCGCTTGCAGATTTGTGTGTGGACTGTATATTTATTCAATTTTTAGATCCTATTCCTAACTACGCAGCTATAGGATCCTTTCCAGATATTTCTCAGTGATTACTGTTGATTACTAAGTTTGGTACTTTTTCCTATCCGAGAAGATACTAGACAAGAAGTTTGTACTGATTAGCTAAAAAATCGATACAATTTTCAATTTCAGGTGTAAAACTGGAATATCTTGACGAGACGTCACGGACAAAATAGGAACATTACCTAAACTTTCACGGAATGAACATCATTTTGAACGAGGCATAAAGACACATAACGAGACATATTATTTAATTTTGATGTTGAATTTAGTTACTGGATTTTGCCAGACATTTTGTCATTTCGTCAGTTTTCAATATTTCAAGTATTTCACTAATCACTATTTAGAAAGGAGAAAGCCCGTCCACATTCTTTGAAGAGGCCAACACATAAGGGCCGAAGAGCAGTCCGGGGCTCCCGAAGGCTGATCGCCCAAGTAAGAGCCAGCAGGACCATTACTTCGATTATACTTATTCCAGATATTATACATATTATGTTATTCTATATACTATATAACTTATTATTCTATTTGTATAGACATCCGTTAGAAGTGTTATGGCACAAGACATTTCGGAAGACATAATTGATAGATTGTAAGTACTAATTTCATCAAATGACACAAGTATATCCATAACGAACGACGCTTCAGCTCAGAGTATCGGCTACGGCAAAATGCTTGATAAGTTATTTAGTGTCCAGCAAGCAGTTGCTAGGCGCTTGCTGGTTGTGCAGCCACTTAATCTGGCTAGCGTCGTGAAGACGTGCAATGGTAATGACATGTGACGACATGACTTGTGAAGACCGGTAAATGGTCACGTGATCAGCTAACGGCCAACTGATTGGCTAAGAATGAAGACGGAGACGGCGAAGAATCGAATATATAGAGAGAATTTTAACCTTGTGTTTAATGGTATAATGCTCTACAATATCTGACGAATCTTTTCTACGCATCGCGTTATGCTTTGATATCGAATCCATTAAAGACTGTTTTACATAAATTATTAATTTTCTAAATAATACTAATTAGTGATTATTGATTTGAAATAATTTCGTTTTCAATGTTACACTTATGCCAATCACGATTTTTAATTAGCTACCTTGAAATATCAATCACGTCTCATCTTCTTGTAATGTACTTTTTCGATTGAAATCTCAACTCGTCGTCTGCATAACGGATCTCTCGTTACCAGGTTTTAGATATGTGATGATTTCATAAACGGGTGTGAATTATCCAAATGAGTATATGTATTTCCTTCAACATCTAAGCGCATTTTGTAGGAATTTACGTTCTCATTAATGTTTACCTGAAACACCAACGACCTATAACTATAACGCCATATGCCTCTTATCAGTAGAGCCAAACTATAATGTAAATAGAAGTCAAGTGTAATTTAGCCACAAGCTGTGCATAAAGTAAGCTCAGTTCGGTGGGCTCCAATTTATACACACTGAGATATGTAGACAGTTCGTGAGAATACCTCAAGAATCACGTTCAACATTATATTTCTCGTCGGAAGAGAGCTATGCTTAGCTTCCAGTGCAGTGCCGACACTGGAGTGACAGGCTGCAGTTTGCAACCGAATGTAAGCCCATGTCAGAAATACTGATGAAATTTTCAATTTAGTCAACTGTCGAAAGCCAGGACTGTAGCATATTCATCCACGCCGTCTTTTGGTAAACCTAACGTCTCCTGCCTAACCCTCTGTGATCAGATAGGTTAATCGTCATCAATGTTTACTGGTATCTAAGAGCAAGGCAATTGGGAATTAAGGTTACTATAAAAAAGTGATGATCTCTATTGTGCGTTACAAATTACAATTGTCATCACGAGCGTCGAAGTCACTTCTAGATCAGTGGTTACTTTTCTTCCTATTTATTCTTGCATTTTTGTTGCCGGCTGTACTGTGCGGCAACTGGAAGGTGTCCAGCGAACCTTCACTTCCAGGATCAGAGGAATGGAAGAGTTGAACTACTGGGAGAGGTTGAAGCGACTGGGTCTGTACTCACTGCAGAGGAGACGGGAGAGGTATGTCATTCTGTACACATGGAAGATATTAATCGGAATGGCGCCAAACTTCAAGAGCGAGACCTTCTGGATTGAGACACATCACAACGAGAGAAGGGGGAGACTGTGCAAGATCCCCCCACTATGTAACAGATCTGCAGTCAGATTTCAATCCCTGCGGTAAGGATCACTTTCCGTAGCAGGGCCGAGGCTGTTTAACGTCCAACCAAAGGATCTAAGAGAAGGGGAGTTCACCCTGGAGACCTTCAAGAGACGACTGGACGTGTTCCTGGCTACAATCCCAGATCGACCTCCTCTGCATCACTACCAGCGGCGAGAAGCAAGCAACAGCATCGTGCATCAGCTGGCCCAAATAAGGGCGGATGAGCGATAACAGCAAGATTACAGTATGAGAAGACACGGTTGCAACGTCAGAAAGATGATGTCGAAGTCGACAATGGAAAAGGATTTAGGAGTAAATATCGACAATGAGTTGAAATTTTCTAAGCATATTGAAGGTAAAGTTAATAAAGCCAATAAACGACTTGGACTGATCAGACGCCCTTTATAAAAAAAAAAACTGCGCTGCAACTTCTCCATGCGACAACATTTCTTCTCGCTTCGAATCATCGACATGTGGATCAGCCTCCCCGATTTTCGTTGGCGCTCCGAGTATGAACGCGTTCAAGCACATACTAGATAAAGCTGTGTAAAAATATATGTTCAGACTTAAAATCCCTAGCACCATATCGAACCCGGTGGAAGTCTAGTAGCTATTTCAAACAATCGTCAGTCCTGAAAAGATCCGGTCAAATGTCACGATTCTAGATCTGTGAACAAGGCACGAAAAGGAAAAAAATCGGCGACAGGCCACATAAGGCCTACACTTCAGCGCCGACATACTTTGTTATATTAATAAATAACAGTTTGACTCAATCTTCCTCGGCTTTGCTACGACTGCCATTCCACCTCGAAAAATTTCCTGACACATGTGATGATGATCTCCCTCCGACAAGATAGCCATAATGTTAGTTAGTTTAGTGGCCAAATGTTTACTAGCGCTTCAGCTATCTCGCACCGAAAGTCAAGATGAACATCACCATAAAGGTGGAAGGTCTCAATTATTCATCAGGACAGGTGAAAAGCAACAGAAACGAAGACACTCGAACAAGAGGCCGCTTACACGGGACGTCGGCCGCCCGCACGAGAGAGACAGAGAAGGGAAATGTAAGGAATCCTACCTACATAATAACTTAACCCCACAACTGAGACCTACAGTCAGACACCGTGAGCTCAGCGGTGGGGCGCTCAGGAACAATCCCCCTAGGAACGCGAAATCCCATAGGACTTCTGACGAGCACAGACACACGTCAGAAGTCCCCCCGAGGGGTAACCATAATGTATACGGGCTAAATAGGTCCTATAGTTCGAGACTTCAGACGTTCTAGAATGCATTATAAATGACGTATTAATCTTGCTACTTACGTGTTGTACCTGAGACAACTGTTGAGGGGGCAACGAGCGAGGGCTTCAAGAAGTTGAGCCATAAATGCCTTAGAATCTTAGATTAATCGGTGGAATACTGCAATTGCAAGGAGAGAAAAACGAACATATCAATAACATTTAATAGGTAAACCACATTGCTCCTAAATAAAAATGGTCCTCCACTCGCTTTAGAACTAATCGTGTAAGTGAGTAGGATTACTTTGATTACTGGAAAAAATACTTCTACTTCACTACTCGGACTGCTTACAAAAATATCACTTTTTGATCACTGTGTCATTCGCGAGCTACACGTCAATGTCTCTGAATTAAATGCATACGACAGCAATAAAGTACAATACGCAAGAAGCTACAATATAATAGGATTGCAATATATTACCTCGATGAACAATACACAACGATGTGCAACAACTCAACATTTTGTAATAAAATATGGCGTATATTTAATAAGGAGAGATAACATTAAGCAAATTATATAAATATGGCGCAATAGTGAAGCAACAAACCATATGCATATGAGCCCACAAGATAAGATAATAATCATGACACACGAGCTTACATAATACGCACAGTAATAACTTATTTCCTCTAATATCCTCTTGGCTCTTTGCGATTAATTACTTGAAAAAATTATCGGCTGTTTACGGAACCGTTCTTTTATGCGTCACTCCACTCAAAGAATATTAATTTCATATCTTCAGAAAGACATCGAAATTCCGAGGCGATCTCGATGCCTTTGGCAAGCCAGGAACTCAATGCAGGTTTACTATCCAGCAAATAATTTTACCAAGATCCACGATTCTTCACAAGTCCAATTTAATGGAAGCATTTGATGTGAAATAATCAATGAAATATAGGAGCATTCACGATAAAACTCGACTATGATTAAAACTTAGGATTTAATAACAATAAAAATGAATCCAGAGAATATAAAAAGACTACAACAATATCGGTTTAACCAGAGAAGGTGAAGAGACACAATGTAGGCCGCAAGGAAAGGTTCATTTGCACAAGCGCAAAAAAGAATAAGAAATAATTATCTTAATTTATGATGACTTTCATTTTGATTAGAATCTCAACCGCATGCCGTTTCTCGTTGCCCTGGAAGGCTCAGCTACCAGTGGTGAGAATTCGGGCCATCATTGAAGCTTTCTGCAGTAAGTCTGTAATTTTTCCCTAAGAAAGCCTAATTGTTTCATTCATTGGGATAAAATTATCAACTTAATTCTATACTCATGGCGCAGTGAGGGGTAATGCACGTGTTGAATGGCACGTCTTATTTCGTCGGAAATCTATTAACCAGTTTCTTCAATCAGGGTTATCTGTGAACAACAAATAAAGTTCGATCTACAAACTACTACTAATACAGGAAAAACGCTAAAGCTTTGATGTATATAAAAGGCATCGAGAGCCTCTATCGCCCCACGAGATTTAAAAGGCGCATTACTTAAAAATCCTACAAAAACCCATTAGACACATAGAAATTTAGGCGCGCATAAAACATATATTTTATAATCAAAAAAGGCACAGAAGTCGATCAAATCGCATTACCACCATAGACTCAAGTGACTAGTGTTTGGTCGTATAAAGGACGAGAATACAATTCAAGCACCTGAAGACTTTTTAAACGCATCCACCTTTAATAAATACTTTAAGATGCACCGAATCCGCGGTTACATAACAAGGCGCCTCCTGAGTACCGGGACCGACAAATCAGATTTCGGACAAAACACAATCCAGCCCCGCAGTTGTCGGAGGCAATTTGCAGAACCTGTGTGGTCTCAACATAGGTCAGTGGTCGCTATAAAGCTATAACTAGTCTCAACTAATGGGAGAAGATAGAAATTTTAGAACTGCTTTTAAGTGATAGTGAGGTTCAAATTAAGGTTAGAGGTAGCGACGATGTTGTGGAGTACAAGTCTAGGATTCAGTGTGCTGCATGGCCAGCAGCGCCTCCACCGCCGCCTCCTTGTTGCCGTAGGACGCCTCGAGCACCGAGCGCACCACGTCAGCCTCCACCTTCGGGAACATCGCCAGCAGCTGCACGCGGCACCAATAGTCTTTCATTATTGTAACTTCAAAACATAATTATTCTATTACAGCTATAGCATAAAATCGTTTTTCGGTTGACAGGTGAGAAAATTAACCTCAAATAAAAACTATTATAAAATTTGAATTCTGAAATGAGATCAATTATTACATTCGATTCATAACAATAATTTTGTTATGCAGTTCAGAAGGAAATAATATTGAGAATGCTTTTCTCATTTTCCTTGTCTATAAAACCAAATCGGAACATTGGATTTCTTCACCAGGAACAAACCGCGTAAATCAGTCGTTTTCGAATAAAATTATGAGAAGAGTGAAAGGGTAGTAACAATTTTTTGAGTGCTAATTCCAAATTCTTAAGTGTGATCCATATTTAATGAGCCGAGGGTCTGTATGAGACAGCTTCGTAGTCTTGATAGTAGGCACGGTGGGCCTAGCACAGACGGCGCGAGACTAAGACATTCATGCACGCACTCGCCACTATGCACGACTTGACTTCGAGGCGAAGTCCTAGTTAGCATACATTCGGCATCCTCGGGACTTAACATGAATTTCGGACTCGGCACATCGTCGCCAATTATAGAATCTGAACATGCTCCTCTTGGACGGGTAAAATGCCAATTATACTCAGAACACGCTATGTCGGCAATAATAGAACACGAACAAGCTAATCTTTGACGCACTACAGGCTCCAAATTACCATAGCCACATGCTTAATCATGACCCTTGAAGCGCTACAGTCTCAGCTGATCAACGTACCGGCCTGACATCGTCGTCCGTGATGGGGGGAGGTGCAGGTCGTGGGGCAGGCTGGGGCATCTGGTAGACGGGCACGGAGGAGGCGTAGGGCGTCATCGTGGGATACCCCACGCCCCCGTACATCACCATGGGCGCCGCGGGCGGTGCCACACCCGTCTGTGCGTCAAAGAAACACAGGAGTTAAGTCAAATATGAATTAAGAACAATTTCCTAATATTACATGGTCAATATAATCGTCATTTCGAATATATCACTATAATTTTAGAACAATTTCTTGTAGTTGAGTAAAGTCCACATTTTATGTCCAACAACAACATTTACACCCAAACCCAAATTTTTATTCCTGATTTGCGCAATGACCTTAAAAAGTAACAAGAATATCATTTATTTCAGCCGGAGCTCTGTTGCTGTGGATGTTTCTCATGTCTTGAGCCGACGTCGCGTAGTGAGGAACCACAAGCGAGGGCTGCTACATGTTCGGCAAAACTCAATAAATGAAGTGCCCAGGTTGACTCACCTGATATGACATGATCACATGGATGCTGCCTTCCATTTCCTCCCCTAGGCGACCAGAAAGCTTGTACCACTTGTCACAAATCTCCCCCTAAAAGATATGAATAAAACTATCTATAGTAGAAAGAATGTAAAAATATTAAAAGGGTTAAGATTACAAATACTACCTAAATCAGACATTTCTTGCAGACATAATTCCGAGTTAGATTTTTCTTCTCAACATTGTCAAAATTTGAGTGTAGTTAGACAGCAGAGCTCTGAATTTGAATTTTTCACTATTGAATTAGTGATGACGCTAACCCAATTTCAAAGAAAGAAAGTGAAAGATCATTCTAATTCAATTTCAATCAAATATTTTTAGTGAGTGAAAGTATCAGCAAACAATCTTTTTCAACTACCTAGAGAATCATTCATGTTCAAAATTTTACCTGGGTGATGCTTTGGGGTAAAGGCACGGTGACCCAAGCAATTCTCTCGTCATCTGACAGGGTTCGCTCGTCATAGATCTCCACGAGGAAGCTGTTGAAGCTGCGAGGCAACTGGTAACTGAAATGCAAAAGCAAGCCAATTGGATATCAGGGCACTATTGGGTTGCCTCTTGGCAAGACGAGTAAACCAGAAACTCAAAATTCTTACACACAGCAACATTACAATGCCAGGAGGCAGCAAAAAAAGTGAGTACTCAGAATATGGAATGAACTTTTTCAGTAAAATTTATTGCAAAGTTATTATTAATTCTTCCAGTATAGATTGATAATTTTTATAAGTCTACAAATGAAAATATCACATGAAAAATGAATTTACTACTTTACAATTACAGCACTTATGGTCACTTGCTTAATCATATATATAATCAAGCAGCATTAGTGCTAGCTGATCATCATATTAAATAAAGTACAAATTGATTTTTGTACCATAAGAAGTAAATTCAGATGATTTTGGATATTTTTCAACATAAACATTTGAATTTAAAATGTTCAAGGGCCATACATGTAAAACGTTTTGTTCCACACAGGATTCTTGGCACCGTTGGGATCAGTGTGGGTCTCAAAGACCTGCTGGCCAAAGTGCAGCCGAGCAAAGGGATCCATGCGGGAAATGCCGTAGTTCTTGTGAAGTGTAGCACGCACTACTGTCACCTGGCCATAACAACATAAACTCTTCTATTAATCAAGTATTATACTTGTGGGATCTCATATTGTGTCTCATCAAAATATAAAATATGAAGAATTTTGTGTCATGAAGCTTGAATGGACATCAAGTCATTACATGAAGTTTTCCATGTCAAGCAGCTAAAATTTCCAAGAGGTCTGATACTAAAACCAGGAGGGCTTCTATCTTATATTTGTTAAAATTACTTAGTTATTTTGGCTTCTAATTCCATTTTAGGGTCCTATATATTTATGATTTTCAAGGAAAATGAGGGTATCTATTAACAAATTTTGCTGCTGAATCAAGTTCTGTATTTGCTAGTTCATTCATACATGTAACAAGGACTTGAAAGTAATGCAGTGTAAAATAGGAGCGCAAAAAGTAACAATAAGACAACATTGTTCACCTGGAGTCTCCCAACAACAGGCTGTGTCCTGTTCATCATCTGCAGCTGAGCAGCCATGGCATGATCAGTTTGCTCCTGCTGCTGCCGTTCAGTGCAGCCATTGTTCACACGCAAGAAGTCCTCTGGCAGGGGGCCAAGAACAACCTGCTCAGGATACATCCCCTTAATAAAATAACTATAATGCATCCATGACACACAAAATCATGTTAGCTTGCCAAATAAAATTTAGCAAAAGCAAATCTCTGACACGCAAAGATCTATACAAGAACATGCACCATACAGTAAAATTTATTACTCCAAAAATGACACTAAAAAGCATTTTTTAATTAATATCTTCATTAATCAAAGAAGTGAAATTAAAATATTCAAAGATAATGAATGATTGAATTAAAAATAATGGTAATAATAATAATAATAATGATATATAAACTTGAAGGAATAATTTGTAAACTCATTAGACAAAGCCTCCCTGAATATGCAGTCAGATGAAGAAGATAGCTGAAATATGTATAAAATTGCTTATTTAGTTTTGTTAAGACTTAGAAGAAAATGAAGTAGAAAATGAATTGTTAAGATGAAGTAGAAATATTCAAAGCTTGAACATCAGCATCTTAATCACAAATTCACAAACCTGAAGCCATATTTCAAATTAACTCACAGTGGTGGGAGCAGCAGTAACGGTTCCATATCGATACACTCGACCATAGGAGCGATAGTAAGGGCCATGGTAATAATTGTTATAATAAGGATAGTAAGGGTTAACACTGTGATTGTATGGGTAAACTCTTGAGTAAGGATACATGGTGTAGGAAGAATGAACAGGAATGGGCAGAATAAGAGGCACAAAACTCATAATACACTCAAACCTGAAATGTAAAAAATAAAGAAATGCTAATTGAAGTTATCAGGTTCACCATGTTGAATATTAAGCTTTAGGCTTTACCAATGCAATGCCTGATTTTTAATTGGGTAAAGCTACCCTTTACTTATGAGCATTTGACCTGCCCATGGACTATTACAAGCAGTTCAAGTGGTAATTTGTTAACTGGCAATTTTTTTGCCAACATAAATTTCATAAGATAACAGTAACCAATTTATATCATCAACTGACCAACATGTTCCAAAAACTCCTGGAGTCACATGGCTTGGATCAGATTAGTTCAGATATTATCAAGATCATAGAATAATTACAGAGAGCAATAAACACAAACCAGAACTCATAAGTTAAAAAAACATTTTCAATTGCTTACCACAGATAATATAACTTAGAACAAGACTTGATATTAAATTCATTTTATTGGACAGTTGGACTTGACAGTTGGACCTATTAGGATATTTTCCAAAATTGAATGCAAAAATATGTGATTGTTCTTAATGCTCACAAAAGAAACCAGACAAGGGCCATAGGCCCATAGGAATGAGTAATATTATCCACAAACATAGGCAATTTGGTCTTATGCAGTGGAGAAGTGCCTTCTGCCGGATCTGCCCTATTTTCAAATTTGAATATTTTGTGATAAACTATTGAACCAACTATTGATAAAATTGCACAATCAAGATTACAGTTTCCACTAATTTTAGAAAATTAGGCAGAAGCCACCCACGAACCAATTCAGAATAATGGGAAGATGTTTCCTAAAATTAGGATTATAAACAATGGATTCATGAATCATGATTATTCTTTTTTAACTAAGGATAAATAAAATACTGTTTTCCATATTTTTTACTGAATAAATTCAGGCAATGCCATAGCAATAGGCTAGCTTGGAATTTCTTACTTATGAACTTAGTTAGAACTTAGAACTTAGAGTTAGAAGGCAGCTAAACTTTATGATAAACTGATAAAGCACTTGCCAACCTGGGCAGTGAGTACCTAGGTACTATAGCTACAGTGCTACTCAAAGTACCTGGACAAAACCAAACAGCACTTAAAAAAATATACCTAAATCAAGTAACAAAATTTCTAAAAGTTATATAACTATTAGAAGAATGGTGGAGACTGTTGAAATCATAATTTTAGGAAAGGAGCACAAAAAGATGTTACATTAAAAATTCATCAAAGAGCAAGCCTCAGGGGTCAGGGCAAATAATATGAAAATTATTCACTCTGAATCACTCAGGTCACTGAGGTCAGGGAGCTGCGCGTTTCTAGTGTTAGTGCGGTAGTGCCTGCTGCTGCTAGTAGTAGTGGACATTATCAAAGTCAACTGAGCCTAATTTTTTAAACCGATAACCTGATAACAGAGATCTTTACTCCAGATTTCTGAGTATGACGTTGTTCCGACTATTGCGTGCCATATGGATGACATGATGAGTCATAGTACCGAGTACGCAGTGATGACTGATGATAGCAGCAGGCTTGATCGGAACTAGCTGCAAATCGAGCGTAAACAACGTTGAGAAAATATTAATTTAAAATACACATCAACTCACTCTCTTTCTGTAGTCATTCCGATGAGCACTAACTCCATTTACAGAAGAGGCCATGTTTAATAAGAACAATCGTCCAAGAAACTGTTTAAGAAACCGTGCATCGAAATTTGTCTTGCAGAAATTTCATCGGTTGCACCACGTACGTGGACTATCCGTTTCGCATTGAAATTCTTACTTTCAAATAAGGTTTCGTTCATGATATGAGTGGCGGCGTACTGCGCAGATTAAAAGAATTTTAAACAACTATTTGCTAATTAATAAGTTTTTTTTAATATTTTCTGTATCATTTCGTCTAATTTCTTTTTTACATTCGCCTATCCATTCCGACATATTTGTGTTCATTACGGTCTGCTGATCAGCACCTGCCGCATGTACGGCCGTAAATTTGTCCGAGACGTCCTAGAGCGAGACGTCACCTAGGTAGAGCAACTAATTGCCGTGAGAAAAAAAAATATCTCCGGAATAAGAAAAACGCTTTAATGAGAATTTACACATGCTCACAAACTTTATTATATTTCTTCCCTTATCAATGCCGACAGTGGCAGAGTGGACCAGTGGTTAAAGTTCAGAATACCGTGATTGGAGCAGAGAGGCGCGGGCTCGAACCCATGTGCGCCAATTTCTGGTCAGAATCGGCAAGGAGGCCGGGGCCGGGCGGCTAAGCACAACAGGAATTGTAGCAGTACGTTGCGAGTCCGAGACTGCAAAAATGCTGTGAGTGTTCTGCGATGTTGAGAACTTGAGAATCGGCGACAGGCCTACGGCCTACTAAACGCTGAAACCGCTATTATTATTATTGTTATTATTATTATTATTATTATTATTAAACAAATTTTATCTCTTACCATAAGTTATTGCCTTATTGGCAGCTCAAAAATGCAACATGAACCTGAAATGAATACATAATTTTTTGCGTATTATAAGGAAGCCTCATCAAAAGCTGCACCATGTACGCAACTTTTTCGTTTGAAGCCTCAATTTTCAATAATGTGAAAAATAACTTGCAGTCTGCATTGATAATTTGTCAATTTTTATAGTAAGATTTGTTTTCTTCATTTATTGACTTAGGCATTTGTAGCGCTAATTAAAACAAAGCAGACAAAAATTTTTTCAATGATAATTGGTTATGTTAAGATCGGTTAAACTTCACAAAATTATGAGTAGAAAACATACTAAAACTTACCGCTGAGCGCTATAGGGATCCATGTCAGAAGCCAGCATTGCCCAATACCAGCATTTCTTTCATACTCCTTTCAGTGCGCAAGCCTGCTAGAGGGCAGAGTAAACTAGGGGATTATATGTTAAAAGCAAAAGACTGGACTGGAAGTGATGGTGTGGTGAGATGGGTAAATTGACTACACCGGCTTAGGTGCAAGGATGACAATATCTATAGCATTTAGATGGTTGATGTTGGCTCCAAGGGCTGATTTGAGGGTTAATTTGCTGGTCTATGGCTGCTCGCTCGCGCGATACATAATATTGACGCGAAAAAAAATCCGACAAGGCTACCGAGAGCGTTTTGCGAATAAATAGCCGATTATTCTTTTTTAATCAAGTCAAGATCAATTTCCACGCCTAAGTTTGTCAAATCAAGACCGATCATGTCCGAATTAAAAAAAAAAACGAAACTATTTATTCATAATACGCTTCTGCGAATTCTCACTCTACTTGAATACGCTGAAAGTTAAATTTTAGCAGATTTTACTCATATAAGTTTTCAAATCAAAATCGTTCTTCATGAAATTAACAGCGAACCCATATATTCTCTATAACTCCAGCGAGCGTTGTCAGACTTTTTCTTGCCCGCTTCGTTTTCACTTAGTGCGATAAACGCAAAGTTTAACGCACCCCCCTGCACGCCTATTTTAGCGCTTGACGCACTTCGTCCCAAGACTATCCGAACGGTGTGTCATTCACAAATTTTGTTTACAAGTCGCATAACATCGGACATCTCGGGCCCTTTTCCGGCCGGTCTCCAAGGCTTGGCTAGCCTAAAGTATCTCCCTAATTAATGAACGCAGCGCGATGAAACTTTGCAAACGTGTTCAGGAGGACTTTACTCTGATTTTTATGTTGTGATATTTTTTTCGATTCCGCCTTCATCTGCGTTAGTTATACGGCTATTCAGAGAAGCGCCCGATTTTGCCCGCGCGTTGTCAAATTATCAACGAGTCTAAAGTGGCTCTGGCTCCGTAAGTAATGAATGCAGAACGACGAACTCTGTACATGCGTTCAATAGGACTCAACGGTGAAGTTTAATTCCTGATAATTTATTCGATATCATCTCTGCTTCCAACTTGAAAGACCATTGGCGGAACCAATACATAACATTATAAGCTGGAAACAGGAAAAAATTTACAAAATGGTCACGACCTAAACATAAATGTTAGATGGTTAGGAATGTATATTCAGAGTTTCGATCAAAGCTGCACTGTATGATATAAGATAGATTATATTCACTGCGAATTTTACCCATATTGCCATATATGAAATTACAAGCAAACTTAGGTGAAATCGAGAAAACAATCTCGACCTAAACATCACCGTTAGGTGCTAGTGAACACGTATGCAAAGTTTCATCTGCATACGTTCATTATCTTGAGAGACATTTTAGACTCGCTGAACTTTGGAGATCAGCCGCAAGTCCGACCAGAGAACTGTCCGACAGGCAGAGGTGGGCAGTAGCGCGCTACATGTAGCGGCCGCTACTAGCGGCCGCTACATTTTCAGTAGCGGTAGCGGTAGCGGCTGTACATTTAAGGCAATGTAGCGGTAGCGGTAGCGCCCGCTACATATTTAAGTAGCGATACGAGGTTTTGCCGCTACAGCGCTACCTAAAACAGAAGAATATGCCCAAAAAGTCTTGATATTGTAGCCCAAGCTTTCCCATTGCCAATTATTTGCATTCAAGGTACCAGCAAGGGTCTTTAGACCTATTTATGTTCAATTTAGCGTGAATAATAGGCTATAAATGGTACTTTTTTATATATAAATATATATATAAAATATTAATTTTTACATAATTTTACAACTGCGTTACGCAAAAACTATTGCATGAACATCAATGGTAGTAGCTTTGTTAAACGCGTCTTGTTTGTAGCTTTCAAACGAGTGTAAACACTTCGCAATTAACCTAAATAATGACATATAAAATTATAAATACCATTTATTTGTAAATAATGATATAAAATGATCATTTTACATAAGTTCAAGACTGCATTACACAAAAAAGTATTGCATGTACATTGTACATCTATGGTAGTAGCTTTGTTGAACGCGTCTCGTTTGTAGCTTCCAAACGAGTGCAAACACTTTGTAATTAACGAGAGTAATGATCTATATATGCAGATTTAATTCAAATAAATCTTTGTACATATTGTTAAAAATGTTCATATATATATTTTTAAAATTGTCTTACGCAAAAATTATAGCACGCACAGAAATGCGGTAAACTGCTTTAGACGCGCCTTTTCAGCAGTTACAAAATGAGTCAAGAAAACGGTAAAGCCAAAATTTCCGATTTTTAGGGTAGCCGGTCCCCTTAATAGTATTAAATATTATTTAAAAACCAGCATGATACATACATAATATAAATTACAGAATAAAACTGTACGAAAGATTTCGGTGTAATGTTGTCAACCTCGGCCTGTTACTAGGGTCAACATGTTAGTTGTTACTTGTTAAGTTGTTACAAGTTACCACTTACAGGTTTTTTCATCTTTCAGTTTGCTTACAGTTATTTTTATGTTTCACCTTCCCTACATGGATGTCTACTTTAATCTACCAATCTCAAAAATAATGCACATATATATACAAAAAAAGAGTGATTTTTATATGTATATGTGGATAATTTCTTAGATTGGTAGATTAAAGTTCACATCCATGTAGGGAAGGTAAAGCATAAAAATAACTGTAACTTTTATTTACTGTATCTAACCCTGGGGTAACCCATACTAGTTCGGTTAGGTTAATTGCAATAAAGTTGCATTGATATCTTTAAAAAATTTTTATTATCATTAAGTGTTAATGAGTAAATCCCAATAGCAGAACAATAAATATTTAGAGATTTCCAATCATTTTGGCCATTGTAGCGGCTAATGTAGCGCGCTACATTTTACTGTAGCGGTAGCGGTAGCGCCCGTTACAATCTAGTGGGTGTAGCGGTAGCGGTAGCGCCCGCTACATTTAGAGCATGTAGTGGTAGCGGTAGCGCCGCTACATTTTCAAGTAGCGCTGCCCAGCTCTGCCGACAGGGCAACACCCATGGTTGAACTAATACATGGTTGTCCCACGGGCAGCTGCGGCTTGCGGATTTAATTTGTTATTCCACCCATGATGTCACCTTGGTCTTTGTGACGTCAACTTGTGACGTCACCGTGTGATTCAAAATGATTTGTAACACCTGTTTTGCTTAAAATAAGATTAATTGCAGTAAATAATTTTTTTGAGCCATTTTGATGAGGTCATTTTTTTAAATGCCTTCAGATATGACATAAAAACAGCGCGTTGATCTACACTATTTACATTTTGTGCCCACAGTGACGTCACTTTATAGATGAGCAGAACGGCGAAAAATCGTCATCGCCATGGGTCAACCTTATACATATTGGTTCAACCATGGCAACACCCCTCAGTATAAGCTTGTTTGGCATTAAAGAAATTAATGCATTTTTTTAAACCTTTAATTCAACCATGCCAAAGATGGTCTGGAACTCAAACAATTTAAAGTCTTTAATATCGGTTGTCAGGTTATAAAATTGACAATGAATAACGAACGAAAATTTCAAATAATGTAAAATTGAATTGATTTATGTGATGATTCCTAAATGTTGATAAAAACATTGTCATTGGTTGGAAGAACGTCTGCGGGTTTCCTCCTATAGTAATTTTGAGTTTTCGGTGGCGGATGTGGAGTGCAAGTGTCCGCATCTATGAGAAAATGATTCACAACGTAGTCAATATCTGCCATTCAACGAATTAAGAGAGGCAATTATTCTACGATTACAATGGCTGAAGTTCAGGTAAATATTATGGTTAAAAGTTCTAGTAATGAACTATATGAGTTTCTTTATATGGCGAAGTAAAGCTTGGCATTAAATTGACAAGATTTAAGCATTGAAACCGCCCATCGGAATGAACGAACATGGCAATGTCCGCAATGAACTCAATCTCTTATTAATACCTATTATATACTATAATATTGTTATATTTTCTGAAGGAAACAAAATATTTTTAGAGCTATTGTATGCAATAAAAAAGTTTTATACTACTTTACTGGTCTACTTATAGGACTCAAAAATGAACTTGAGGCTGGGAGAGTCTAAAAAGAAACTTAGGCCTAGCTAGGTATTCATGGGCTGGATTCTGGAACATGGATTTGGATTGGTCCCATAAATATGATACAATTGGTCCCAAGCCAACATATTATATGTGATATCTTTTCTGGTTTCAGTTGGCTTTTCAAAAAAATTTTGAAAAAAAAAGAATGGCTATTGCAATAAAATTTCAAAAAGATCGGTTAGGAAATGCAATAATGCAGCCTGCAAGAGACCCTAAATAAAACAATCAGGGTCTATACTCAATAGTGCACCCTTCTACTTTGATCCTTGATGAAGTGTAATACAACAATCAACAACATTGGCTAGCAAAGAGACATCAGAAGCACTGCAAATGCAGGCTTTCACTGCTTTGTAAACAAAGTTGACAACATGCAGTGTGGAATTCTGTACAGTATAGGTAATATATTCTCATGTCAATATAAGAAAACGTATCAAAATAACAACCCTACCACCGCATTACACCACCTTCCACTGCAATGAAAATTGATGAACTGAGCTCATTAGAAACTGCTGTGCTTCCGAAATTGCGCTGTTGCTTGGAGAAAATTTCTTCTAAAATAAAGTGCCAGATTTCTCATTTACCAAATTTCCATGTCAAAAAAATTATATAGTATTGAAGGATAATTAAAGGAATATTGTACTGAGTATTTTGTCTGTTCTTCAACAAACTTCTCAAGTTCTCTTGCGCGGTATAGAATTGATGGCTGGGATTGTGCAAAGAGAAAATATTTGAATAATTTTGCACAAACTGTGCGCCGTGCGGACCTATGACTTCCAAAAACTCATTATGCGCAGGAAAATTCCACGAAAACATACATCATCCTGAGTGTGGGTCTGTGGGGTGCAGAGGGTGCAAGCCATGGTCAGGAAGATAGGCCAGGTGCGAGTGAATTTCTATTGTCATTTTATCAATCTGCGCCATGTGGCGCACACCATAATATGCCAGTAAAAAAATGTGCCGTGTGCCGTGCTCTGAAATTTGTTAAAAGATGAATGTACAGCAATGGGCTGCAACACCATCGCACACAAACGTATACCATCTGTATCAAGTTGACTAGATTTCTAACATGTTAACCCGGGTTCTAAGAGTCGATACAGTTATGAATATTTATTCATTATTCATAGATCACAATTCGGTTGGATATGAATTACAAAACTGAAGAATAGAAGGTGACAATCCACACAGCTTGAAATTGGTGCCTTCTAATGAAGGACTAATTTTGGCAAATGGTGCAAATCCGTATGTCAATCACTTATCACTCAATGTCGGGCATAGTGGCAAAGCAGAGAGTTTTTTCGACTCTCCCTCAAGTTCATTTTTGAGTCCTATTTTACCCCTATAAGTAGACCAGTAAAGCATCATGAATACCAGCATTGTCATACACAAGAAATTAGTTTAAGGGGACTGGCTACCCTCCGGAAAAACTCCTGCAGTTATTATCCAATCATCATGAAACTTCACATACATACGTAAAATGTAAAAATAAGAACATTTTGCTTCTATGAATTTTTTGAAAAAATTGATAGAAAATCTATCTCCTCCTACAAATATCATCCTACAACATCGAGACACGTATCATTTGGTTCGTAAGGACCATACCTAAAAATTTGATAATCACTTTCTCATTTTCCCCCTCCCCTCCCTTCTCCCCCATATAAAAAACGAACCAGACAGAAATTGAAAAAATGATCATCAAATTTTTAGGTAATTTCCTTACAAATCGAATGGTGTATGTCTCATTGCTGTAGCTTGAAAACTGTAGGAGGAGATAGGTTTTCCGTGACAATAAATTGAACTTTTCAAACTTTTCAGGACAGCACGACAAAGTTCCGTGCGCCTCAAAATAGGCACTCAATGTAGCATGGGTACCAAACTACAGGCTTCTGTAGCTTAATCCACTCAAGGATGCTAGCAGCAACTTGTAGTGCACCTCTCCGTACAAAGTTAGGAGGGTAATTGAGCTCAGATGCCAGATACACCAAGATATGTAGTCTTGCCGCTCTAATTTTCTTAGGTCTATTTAGTGGAGGGACTCCACCCCACGGCCCCCATTAAAGCCCGGCCGTCTGCGTCAATATTGCCGTACATGGATCGCAGTAGTATCATTGGAAAGCTCAGAATGTCAGCTTTAAGATGAGACTAAGCATGTAACTGCAGCACAACTCAAGTACCGTAAAATGGGGTAACTTAGACCGGCGGGGTAACTTAGACCACTTTTCGTTTTTTTAACAAAAACCCCCACAACTCAAAAACTATTTGACATAGAAAAATGTTGTCAATGGGCATTAAAGGCCTAATACTGAGGCTACATAACACAAGCCGCTGGATGTGGGAGCTTCTTTGAGTGGAGCGCCCCTTCTCACCGGGGTGTCTCTGCGCAGTGGCGGCACCCGTCGGAGGAAGCGTGCGACCTTCGACGGCCAAACTCCCCGACCTCAACCCCACCCCGGGCCCTGGCCCGAGGTACCTTGCGTCCTGGGCGGCGCTGCCGGCGGGGAATTCGTCCCTTGTTTTTTCGACAGAGGGGTTCTATGTCCTGGCCATTGAATTCCTCTTACACTTACTCGCCGGGGACATCGAGTCCAATCCTGGACCCATCTACATCTGCCCCACCTGCACTAGACGCATCAAACGTACCGTTGGCTCCATTCGCTGCAATTCCTGCAGCGAGTGGGTCCACCTTCGGTGCACTACACTCCCTTCACTTACCCACTAAACAAGCGACTTTAAATGCACCACTTGCCTATCCACAAACAACACCACAAACACTACCTCATCACAAACCTATACACCACAAGCACATCCCCTATCCCAGTCAACCCCACACTCAATACCACCACCACCCCTATCACCACCACAGCAACCCACACCTCCCCGCCGGTCTAAGTTACCCCATTTTACGGTACCTAGATACAGAAGGTAAATAAACAATGTTGCCATAAGAAATTTGTAGATGATTTCTCCTAAAATAAATTTATAAATTTTTACTTTTAGAAAATTTTCATATCAAGGAAAGTCATATATTATTGAAGGATAATTGAATGCATATTGAATATTTTGAGTTTTTAGCGCATTTTCTCATTTATGAAATAAATGCACTATTGTGCTCGCCGTGTCTGTCTGTCCATCTGTCCGTCTGTCTGTCTGTCCGTCAGTGACTTCATGTTTTTGTTGATGAGAAAATGCGCTCTCTGTCACTCACTGCGGTTAGTACTGAGTTCTATTTTTTGTCTGTTCGACTGTTCCTTGACAACTGTATTTGCACCAACAACTGCGCGAGGTAAACTGGATGACCGGAATTTGTGCCAACATCTGTGGAAAGATAAATATAAAACTCATTATGCTTGTGAAAATTCCCTGAAAACCTGTATAATCCTAAACTGCTTGCACTGTGCAAGCAGCCCAGGGTGCAGATGGTGCAAGCAGCGTTGCCAAGATATGGATTTTCAGCCCAAAGCGTCACCAGCCATTTTCAAGATCCATTGCCGGGTAATTTTTAATATGAAAGTGCTGCAAGCAACTTTGATAGTAGGTATATCCCTTATTCTCCTTGCACCACAACCAGGGTTGGCGATTTTTTTGATTTTTTAAAAAAAAATCAAAAATAAATGATTTTTTTTTATTTTTTCATGATTTTTTTTGATTTATTTGATTTTTTCAGTTTTTTTGTCTTTCTGAAGTGTTATTTTCTATGTTGCAATTAGCCTACTAACAATAACAGTATATGGATCATAATGGATGGCTAAAAAGGGCACTTATTGCCTTCAATATCAAATTCAATGTAACAGCAATCAGGAAAGTGAATAAAGCAATTCAAAACAGGAACAAGGTGACATTAAACAGGTAACAAAGTAATAAGCAAGTTTCATTGCAGTAAATTAAGTGCATGAGATTGAAAAGGAAAGGTATATTATTGTTCTTGAGTTGGTCAAGTCTTAGCAACTCACCCTTAGGAAGCAGCTATGTTGCTCAGCAAGCAGGAATGGGTTGACAATGACTTCCAGTTTAAATGAGCGTCAGGCAATGGGTGCAGGTGAGGCAAGAAATTAGGTGCAGACAAGGATCACTAAGCGTGATTAGTGGTATGCTTACTAAGCTTAACCAAGACTCTTAATAGTGCATGCTATACTTCAAACATGATGATAAGGTGGAAGCAAGTGAACTTTTCAGACATTGCATAAAGTTGCATGCTCTAACTAGTGAATTATTGCTGGAGAACAACAACACCTGAAACAAATACAAGGGAAGGAAACATTCATTAATAATAAGTCACAAAAGCCCTAAATTAAATGGAAAGAGCCAACCATATTAGGAAGCATAACCTAAAGTAAGCAATACACCAAAGTGCCAGGAATGAAAAGCAAGAACCTAATAATCTAAGATTAAGCAAGAGGAGCAATCTGCTCCTCTTCAACGTAATTGACGGACTTTGCCTATATCATTCCAAAAAAAATGGCAGCCATTTCTGCATGACAGGGTAAAAAATTAGGCCTGCACCCCAGGGTAATTAGGGACACCCTTAAAATGCATCTACAGTAGAACCTCAGCAAAGGCTCTAGTTAACAAAAAAATTGATTAACAACAAAGAATTTTGATTACATTTACTACCTCGCTAAGCAAAAAAATTCACTTATTGAAAAATAAGTGCATTAGTGGTCGTCACAAAATTGTACATAGAATGCTATATATAGAATTGTGCACCTGGCATCATAGAATGAAAAGTACCGTCAACCGGGGCTACTCGGGACGGTTTTGAGCATTTTTTGTAAATAACTTCTTACCATGAAACATTTCATAAACAAGTTTAGGCTCATTTTATAGCTCTTTGCAAGGGCTATCGAATGGCATCTTTAAAAAAATTCTATATGCTATTCATAAGGTGCTAGAAGCAAAAAAAAAGTGTCCCTGGGACACTTGCAATAAAACTTCATTTTAAAATATTTGAAGCATGCAGAGTGTACTCATCCATTACTAACAGTACTCTAAAGTCCTCCTCTTTCATTGTAGGTGATGTAGAGGTAGAATAAATGACATTTTCTGTGATTTTGCTCATTTTTCCTTTATTGATATAATATTACCATAAACATTAATTACCGTCAGCTGGGGTGACTTGGTCTGCGTTTTTTATTTTGTTTTGCAAACGAAAAGTGGGTCGTAAATGCTGGGGTCATAAACGCCAAGGTCGTTAAGGAGGTCATAAATGCCAGAGTGACTTTGGCCATCGTTTATGACCCCACTTTTGTTTGCAAAACAAAATAAAAAACGCGGCCAAAGGCCAAAGTCACCAGAAGTCACCCCAGTTGAAGGTACCCTATTATTGATGCAATATTACTGTATTATTGATGCGATATTACCGTATCCATGAACATGCCATTGAGCATTTACAACAACCTTGTCCTCTGCAAGCTTCATATCAGCAGCCTTATAGCATTTTTTCTGTATCTGTAAGCCTACAGGACTGCTTGTAATTTCATACCATTTTAATTGGGTTAAGTGAATTTACTATAAAAAAATATAATTCAGTACTCACTGCAGTGAGTGCCAATGGACGGACAGATGGACGGACAGACAGGCAGACGGACATGGCAAGCACAATAGTGCATTTTTTCCATAAATGAGAAAATGCGCTGAAAAGATTGTGAAAAAAATACCTGAAACAGAAAGGAATGTTTTAGTGCCAACCATCATATGTTTTGGAGAAATAAATCATAGTTTAGGTCCATTACTTTTCATTCTATGATGCCTGGTGCACAATTCTAAATATGACATTCTATGCAAAATTTTGTGATGACGTATGATGCACTAATTTTTCGATAAGTGAACTTTTTTCGCTCAGCAAGGTAAATGTAATCAATATTCTTTGTTTTTAATAAATGTTTTTTCTTAACTGGAGCCTTTGCTAACTGAGGTTCTACTGTAAATGCGCTTTTGGGGGTGTCCCGAATAGNGGGGGGGGGGGGGGCAAGTAGCCCCGCCGTGCGGAAATGACCGCCATTTTTTTTAATGAGATAGGCAAAATCTGTCAATTACGTTTCAAGCCAACACCTGGGTGCAACTTTTACGTAAGTAAATTTTTTAATATGGCGAATATTTTTTTGCTACAAACCTTAGCAGAAGTAACTTTTCAAAATACTATTGTTTTTCACCATTTTTTTCAGGAATTTTTCAAAGCTAGTGAATGTAGTATTTTTGAACTTCCTTTATACTACATAGATAGGAAAAATGTTGATGTTTATGCCACTACCTATATTTATTTTTGCAATATCCCAATTAGTTTTACTACTAAAACAGTTTTACGCTGTGTCGGAGGACTGTCCCGAGTTACCCCGCCCGTCCTGAGTAGCCCCGGTTGAGGGTAATCGACCTAAACTATGATTTATTTCTCTAAAACATATGATGGTTGTCACTAAAACATTATTTTCTGTTTCAGGTATGTTTTTCACAATCTTTTTTGTTATAGTGAAATCACTTGATTTGATTAAAATTGTGCAAAATTACAAACCATCCTGTAAGCTTACAGATACAGAAGAAATGCTACATGGCTGCTGATATGAAGCTTGCAGTGGACAAAGTTGTTGTCAATGCTCAATGGCATGTCCATGGATATAGTAATATCACATTAATAATATGGTAATTAATGAACATGGTAATATCATATCAATGGAGGAAAAACAAGTAAAAATCACAGAAAATGTCATTTATTTTACATCTGTACAATGAAAGAGGAGGACTTTAGAGTACTGTTAGTAATGGATGAGTACACTCCGCATGCTTCAAAAGTTTTAAAATCAACTTTTATTGCAAGTGTCCTGGATTACCCCATCCCCAGGGGTAAATTGGGACAGTTTTATTTTGCGTCTGGCACCTTCCGAATAGAATATGTAATTTTTTTGAAGATGCCATTCAATAACCCTCACAAAGAGCTATAAAATGAGCCTAAATTTGTTTCTGAAATGTTTCATGGTAAGAAGTTATTAACAAAAAATGCTCCAACCGTCCCTTTTTACCCTGTTTGATGGTATTGCTTTTTTTTGCAGTATTGAATAATATAAATGCTAGAATGATTTTGCCCATGATTTTTAAGAAATTTCTGCCCAATATTCCAAATTTGCTTGAGTTTAGCATATGCATGGGCAAGTTCAATCATGAAAATCCAAAATGTAAATGGACAATGTTTTCACAATATTTTCATTTTCATTCCTGCTAGAAGCTTATTTTATATTTTTTCATTACAAAAACTTTGATAAGAAAAAAAATTTTCTTTTAATAATGTAATATTGAAGTTAAAAACTTGATGAAACATGACTATAAAACAAATGCTACTAAAATCAAGTGAACACATGTGAGACCTATAATAATGTATATGGTCTTGTACTCTAAAAAATATTTTCCAGTTTTTCCCCAGATCTTTTGAAGCACTAAGCACTGAAATTTGGACCAAACCTCATGAGTACTACTAGTGGTTATAAACAGTATATACCATGCACTCAAAAATTGCCAGGGTTGTAATACTAGGTACTAGTTTTTAGTCAGGAAGCTAAATTATTCAAAATGACCAAATGCAATGACTAAATTTTTCCAACGGCATCTGAAAGAACATGTCTGGCAAATCATTTTTGATTTAAATACAGATTCCCCATTTTGAGTTCACTGAAATATAATAGGTCTGGAATGACTATTGGACAAGTTGGAAGCCTAGTAATATATAGATTAATTTTTAATGGGTGGGTTTTTTTACCTACTATTGCCATGGGTTGTTTTCAGAGACTGGGACTGTATATTCCTTTACATCATCTCTTTGCAGGTTGTTTGCAAAATTTGTAAAATTTACACACATTCACAATATTTTAGTATTGATTGGATACGGGTAATTGCAATCTTGCTTTATTATTAAGGTTGAGATATTAGCATTTGTGCAAACCCTTCACCATGAGCGTCAAGCCATATAGAACTTGAATTGGTTTACCAGGTTGCAGAGATTTCACAAATATCTTAACACGTTGACTCCGAAGTGGTACATATGCATACCACAAAATGTATTTCTCCGGGATGTAGTGGTACATAACTCAGGTTGCCTAAAATTGGCCAAATCCGAGAATAAAAAAGACCAAAAAGGCCGATAACTCGAAATATACTAGTTTATTTGTAGGTTCTGCTATAAAAATTCCATTTATTTTATTTTTGCACTATTTAAAATTTAATTTGGAAGTACCCCTATCATAAATTTTAGCCAGCCAACGCAGTTAAGAAAAACTAAATCACTGAATTTGTCTGGAAAAAATGACCGTCTGGCAACCCTGTTTAAAAAAGTACAAAAATGAAATAATAATACAAGATAAAGCAATCATAGTCAACGTGTTAACATTTTTGTGAACACTGCACATTAACATCTTAATGCATGTCATTAAAAGATCATGTCAACACATTTTACATTGAATATAATATAGTACTGTTAAATTATTTAGGGCTCAAAGATAATTGCATTTTTAGGTATCACGATATCATTGAACTTGCTTTAAGGCTGAAATTGCACATCTGTTGCAGGTACGGGTGCTGTATGACTTTGAAGCCCAGCCAGGGACAGGGGAGATGTCCTTAAGAGAAGGAGAAATTCTAACAGTGACTCGGCAAAATGTTGGGGACGGCTGGTGGGAGGGTACCAATGCACTGGGGGAAGCTGGGCTTTTTCCTGCTGCATACACAGAGGTTTGTTGGGTTATCTGAAGCATTTCTCATTTACTGAAGTTAGGTAATCCATTGAACATCTCTATTCTATATTTATATATAGGGTGTAAATTATGGTATTAATAGGTAATATATATAATATAGGTACATATACAGTGGGGGGAAATAAATATTCGTACACTTGAAAAATCGTATTTTAATGTATGTAAGTACACAAACTTAACAGGAAAAGTGATTTAAAGTATGTATAGAGACGCATAGTATTCAAAAATACTATCAAAAGAAATTAAATTCGCCGGACTTAAATCCGATTGAAAATTTGTGGCGGTATTTGAAGATTCAATTTAAGAAAAGGTCCCCAACAAACATTGAGAATCTTAAGGTGGTGTGCCAAGAAGAATGGTATAAAATACCAGTCAGCATCTGCAAATCATTGGTCGAGACGTATAGAAATAGACTGGAGTCTGTTGAGCTGAATAAAGGGTATTCAACCGAGTATTAAAATAAAATAATGCGGATTTATTGTTTTGTACGAATACTTTTTTCACCCCGAAAAGTGAACATGTTGCATTGTTTTTTGTTGCATTGAGATTTAATTTCTTTTGATAGTATTTTTGAATACTATGCGTCTCTATACATAATTTAAATCACTTTTCCTGTTAAGTTTGTGTACTTACATAGGTACATTAAACTACAATTTTTCAAGTGTACGAATATTTATTTCCCCCCACTGTATGATTGTAATAATATAATAAATTGCAAGAATTCATCTTTCTGTTTGTTGATACATGACTCATGTTGGTTGTACAGAATATATATACATTATACGTTGGCTATGTGTGCTCAAACATCAATTATTCACCTTTTTTTTTACTCTGAGGAAAGATTGATTTCTTTTAGTTTGCACCGAAATCAATTAACATATTATAATATGTCCTGTTTTTATATCAAATGTTTGGTTTTCTCTTCCTATAATAATATTTTTTTATTGATCCTACTGAGCATTTCTCCTAGCTGAGCGTGTGTATGTTGTGTGCAGGAGGTGAGCAGCGCCCCGCCGTCCATGCCTCCTCCTAGTCTGCCTCCTGAGTACAAAGCTGCCTCTGCCTCATCTTGGGATGCCTGGGAGTCCAACACTCCTGCTAACACTGCCCCTCCACAGCCTCACAACACGGCATTTAAAGGGCAGCAGGTGTGTCAGCCTAAAATGCTGATAATGAACAAGATTTGTCTTGTTTACATGTACTTGCTCAATGATGTAAAGCTAGCCATCTGTCATGATGTGTAGTGCAGTTCAATAGCTGTTAAAGGTCTCGTCATTCTTGAGGAATTATGATGGATGCTGCTGCATTCGTTGATTGATATTCTCCTATTTTTGTTCAGTTATTAGGGATATTACAGCAATTATTGGTCAAATTGCTTGTATTTCTGGCTCCCTATGCCATTCGTGACCAGAATAATTAACTTGATGACCTCTTTGGGGCCTTGGGCCATACTATCAAAACTGCTCCAGAACACATGGTGGCAAAAGTTCATATAGCGGCCGATTTCTTGCATGGTGATTGGTTGGTATTGCTTGATTAACTGTCAGTGATTGGCTGACAAGAGTTACAAAGTCGTCCCTATTTGACAACACTTCTCTTTAACTTCACTTCTTGTTTGTCTGGTTGCTACAAATCTTATAATCAATATTTAACACGCTTCTACCTCTCTAATCGATCTGAAATTGTGCAAACTTGCGTAAAATTGGAGACAAAGCATGAATCAATTGACAGAATAAATAATTTTGAAATTTTTTATAAATTAAAAAATTGAAAAATAATTTTTTCCAATATTCGAAAATAGAATAAAAAATTAACTGTTTATGTGTAACATTGAAGACACTGGATTCTTTAGAAGTGTTTTCTTTGAAAACTAATTTTTAAACGTATATTATTTGACAACACGGCTGTGTTGTGCAGAACTACGATGCAGACGACTGGGATGACGACTGGGACGATGATGACGACTCTGAAGGCGGGGGTGCGGCGGGCGGGGGGGAGGCGAACCACGCCCATGGGGGGAGCCTGGCACACAGGGGGCATGCAGGCACCCACGCCCCCCTCACGGACGCTGCTAGCATGGCAGGTGTGACGCTTCGCTACTGCCTACCGCAGTAATTCTCAGCAATTTCTACTGCTATTTTTATGAGTGTATTTGCAGCATTTTTTTCATACGTTGTCTAACGTGGCAATCTAGTCGTCAATGCTGCATTTTGTGCAAAGTTTTTTTTTGTGCAGAGCGCCAGTAATATGTACGATACGTGGGTGGCTTCAACCTTCTTTTCTTTCATTGCATTGCAGTCTTTTGGATCTCTGGATTTGAGACAGCGTCTTGCTCAGTTAATTCATAAAAAGGCACAATGACCTACTCCTGAAACTGTCATTCTGCTCCAGGCATTTTTCAAGCAGCGCTTCAAAGTTATTTTCTTCTTAAACCTTAATTTGCGGCATTTTTTTATCATGGTTGAACTATGATGGATGCTATTCAAGAAATATTATATAAATGTATGCATTGAATATGAAATGTGATTAGTTGTACATGGGTAATACTGTAAATACCTAAACACGATGTGCTCAATTGACAGGTAATATCCCCAATCTTTTCTTTATAGTACACTCAAGATTTTCTTACTGATGAAGAGGTTCTTGTGATGTCTCAGTCTTGCCTCAGCTTCAGACTTTCATTTCTCTAACTATCAAATTTACTAATCGATACAGTGCTATATCAGAACACAAAACCACCTATCGTCGCAACACAACACATCTCATCAATACAATATCTCCTATCGTCGCAACACAATACATCTTATCACAACGCAATACATCTTATCACAACACAATACATCTTATCAAAACACAATACATCTTATCACAACACAATACATCTTATCACAACACAATACATCTTATCACAACACAATACATCTTATCACATCACAATACATCTTATCCCAACACCCAACACAATTAATCTTATCACATCACAATACATCTTATCACATCAACACAATACACTACATCACATTACATCATATCACCACAACACTATGGTCTGGCCAGCAGTAAGAAATGCTTGGTATTTTAGGCCAGTTCCTACGGCGCGGCGTGAGCAGGTCGCTGAGCGCGCCATATGTTGGTGCGCATCGATGTGGTTCAGCCGTGGCGGTAACCGCGTTGCTCCTCTAATATCCATTGCAATTCCTTCCTCTAAACAGTTATCACAGCCTTCTCTTTGACCTGTCGTTGTTTGCCTTCAGTGAATATTAATTGTTCGTCTAATATTGACCATGTTAATCAATTAACCTGCGTGATCTAGCTGCAATAACAGCTTTACTCTCCTGGGTCACCTATTTATTCTAAGACATCCCTGGCTTCATTTCCCTCTTGATTGAGAGCATCGATGGCAGGGAAGTTCAGTACGCGTTTCCCTGACATATCCTGTATTTCTTTACTTCATACGATCCCTGTGTGGTAACAGGGTGTCGCTCCATCAGTTCTTGGTGTGGTAATAATGTGTCGCCATGTTGTTTCTTGTAAGTTATAGGCCAGTGTAAGTAAATTCTAGTGACTAAATAGCTGCTTTTACTGACACTCGGATCAAAGACTAGGTTTTCTGCATTTAATATTCGTTTTTCCGTAGTTACATTGATGATGAATGCGGTTTCAAGTTCACGAGTTTGGCAACTTACTTGGATGATGCTATTAAATAGTTTGTAGAACATTCATTAGATTCTTATAAAGGAATCACTTGCTCTCTATTTATTTATCATTCATTGCTTCATCTACATGAGATTTCTTCTCAATGTAGTGTGTTCCTTGTGGCTTCGTGTACAATTATTGTAAAATAATTATACAAATTGGAAAAATTGCTGATTTCTGTACCAATGATATTAATTATATAATATTCATCGTATGACGGGCCTTTATTACTGTAGATAATTAGGAAGACATGCAGCAGTGCAGTTAAATTTTCAGGCTCCCAGTGCTGGTCAACCTTATTCTTGATGATTAACATTACAATGCAATCTTCGCACCAAAAAGCGACTCTAATCAGTTAAAGTAAAGCTGAAAACGGGGTAGCTGTAAACGTCTTTAAATGAGTTGGGAAATGTTTTTTCCGATAGCTATGCTCTCTCTGAAGTGACTAGCACAACTAGTGTTTCATCATAATGCTAAAATAAAAATTATTAACCTCGGACTCATGCATCATCCTAGGGCTCGTGCCTCTCGCTACTCACTTTCTGCTTACGTTTTGAATGATTTTTGCTCACCTTTTTTCTAGGCTTTTAATTTCATTGATCTTCAGGCTCACGTCTCATGCTCTGCTCTTGATTATGATGATCTTCAGCTAGGCTCATGTTTCATGCTCTGCTCTTGATTATTATGATCTTCAGGCTCATGTTTCATGCTCTGCTCTTGATTATTATGATCTTCAGGCTCATGTTTCTCATCACCTGCTAGGTGGGTGCCCCCTGCCCATCACCTGCTAGGTGGGTGCCTCCTGCCCATCACCTGCTAGGTGGGTGCCTCCTGCCCATCACCTGCTAGGTGGGTGCCCCCTGCCCATCACCTGCTAGGTGGGTGCCTCCTGCCCATCACCTGCTAGGTGGGTGCCTCCTGCCCATCACCTAGGTGGGTGCCTCCTGCCCATCACCTGCTGGGTGGGTGCCTCCTGCCCATCACCTGCTGGGTGGGTGCCCCCTGCCCATCACCTAGGTGGGTGCCACTGTGAAGCACTCTCCTCACCAGCACTCCACACTCTTGGTCTCCTGCCGCAACCTCAGCGTATTGGGTCTTGCCTGCTTGGTTCTGTTGGGAAAAATAAATTTGTTCATGTGTACAGAAGCTTTATTCATTTACGTTCTTTGTTGGGCTTCCATGTTAGGCCTTGACGTGAGCTCTTTAGTTTCGTTGTTAGTTATTTAACGCCGCATTGTTGTGCCGGTGGGACCCAGCTCTGGTATCATCCTGATAGAACGACTGCTTTCTTCCTGACGGCAGCAGTCCATTTCACTATTGACATTTACCCTGGCATTTAACCATTAATAAGGCTTAGGGCAAACGAAGCCACATTGCCTAACGCCATTAATCGCAACTATTGTAGTTCCTTTCTCTAGTCTTTCGAAGCAACGTCATGTAGTGCATGTATTTTGTTTGAATGTGTTTACTGGAAACTTTTCTTTTGTCTACATGCATATAAGTTTCGGCCTTGAGCAGTGGCTGCATTCCTTTAGCAAATGGTCGTAACTAATGGTATAGTGTAATGCCATTTATATAATAATAATTGGTAGGTATATTGTGATAATAAGGCGCAATGGCGAATATAATGATGGTTCAGACACGGCGCTCGTGGCGGAGTCGGAGGTGGAGCGCGTGTAGTGTACGGTAGTAGTAACAAATGGTGTAGTGTAATACCATTTGTATAAAATAATTCCTAATGATCAATATTGACAATAATGAGTATGTTGGTGCAGGTACGGCGCGCGTTGCAGTGTCGGAGGTGGAGCGCGTGTACATCGACAAGGACAGCGAGGGAGTGCACTGGAGGCCGCGGTCCGCTCCTCTCACCTGCGCCATCTCATCACCCAAGAAGGAGAGCAAATTCCACGGCATGAAGAGCTTCATTGCTTACACCATCACCCCCTCCGTGCGTCTGCTCTTTAGTTATGAAATGATTTGCTAGCTATGGCTGAATTATAAGGTGTCAAAATTCCATAGAGGTTAGGGAGAGGGTGTACACTTGGAACTAGTTTATTGATATCAAGTACAGATCCGTTGAACTGATGATATGATCAATTTTAAGTGACAAAGCTAGCATTGAATATGGATTATTTCTTAACTTGATGGACAAAAGTAATCGGGATTATTCCATGTGGAAAATAATGGACTGCCATAGTTAAACTTTTGTCAAGAGTCTGCTGGTCTCTCAAACTCTTAATTAGGCTGATTCAAGGCAAGGGTTTTGTTGTATAATGAATCCGGGCGTGAATAGGATAACTAGTAGAACAATGATAAGGTAACGACGTTGAAATGAATACAGGCTCAAGAGTCAGTGTTTTGTAGAGCACGAACGTGTCTGTGTCGCGGCGCTACAAGCACTTCGACTGGCTGCTCGAGCGGCTGCAGCACAAGTTCCCCCTCACGCCCGTCCCTCCCCTGCCGGAAAAGCAGATTTCAGGTGCGTTGTGTGGGGCTGAGGGCGCCCGTGGGGCTTCAGTGGAGTGGATGGAGTTTAGGATGACTTTGATACTGGTTGGTGTTCCTGCTGTTGTAGAAATCACGGAATTTTTTTCTATTTTGAACTTGAAAAAACTATTAAAACTATTCTACATTTACCTTTGATGTAGAATGTTGAATTGATGAATTTTTCGATGAAAATTCATGCAAATATTCCTTAATAAATTACTATGGGGGCATTGTTGACAGGGCGTTTCGAAGACGACCTCATTGAATACCGCATGACGATGCTGCAGTCTTGGATAGACCGCATCTGCAGGCACCCTGTGCTGTCGCAGTGCGCCGTCTTCACGCACTTCATCCACGCGCCCAACGACGAGAAGGCCTGGAAGGCGGGCAAGCGCAAGGCTGAGAGCGACAAGCTCGTCGGCAACATGTTTTACGAGGCCATCCAGCGGCCTGACGAGCCGCTCGACCTCGTCATCACGTTAGTGTGGAGGCGGACGTGTGCGTGGAGGCTGACGTGTGCGTGGGGAGTGACGAAGGCGTGGGGAGTGAGGTGTGCGTGGGGAGTAACTTGTGCGTGGGGAGTGACGTGTGCGTGGGGAGTGACGCGTGCGTGGGGAGTGACGCGTGCGTGGGGAGTGACGTGTGCGTGGGGAGTAACTTGTGCGTGGGGAGTGACGTGTGCGTGGGGAGTGACGTGTGCGTGGGGAGTGACGTGTAGCGACCGCGTTGATGTGGGGGCTGACGACTGACGTGTGGGTGTCAACGTGTTGAGTCTGACGTGTGGCGGCCACGTTGGTATGGACGCTGACGTGTGGCGGCCTGAGTTTTTTTTATAATAGTAATAATTGTGTCTGATTGTACTGATCTTTATCTGGACTTAGTGTGGTGTCGGTACAAAGTAAGATTGTTAGATTTTTATTCCGAAGGCATAGTTCAGTATTTGGATAAGCTCATTAGAGCAATGTTTGGTGACTGCTGTGATATGTTGCTTTATTATTACTTTTTTGGCAGAGAGAACAAAATTGAAGGTCAGAGTCAGTTTTTCATGCGGTTGGACGAGTCAGTGAAGTCCTTGCATGCGACCTGCCAGGAGCAGACCAAGAAGCACCAACTCGCTTACAAGAAAGACTTTGACAAAATTGCTCATGCTTTCATCAAGCTCAGCAGGGCCTTTGATACTGACCCTGAGAACCGTGAGTTGTGATATTTTGCTGCTTATTCTTGACCTGCCAGTCACATTCAATTTAAATTTCGCCTAATTTGAGCTCATTTTAGCAAAATTGTATGCATGGTAACTAGAGATAACTTTGCATTTCAGTTGTTACACTAATTGTAACCCTTTATATATTTGACATCACTGATACAGAAAGTTATTTTTGATAAATTGTTGATACGTATGATGCGTACAGGAGCTCCACAGCTGACGGAGGCACTACACTTCGTGGGCGACACGTACACCAAGATCGGCGTCATCTATGAGGAGGAACCGCGCCATGACTGGGAGCCGCTCGGCAACCTCCTCTACGAGTACCGCGGCATCCTTGAGGGCTTCCCTCAGATCATCGCTGCCACCAAGGTAACGTCTTGCCGTCATTGAAAATGTACACCTCAGGGCCTTAATGCTGACTATTGTGTGAGAAATGAAAGGTTATTCTTCGTTGTCAATTTCTTGAAACTATCACTGTAACCAATATTCTTTTTGGCGATTTTCCCCCACCTTGTACTGCATGTTGTCCTATCCAAGCTCCTAATAGTTCAAGACTCAACTCTTGTGTGCAGGGAGCGCTGTCCAAACGCAAGCAAGTGGTGCGGGAAGCATCGGAGGGCAAGGCGGACCAGGACACAGTCGAGCCGATGATCCGCCGCAGCGACACCGTCGCCTATGCCCTGCAGGCCGAGGTCCGCAACTTCGATGTTGAGAGGCAGAAGGACTTCAACCTCGCCATCACCAAGTTCCTCACAGAACAAATTAGCTTCTACCAGAAGGTTAGTTCTTAACCTCGCCATCACCAAGTTCCTCACAGAACAAATTAGCTTCTACCAGAAGGTTAGTTCTTAAATCATATCTTGGCCTCGAGTCCTGTAGATGTCATTACACATTAGTCTTCTTGAGTTGCTTTCAATTGTATCATCTAAATGCTCCCCTGACAAGTTAGTGCGATTCAGTTCTTTGCATTGTTTCAAAAATATCTGATGTCGTTCATTCAGCCCTGTTGCTTGTATTAATTAGTTGAGTTGCTTCAAAAAATTTCATGTATTCAGCTATCCAAATAAAGCTTCATTCACTTAGCTTTCCGACTGTTAAGGCCGATATTGTTAGAAATGATCATCTATATACGTAATGCCGGGACTTCAGGAACTATCGTAGCACCCAGATGCATGTGCTTCAAGAACTTAGAATACGAAACTCTAGAATTTGGGGGGGGGTGGAAATTTGTAAATTGCTTTTGTATTGAATTTGCATCTCGGTTGCTCATTTGGTATCGGTAGCTGTCGTACTGTAGGTATATAAGCAACCTTTATATTATGTAATGGATCAATGTTGTCCAGTTACAATTTATTTCTGTAATGAATATTAACCTCGGTTGCACACTGTAGGTGCACTCCGTGTCACAGGTATTGAAGTACTAATATATAAACTTTGTCAGGTGGCGGATCAGCTGCGCGAGAGCCTGGAGAAGTTCCAGTCGATACGCACGTAGCACGCGGCCACGCACCGCGTGAGGACGCCACACTTATTCCTCGACTCGCTCATAGACTCGCCCATTTTATAACCCGTCTTCTCTTAAGAAAATTATCCCAGGTTTCAGAAATTAACAAATGTTCCATGAGTGAGCTTTCTTCTCCGATGAAACTTTCTATCTGGAGCCAAGAGCCTATTCAATCTTCTTTATTATCTGATCCTGCAACTTTTGACTAGAAAATATTCATTGCAATTGAAGTTATAAATTGTTATAGGAGCACGTTTGTATGCCGGTGATTAAAGGCCATTCAAGTTTCTCTCCCTTTGCGGAATCAGCAATTTTGAGGCCAGCCTGCCCTCTACTAGGTAGAGGTAGTATGGTAGAAATGGTCGCTCCAGCCTGTCCTCTAGTAGGTAGAGGTAGTAAGGTAGAAATGGTCGCACCAGCCTCCATTCAAGAAGGTAGTAATATAGAAATGGTTCCGTTGGACAATTACTATGATCACATTTTCTGAAGCGGTCTATTGAGATGAACGTCCCTTGCATCTAGCCAGTTCATTTAAATACGAGAGAGTTTATCTAAAATGAATGAATCAGCAGCTTAATTCTTTTGACCTGGCAATTGCATTTCATTGTTGGTGATCCAAGAAGCGTGTGGTTTGGGAATTTTGGTGGGAGCTGATAGTGCAAGATTCAGGCACCATTGTAGGACGGTTTATACCTTATGATTTTTCTTATAACTTCATGATTGGTACTTGTCACTCTCGACCATGATCAAGTGTAAAAGGTGTCAGCAAAATTAGCTGGCCTTCTAATTCAGACATTGCATTGTTGAGTGGTCAAAAAGAAACCGAATTTTCTTTTACATAAAATATTATTAGACAAACTTGGGGCATTCGTGCTGCTGTTGATCAGTGAGGCATAGTTTTAACTAGCAGTATCTTTCAACATTTTGAATATACCTACCTACTGCAACATTGGTAATATCCTTCAACATTTGTAATATTCTGCCACATTTATTAAGGTTGATTTCTACACGATTTCCCTTGTGTCCGTGGATCGGTGAGTACATTCGCTCTGTATCCACGTATCTCTGTATACAGTCACTCGCTCTCACCTTTACAATCGTTAGCGTCAGAACTGACACTGATGTAAGGAATATTAAAAAATTTATGTGCATGAATTTGTTTATCGCAGTCTGGGCGTTTGGTTTTGTCCATGTCTTCCACGTATGTGTGTCAGTTGACCCACTTGTTGATCTTGCTTTACAGACCGCCTTATGTTATATGTTGTCCCTGGTAAAGTCTGAGCAAACCGCACGCATGATTGTTGATGATTCAAGTACTCCGTTTCTTGTTCGTAGTCGTTGTATTTGATGCATTATTTTATCATGTTCTTTAGAAAGGTATTTTATATTCCAAAATTCGTGCTGCCTCTTTACAATTTCAGAAGTTTATTCTATGTTGCGCTCTTTGCTTTTGATGTAGTTTGAATTATTTATCATTGAAAAATTTTGTTTCGCATATGAAATTTTTAACATTATTGCATGTGAAATTATTATTTTATCACTCTATCTCCATCCCTGTAGAATTATTTGCGTTATATATTGCGCTTTTGGTGTTACCTCGTACCTCCTAATTTCTCTTAGAATTGTTCATCTGAGACAAAATTTTCTTCTCCTCTCGACCTCCTTCAGCTTTTTCCATCATTGCTGGGATAAACGCACGTGATGATGCGCACTTTCTGGCAATGTGCATTGTTGCTCCAGCGTTCATACTTGTTGACTTTCTACACACAATTCCTTTAGTTTCTCTTCTCTAGTCACTCGGCGAAGCGCGTCTCATTCAAGCTGCTCATGAAGAAACCTGTCCTGAAGGATGGGTTTTTAATGTCCTTTTAATGATATGTAAGTTATATCTTTTTCCGCAGTCGTGAAACACACACGACTTCTTTTTAAAGTCGTGTCGGCACCCATTCAATTATTCGCGTTTTAACCAACTCATTGAGTTCTTCGATTGTCGTGTATTTGTGATCTTTATATGTTTATATGTGCATGCAAGAAGCCCCTCTGTTGCCCGCCTTTGAATTTTTTACCGTGACGAATTACTATTCATATTTCTTAGGTGTTTGCTTTGCAGCGTCTGCTTTGTCGGCAACGCCGTGTAGTCTTTTAAATATGTATTTATTTATTATTTATATGCAATGGGGACCGGTTATTGTAATTGCATCATTTACATTTGTAGCACCGTATATACGACACACAAGTTCTTCATTATCTGTAGCTTACGGTTTTTTCAATGTAACCCCATGGTTAGAGGTAATAATATTTTGAACCATACCAGAAAACTATTTATTTGAGCTTTTTTTTTTTGGTTTGTTGCGCCGTTATCCTCCCTGTCGACAAATTATGGATATGTTCCGCATAGATCCATGACATGAATATTATTTCGCCTATCCTTCTTCTGTGATCATATTCGAATTTTGTCTCGGCTCAATATACAAGTTTTGGATTCATCAAAAGTATTAAAAGTAGCGATGCTGTATATGTCGTGCATAAAAAGGGCGATGTTATGTCTGCAGTGCATCAAATGTAGCGATGTTGTGTATGTCGTGCATAAAAAGGGCGATTCTGTGCTTGCAGTGCAGCGAAAGTAGCTATGCACAGCGCATGGAGAGACTTGAATTGCTATCAAGTATCAACGCTGATCCATTGATCCTGCGCACTTCTCTGGTACACTTATTTGACTTCTGCTTCTGTATGGAAATTCTTCAATGATTTTCAGTTGATTTTATGCAAGGCTTTACTTGCAGGCGTGCATATTTTTCGACGTGTTTACTTCCCTCAGTTAGTTTTAAATTTTTATTGTTTCTAATATAATTTTTATTATGTGTCCGTGATTTTAAAGCTGTTTTTACACATTATCTAAAGAATGTATAATTTATAGTCTTAGGTTAGATTAAGTTTAAGTTCCTTGTGTCTCAGTTCTATCCTCGCATTCCATAATTACTTTAACTATACCAATGAAATGTGGGATTTTACCTCAACTGCCTGGCCACATAAGCTTTTTGCGATTCCAGTGTAAAATGGGGCGGGGGGTTTTCTATATCCATGTTCTGAAGTTTACCTTTCCGCGTGCATAGCATTTGGTGTGTTCACTAAATGGTCCAGTAGCGCGAAAATGCTCGTGAATCCAGCCAAGCGATCATACAAATACGTGGGTTTTGGGTGGAAATCATGATCGCTTCAATCCGGAGGTGTGGAGCTTGCATTACATGTCCCAACTTGAAGGTGTTTTTGCGGCTGTTTGTGAATAGTTTTAATTTCATGCAGGGTTGAGGACGTACTACATGGAAGCTTCATTGCTGTTTAAGGTGATTTTAAAGTTACTGCATGGTACTTGAAAATAGTTTCCATATCAACAATAGGGAGATGTAAGCCGCTGCAGTAGTCTATTGCAAGCTAACCCTATAATATATGAAGACGTATTGAGTTAGCCAATGTACTTTATATAAGGTAGACGAATAGAATATATACAGTAATCCGTCATGTTCTTCACTTGTATTGATTATGGCGCTAAGTTCAACAATGCGAAACTTGGTGTCCGCATGAAAGGTGTACGCATAATGACTGCCATGAACACCGTGTCGTTGAACTTCTGTTAACAGAAGAGAGCCTCCCCCCTTGAAGTGCCTTAAACGCAGCGTCAGTTGTGCAGCTTGGCGGCCTGATGTCCCGTGCGTCTCTCTTGCTTGTTCTCTTAAATCTGCGGAGTTGTTTGCAGCGCCTATAGCTGGGAGGCGAACATGTTTGTAGACATTCTCGACTTCCCAATATTGGTTACTTTGTAGCTTAGGCTTGTCATTGGAGAAAAATTATAGAACAAATTTTGTCATCTTATACAAATATCGTAGGATAATGAATAATAATTAGAGACATGAATGTACTTATTCATACAAAACTTCTGGGGCATGACGATGAAATTGCTAACACCTTCAATTTGTATGTAAACTACAATGAATTTATTCGGCGTTTATTCGGTGATTGCTTTTAGTTGAAATAAAAAGATAAAAGAATTTATATCCTTATGTTTATATCAATATGGTGTCAAGCCAGACAGACGCTCAATGATCTCGCCGCCTCGATAAACCATCTGATAAAATGTTTCCTGTTGTACTCATGCTCTAAATGATAGGAGTTGAATTCAAATTATTATGTGAACTGAAGTAATGTTTTGTTCAGGTTCTTAATTCAGATAGGATTTTGAGAACAATTATCCCCTGATTATCTTCCAAATTTCTTGGTGTATTCTTTCCATGTGTTGTATCATAATCCAGCTGTGCGAGTACATATAAAGTAAAAGCACAACTTGGTCATTTTCCACCTTTCCGCTTGAGCCTTCAGCTTTGATGAAGATCTTATATGTTCTCAAATGTGAGAATCGGCCACAAATTGGTAGTCTGAATATAATAGTTTAGTCGAGGGCAGCTTGAGCAGTTCACTTCCTTCTGTTCCTGAACAAATCAAGTACTGTTTAGTGTATCTTACTTCAGTTGTTGCTATGACAGGTGCTCTGTATCTTGCTGATTGTTTCCTCTGTTACGTCATAACTTTTAATCCATACTGAAAAATCGGAACAGATTGATTTATGATTGATTAGTATAACGTAAAGTGTGTGCATCAGCTGCTGCTCAAGTGGACGATGGCAAGAAAATTTTGCAAGATCCTGTAAAAATATTATGTTATTTTTCAGTGACTGTGCCTAACATCAACGTCATTTATGCATATGCTGAAGATTCTGAAATTTAAATAATTTAAGAAAATTCATCGGTATGAGCAAGTTACGTGACCGATACTAGTGCTGCAGATCAACTGTCATATCATTTATGCGTGCTTCACGAGCTCCGTTTTTAGTTTTCCTTGAACGAGTTAAATAGTATCAAATTGTATACGAGAATAAAATTATTATAATTAATTACTATTTCATAAGTGATGTCAACTTACGTTATCATTCGCTGACTCCAAATAATTCTGAAAGTTACACACAGTTTCTTTCAATGCTTCAGAGTTGCGTATTATGATGAGCTTCGGTGGAGAGGGTTTTTTTTTATCATTTTGTTATCAAATGAGGTTTCTTATCAAGATTACTGTATAAACCTGGAATATTTGCTCTGCCATCGCTCGTAAACCAAGAGCATTGGTGACAGCCGCGTCAGGAACTATCTATGCCTGCTATGCCTTCCTGCTTCCAATCCTGATGGCTTCAGCGCGTTACCCTGATTATTATTTATTAGTATTTTTCATGAGAAAGACGACCAAAGTATACTAAGACTTTGGACTATAAAAATATTTCTTTCATTTTCATCGCTGCCTGAGTCACGTGTTAAATATATCGGCGCATACGCAAGCCTTTCCTTTTTCGTGAACCCTCGTCTTTCACATGGTGCAGGAGCTCGACGTTACCTCGGTGGAGCGGTCTCACTTGCGGCAGGAAATGACAGTTACTTCCATGTTAAGTTAGGATCACTCGCTGACTGAGTCGAGAAGTCATTTAACGCTTAACTTGAATTGTACAGACGCTGTCGTGATCTATTTTGCTTGTGCGATATTGAGGGGAATGTACGATTCTAGAACAGCTCGTGCATATATAAGATTTTCACGAATAAAATATTATTGCCAAGAAATTGTTGTTCTTTTATTTCGTTGTTTTATCAGAATAAGAGTTAAGTCATTTAAATACATGTAAACTGACCAAACCGCACGGGATGCGGGCTGTCACCATATTCAGCTAGTGGTAGTTTTCAACTTCTTTTTCAACTTCTCTTACCTGAACTAAGAACGTTGTTCTCTTCGTTTCCCACTAGGCCTTGCACTTAATTCATATGCTACTTAATTGACGGGCGTTCTTTGAATTAGATATCCTTGTCTTGTGAACACACGGACCTCCAATCTTTTGCATTGTATACATACACGAATAATTGATGGCATCACGTTGCATTGGCAGCTCTGAGCTCTCGTACCGTTTATGGTGGCAGTCCGCTCAGGGGTGTTGAGGCGATCCCCCGGCCCCAGCCTCTTCATTTACGTCTACTGACGATCACTTAAAACATTATACGTACGAATATCATTATACGGGCAATGTATCCGTAGACCAAGGGCTGACGAAATAATTCTGCACTCGAGTTCAGTTAGAATTGTCCTCATTAAAAATTTCTAATTAGTGTTACTTCGAATAATTAGCATTTTATTAATGAAAAATGAAGTGTTCCAGAAACTTCCCGGGATGTGGGAAGCTTTAATATATGTATATAAATTGTATATCCCCTGACGTTTTATTGCAAAGTAAAAGAACATGAAGCAACATTAAGTAGTCCGGGTCCGTCATTAATTAATCCATGAGGCTAAAATAATTCGTAAACGAATGTGCAATAGTCAATTTTGAGAGCATTACTGTCCAAGGTATTTGCTTCTTCAATAAGAGGAACTTGAGAGCAGGCGTGAGCAGCAACTCTGACGGATGTTTTCGAGGATTTTCGGTAAAAGTCGGCGCTCTCCTCCTCTCACTAACGGAGATGATTTCGAGATAGTAGGTGAGTATGCGCCGAAATGTGATTAGTCATTGAGTGAAGTTATAATAGGAATTAGTACTGGTTTTAAAATGCTAGTTTCATTTGGTAATTATAAGTTATTATTTATTATCATAGTTATTATTATATTATAGTTATTATATTATTTATTATGATGTTATATTATAGTTATATTATACGGTAGTTATTTTTTGGTCATTATAAGTTATAATAGTAGGTTAGTAATGGTTTTAAACTGCTAGTTTCATTTGGTCATTGGGTATCGTTTTTAAACAGCTGTGCAAACCGACTGCTCTGTAGATTCGCCAACAAAAAACAACGTGAAGATTTCGCATCTTCCTGAAATTCATTCGTCGCATAAATTTTATGATGCATGTTTAGTTTTAACTAATGCTATTACAACAATTTAATCAGATGGTCAGAGCGATGCTATAAAATGATTTTGGACATAACCTTTAAATAAATCTGAGTTTCTAATAAATTCACTCGGAAGTTGATATCGTATGGTATGATCCGTCACGGTGTGAACAGCAGATCCGGACGCAGCGTCGTCCGATGGCCAGCAGTTCACCATAGAGGGCGCCGCGGCGTTCAGAGACGCAGAGACCGACGTCGCCCCCTCTCCCTCCGCCGTGACTGTGCGCTCTATAAGGTAGTAATAACTACAGGGGTTAGGCTGAGCGGCGTGTTAACGCTCAAGGCCTCCTAATCCTATAAAACATATGCGCTGAAAGTTTTTAAATCCTATAAAACATAGGCGCTGAAACCCTCAAAAAAAGGTAGCCTTTGGTTTACACTTTGCGAGACCTTCTAGTTGGTGTTGCTCCTAAATTCCCCGGGTTGCTGTGAGATTCTATTGAACAGGTTTCCTTTGATATTGCATGGATCCACGCTAATTGACTTCTCATAGCATCTCTCGTTTCCCTAGAGTAAAATCGAACCATAGAATTGGCACCGTATAGCTGAGTTGGCTAGACATCTCGAAAGGCATGGAAGTCGTGTCTCTGAACTTTACAAAACGAGCAAAATGGTGTCATTCCTTCTTACTATGTAAATCTCTGCGATGTCTTTTATTATTGCTAAATTCCTAATTACTCTCTGTAAATTACTCATGTAAATTACTCGCTGTAAATTAGTAAAATGAACGCCGCACTTGCTACTAGTTTGAAATTTTGTCACTAATTAAGAGAGCATATGTTTTGGTTAATTCATATAACATGGACTTGCCTGCCACCTATACAAGTCGTCGTTTTTATGTTCCAGTTATTTTTGTTCATTCATTACTCTTTTCCTTTTCGTTATTCCCCAATTGAGCCACAAGATTTCGTGAATAGTTATCTTTCCTTTTGCAAGCTCGATTCCGTGTTTGCTTTTGCTGCACGGAAGCCTCATTTATTTCACAAGGCCTTTAAACTTGTTCCCAGCAATGAACAGGAGCCGTACTATAAAAAATTGCTCAAGTGCCCGTAGCGGCCCCAGTACATGTAGCCGCCAAATATCGTCTGCGATTGGTGGGTTTAGCATGAATGACGTCAGGGATTGACTGATGGAGTTACAAACTTCTGACAGTTTTATTAGGTTTGGTCCCAGCACTCGTGTTGCTCTGTTGCAGTCACGAGGACCCGACGTTTGGAGTGCCCTTCAAGCTGACCATTGAAATGGACCCAGCAAGTGGCTCCTCGGAGCTGTCGGAGGCGATGGCCGTGGTAGCACGGATACAGACCATAGACTGGGACCAGTTCGACTACAACTTCAAGCTGGAACAGAACGTGCTCGACGAGTGCGGCGCCAAGCTGCAGAACTCGATGCTTGATATCATTAATAACGAAGGTTCCTAGTTTGTTTCATTGATTAATTGATTCTGATTGAACTTATATGGACTGTAATTCAATAATTAATAACACAAATATAATTGGAACAAACGATGTAACGTAAAATTTTGCTTAATTTCCATTCGCATATGGTGTATGATCTTCTATGGATTGTATCTGCGGAAACATAATGTGCAGACAACGTTCCTTCAGTTTGGCCTCTGATCGCTGTATTTCCTCTAAGAAACGCTAGATCGGGGCATTCGTTTCCTTGAAATCAGAAATAAATTTATGTACTTTTGCTACGATTGTTACTACTTATTCTATAGGTAGTAAATATTACATGACGTTTGTATTTTCTCAATTTAAATTCTTAATTCACAGATGATAGAGTTACCTCGCTGCACTGTATGATGTCATGATCCTAATAAACTACACAAGCTATCCTTCGAGTACGATATCATACCGGATATTAGTAAAGGATGGCAGAATTTGTTACTTTATATAAGTTTGATTGAAGATATCTTAACGCGAGACCGAATGCCGCGATGTGTGCCCTGATCGTCAAGTGAGGCCTTCCAAAGTTACCTGATATGCAGGGCTTTCCAAGGCCTTAGGAGATTCGAATAATTCACTCTCAATTCGCGCAATTACTGAATTTCATTGATTCAGAACCCTTCAAATGAATGAGATCATCGGAAACAACGACGTGATTTATGTTTACTAAGGATTTGCAGATCATTACTTGGTTTTGCTCTTGCCCATTGTGTTAAGAGGACAGAATTGAGCATACGAGGCGTGTCCGTAAAATAAGTTACATTGGCTGCCACAGGCGCTAGGATCGTTTCTATGCGCGACTAGGCAACAGAGACAGGTTGTTTGATTCCCCACTACAATCCCTTACCAAGCCAGCCTCACTGCGACGTTTAACCTTGCCTCAGCAGGCGTCAGCGATGGAGCTTCTTGCGTCTTCCACCAGCTGCGAGTTGCGGTCTGTTATTCCTGGCCGCTAAGAAAAAATCGGCGAAGGAACTATTTCAGCAAGTTGAAGCGGCCCAAGAATTTCTCGCTTTTCACGGAACAACCGAAGAGGAATTTCTGGACTCTGTTGTTAGTGGTGACAAAGATCTGGGCACACTACACCACACCGGAAACAAAAGAGCAAATGATGTGACTTCCATCTCTTTCCGAGTTGAAGAAAACCTTGGCGGAACCCAATTCCAGACAGATGCAGTGGTGCCAAACGCGGTTGTTAGTTTTCTACACGGACAGGCGGCAGAGTTCTATTATTCTGGTTTAAAAAAGTGGGTGCATCAAATGCAGAAGTGCATAGAACGCAACGGCAATTATGTAGAATAATAAAAATGCTGAGCTTCCGGAAAATGTAATTTTCTTTGCAATTAAACAAATTTTTTTATGTGAAATAACTCGTAGAACTCATTTTACGGACACGTCTCGTATTATTGCTTGCTCTCTGCCAGTCTATCAACTGTTTTAATTAGTTGTGGTGTCACGATTATTGTAAGTTTTTTTCACTTGGCTGTAAAAATAATTTGCGATTTAATTGAAGATGGCTAAATAAACTTTGATGAAAAAAGTATTGAAACGTTTTTCTTTTGTATGCTTTATTTTTTTAAATATTCGCACTGTAGTGCAACGTGCTCCGTGAATTCAGGTGAGGTTCAGTGGGGTTCTTAAAGAATCAACGCTCTCTATTGAGCACGCAAACTGTGATACTTGGGCCTGATAAACTCTTTGTTGTGAACGCAACATTTGCTATAGAATAGTAGCTTAATTCCGGGGTCTTGCGGAACATTTTCGCTCATTAGTCATCTGTCGGCTGCGGAGTACAGACCAAACTTTATTCAGGAACGAATTTTGGTGAGCTTAGTTTTCTCGTTTGAATATTTCTTTGCCGTTTAGAAAGCCTTGGTAATTTACTGTAATGTTTAATATTTGCGAATATTGTTTATATATTCAATGACCTTTTGTTTTAGTATAAAATAAAAGAAAGAAACCTGATGCACGCGTATTCAATTAATCCTGCCTTAGATAAAAGTTGCGCTGAAAAGCACTAAATAGTCCGCAACACTCTTATTCAATTATTTTATGTTCTAGCTGGAAAATGTAACCTTCACTACAGGCGTGACACTGCCGCCGTTGCAGTGAAATATTACGACTATATAACATAACATAATGATGTCGGCGCTGAAATGTAGGCCTGATGTGGCCTGTCGCCGATTCTTTTCCTTTTCGTGCCTTGTTCATAGATCTAAACTCGTATCATTTGATCGGATCTTTTCATGACTGGCGATAGTTTGAAGTAGCTACTAGACTTCCACCGGGTTCGATAAGGAGTGGGCGATAGTTGCCGGGGCTGCTTTTGTCACCTTTTTTGAACAATGGTGTTACTTGAGCTTCTTTCCAGTCGGACGGCAAAGTTCCTTCGTTCATATGCAGTGGCCTAGAGGAGATTTTTGACTAAAATTACTATCGCTCTAGAATGCAGAAGTGTACATTCTGTCTGGTATTCAAGTTTTATTTTGATCATATATCTGACTTTTTAAAAATAGATTTATTATAGGTAATCGACCTATTATAATAGATTCATAATATGAGATGTACGGTGCTGAAATTAATCTATTGATATTTTCAGTGCTTAATAATATTGTTCGCTGCATGCTTATGTTCAATGTTATGAATTTTTCTTATCGTTACTCCCATACAGGTAATTCAATGTGTACACAGTTTATCTTACTTTGATTTTTATTGACCTCTCTTCCCTTTATTAGACCCGGAAACCTCTATGTCACCTGATGTTCTAACATGCACATAAGTTTGACTTTGGCTTCTGAACGGAATTTATAATATAATATAATACAGTGTTTATTATATCGGCTGGCCGTAGGCCTGTCGCCGATTCTTAACATTGCAGAACATCCACAGCATGTTGCAGGCTTGGGCTCGCTGCTTTAAATTTTCTTTGATTAACCGCCCGGCCGCCTTGCCGATTCTGACCAGAAACTGGCGCGCAGAGCTGGGATCGAACCCGCACCACTCTGCTCCAATCTTGGTACTCTGAACTTTAAACTCTGGGTTTATAGAATAGAATAGAATAGAAGTGTCGGCGCTGAAGACATAGGCCCATGGCCTGTTGCCGATTCTTGAACTTTTCGTGACTTGATTCACAAGACATCCGGCCTTTGGAACCCGATCTTTCCATAACTATAGCCGTGGCCCCTGGTGTTGGTTCTTGTTTCAAATTCTAGTAATCCTTCTGGGACCTTGTATAAGCCATGAGTATATTTGTATACTTCAATGAGGTCCTCACGCAGACGTCGATAATGGAGGCTTGGAATAGAGTTGATTAACTGAATGGTTCCCCATAAAAGGTTTCCTTCTAGATAATGGCTGATTTTTTCAACACTGTTGTTTATGCTTGAAATACTCAGTTTGTCAAAAACACAATATGGACACAAAGATAGAATTCATGATTGCTGAGAACATTAGAAGTACGACATGGTATCCGGTGCACAACTAGGCACTTAATAGGTGCGATTTTATTTTCATAGTTAATGGACTTTGATGAGTTTATAAGATAATATTAAATATCGGTATGACGATTTACCATTTTATTACGTCGATTTTATTGTTCGTATGTAGTTTCATGTTAAGTTCTTCCTCATGATAATCCATAGTGCAAGCGTCTTTCCCTGTTTTTAGCAAAGAGACACTGAGTTTGACGTATTCGATATCTCAAGTTTTACTCAATTCAAATTGTTCATAGTATCGTCGCTACAAATTACTTAGAAGGCAGTTATTTGGAAAATAATATTTATGAAATAAAATCCGCGTTTTAGTTATTATTGCGGCACACAGAAAATTTCCAACCCGTTGGTTGGCGAAGTGTGGGTCTGCTGGGTCAGCAGGGTGGCCCAGTGGTTAAAGTTCAGAGTACCAAGATTGACGCACTAGAGAGGCTCGGGTTCGATCCCAGCTCTGTGCGCCAGTTTCTGGTCAGAATCGGCGAGGAGGCCGGGCGGTTAAGAACAGTTAACAGAATTGTAGCAGTGAGTTGTGAGTTCGAGACCGCAAAATGCTGTGAATGTTCTGCGATTGTTGTAAGCGAAAGCCGAGGTAGCTCAACATGAGCTTTATTCAACAAGAACACAACATCCTGGAACAAAATAACACTACTATAAAACAGGAAAACGGTAACGTAATAAGAATATATTCATATGTGAAGGTCTTACACATAACGAAACTATTTACAAATTACAGAATACATACTTACAAGTTACAAGGAGAACAGTAGTTTTAGGTCTTGAACGTACAAGAGCCGAGTCAATGCTAACAATGGTCATTAGTTGATAGTTCTAGAGCGAATTAACTTACTTGTAGGAACTATAGTACAGATATATGGAAGCATTATAGGTAGAATTGTTAAAGCATGGCTGCGGCCTGCGGCAACTGCTGTCTGCTGATATACGTTTTGATTTAGCAAGTAGATCATCTAGGTTTTTTTTTCAATATTATTATAATTATGTATATATTTCTAGTATTATTGTTATTATTATTGTTTTTTGTTTAATGAAGGTTGTTAAATTAGCAGCCCTTACTTTATTTACTTACCTAAATTACATTAGCAGTAACTCATTTCATTTACTAATATATGTTCCATTGTTCCCTGTAAACTTCTACCCTACCCAATCCTGTACTTGTGTACATCATCTTATTTGTCTCGATTTCCGCTTTGTCTCTGGTTTAACTGACTAAACTGTCTTTTCTGCTTATGTTAGGGAATATTATCCTGGGTACAACCGTACATGGCAATCTACTGTACTGTGATGGGTTGCGATTGACAGACAATCCATCTACAGCATGTGGCTTATACATACCAGCACAAGCAAGAGCAGTTGCATGGAGGCTTAATCCCAGGCACGGGCGCACGGCATCCTGTCAGCTGAATTGATTGCTATACTACATGCTGTGAAACTCATTGTAAGTGAAGCATCCCTATCCTGGGTTATTTTTTCTGACTCACTTGTGGCCTTGCAAGTTGCAACTCATACTCTCCCCAACGGACACATCTTGCGATCTTGTATATCAAATTCGTTAGCTGCTCCTTGGCCTGAATGAGAGGAAAACGGTGCACCTACAGTGGGTCGAGGCCCATGCTGGCATTGTTGGGAATGAGCGAGCTGATGCTGTTGCAAAGATGGGTCATACTCTTGACCATTCTGCATTGTTTCGTCTCTCTTGTTCTGATACACTTGCTTTACTTCGTTCTTGTTTTCTCAAGTCTTGGGAACTGGACTGGATTGCTGCTTTGGCTGTTGAAGGGAAGGGACATCATCTCGCTTCTGTGCGGACTGATTTGTCTCCTGTTCCATGGGTTGCCAGTTGCCAGTTGCTCTCGTTGTGCTGCTGGAGTGCTGTGGTACTTACTCGTCTTCGATTGGGTCATGTTGGTGTTCGGTCGTACCTCCATCAATTTGGCATGGCTGACACTCCCATGTGCTTGCATTGTGGGCCCGTGGGGTGGATGATACTGTGGAGCATTTTCTCCTGGCATGCCTTCGGTACCGCCTGGAGCATCAGTTGCTTATCACTACTACTCGAGCCATGGGTGTGCACCATCTAACTGTACGAACACTTCTTGGAGGAGGCAACTACCGCAGAAAGATTCAACATGCAATTATAAGAGCAACAATCACCTATTTAACGCAAACAAATTGTCCGACTTCCCTGTAATGCATGAGCACCACCTTGAATTTACCTGTGATCAAATCTGGAAGCCCATCTAATAAATCCTTCAAGGATCATTGACACTTGACGCTGAAAACTTTCTGCTGAGTCCAGGTGTAACGAGTGGTTATCTCTCGACTACTTCTTCACCTTCAAGCCGTACACACACACACACCAATCCTGTACTGAGCTTACATCAGCCAACCTCACAAGACGGCAGCAATTAATTTCATATACAAAGAAGCTGAAAACCACAAGCTATAAGCTCTCAGGCCCAACGGTCATCCATCTGGCAGACCTGCGGCTTTAAGTCCACTTCAAGTGGACACCCTGCAAAGAAGAAGTGTGTGTACCTAAGTGTAACTGTAAGCTACATGCATTTCTTATTATTGCTTAGAGAGTTTGATTGCAGACTTGCAGTGCCTTCTTGCTTCTTGGGTCCTGGCTTCTGGTTAACGCATGCCAGTAGAAGCTATATATAAATCTTCTATTATGAAGAAAGTATTAGCTGCTACATCGTTGAGCTACCTAATTCAAGAAATTTAGATGGCCAAGTCGTAACTTGGTCATGCGCTGACAGCGGCTGACTTTCATGGTCACACAGTCACACTCATTCATACTTGCACAAAAGTCACAGTCAATCAGAAATCACGTAATGTTAGATTGTTTTTCAATGGTTGTAGGTATCTATAACTCATATTACTTACTACTTAGCATACCTAAATGTATTTTGATTTAATTTGCTTATAATTTCAGGAAGATTTTTCCTACTTAGAAATTGATTCATTTGTGTTTCTGAAAATATCAAATCATCATGTCAGACGAAGAGTGGAAATCAGATGCTGGGAGTGATGTTGAAGACTCAACAGCCCATGCTAAACTAATGGCTGATATTGACTCCATTGCAATCAAGCCAAAGTAAGTCCCTAATCAGCCTAATGGCATATATCCAATTCTATCTTTAAGTTTAACTTAGCACAATTAATATTTAAAAATAGGGAGCAAATTTTTAAAGTGATAATAATATCATTAGGGTAAATGCGGTATAGGGTAAACGCGGTATATTCCAACATCGTGGGTAATTCCGACACCTCTCTAGTTTTTCCTTTATATTAAGCTTTGTTTTAGTTCCATGCGTTCGTTGATGGTTGAAATAGTGACGTCATACATTTGCGCGTCAAACTACTGCCAAAACACTGGGTCTGGGCCATCTAGCGGAAAAATGTTGAGATCCAAAGAGAGACGGTGCATGCCACCCAATGAGATCATCGAAAAATGTGTCAAAGTTGACAGTTGACCTTGCTCTACCAAATAGTGATAAACTGTTTGTGTAGGAAGAATATTATGGTTTGAGACTTTTAAATACGTCTGTGAATATATTGGGAATCCTTCATGTATACTTGTATTTGCTGATTTAAAGTGGTAAATAAATTGATAGATGATTAGGTTGAGAAACGCATTTAGACACATAAAAACTAATTCCGACACAACTTGAATTGGATTTGGACACACAGCTTGTTCCAAGCTGTGTGCAAAAATTATAATTTTCTTAATTAAAAGCTTAATAACTGGTAATTAAAAGCCTAATTAAGTAGTGCTCAATTAATTAAAAGCTTAATAACTGGTAATTAAAAGCCTAATTAAGTAGTGCTCAATATTCAATAGTGTTCTAATTCAAAGCCGTGTCGTATTCTAATACAGCTCACACAGCAATTGAAATTCAAACACATGGATGTCAGAATTATGTATTAGTACAATTTGAAGCGCAGTCGGAATACGTCTCACCACGTGCCAAATATAGCCACACACAGTGTCAGAATATAGGGATTTGGTAGGTTTGCATTCTAAAGGCTTTTAAATAAATATGGCAACATTTTGTGATGTTTCATTGTTGCTGGTGCATTGTGCAGTGTTTTGAGAGTCACATAAAGCAAGCAGAACTCGAGTAACGCATACGTTTTTTTTATAGTTTTTAATTTTTCGATGCGTCCTTAATGTGTCGGAATATACCGCGTTTACCCTAACTTGTTCATATTAATAAAATATTCAAATTTATCATTGAATTTTCATTGATAAAAACTTTTTATTGTTTTTCTTTTTAAAAGGTTGTAAATTAAAATGTTTTTATTAATAAGTTCGCTCCACTGAGCTGACTCCAGTGAAATTTTTGAAGGGTGATGGTTGTAGAAAAAATTGGCATAGGCTTTGGTTTAGTTTTCCCGACATGGAAAATGATGGAATATTGTACATTCTGTCATAGTGGCAAAGGAGAAGTCCCAGGGTGCAGAGAGTGGGTGAATATCAATAGATATTTGGCTATGCATCAGCATCAAAATTTACGCCTTCTGAAGATCTTGCTAACACATTTGGATTGAAATTATTGCATTTTAGAAATTACTTCAAAATTACTGCAAATCTGAAAGACAGCAAGCTCACACAGTAAGGTTTCCAGTATGCTTGATGGATCAGGATGCAGTGAAGCTTGTCTGGAAATCAGTTGCGATGTGTGTAAGTGTTGTGGTGTCTGGTGTGTGGAGGGCAAGGGATATGCTATCAAAGCTGCTTGCAGGTTGCAGCACTTTCTTATTAAAAATTATCTGGCGACTGACCTTGAAAATGACTGGCGTCTGGCAATGCTTTGGGTTAAAAATCCATATCTTGGCAATGCTGCTTGCACCCTCTGCACCCTGGAGGAGAACATAATTTGTTGCCCTTTCTCAAGTTCATTTGTGAGTTTTATAAGTAGACCAGTACAACAGTAAGTAAGTATCTTAGATACCATCATACAAGCATCATCACACATAATAAATTAATAAAAATATCAAGTAACAAGTACGTATACAAGGAAATTAAAACACACGTGCGATCAATGACCAGAGAATTCGTTGATTTATATTATGGGAGCTCTATTTTAAAAAATATAGAAATTCTTACCTGAACATGAATTACCAGACTGCAAAAAAAATATATATATACCTATACAATTATACATATGGCAGAAGCAATGTAATGGAAGAGATAAAGGCAATTTTAACCAGACAATATTTCTACTTAGTAAAATATTATTTATCTAAAATCATATACTTTTATTAATTACAAACTCTCGCAGCTTGAATAAACCTTTTATAAAAGTTTCTCCCATTACAATGGCCTTTTCCCAATTATTCAGTTAAAAATAAGAAAATCCACCTATTTTCAACAGCAGTTTTGGAAAATCACCTGTAAAATGATCATATTTACCCATAATTCTTGGGAACTTCTGCCAAATATTTTAAATTGGCAACCTAGAATCGGCATAGTAGCAAACAGAGATTTTTATAGAATCAGTTCATTTTTAATTTCCTTTTTATATTAGATGGCAGAATTTACTTGTTTACACACGTGCGATCGATGACCAGAGAATTCGTTGATTTATATTATTAGTGGGTGGAACTTTTCTTCAGATGACGGTAGATTAAAAGGCAAGTTTCAGAAAGTAATTCTTATTTATTAACAACGTTTCGAATGCAACAAACATTCATTTTCAAGTTAGAAGAAGCATTAAACATTGACATTTTTGGTGGAAATAAGTACATAATATAAGTAAATAGGATACAACAGTAAAATTTTGGACCAAAAATTACTCGGAAAATTATTCCAAAGTTCAGACAATTCCGGTAGTCAGAAAATAGATAGCTGGAGTCCAATCCGTAGAGATGACGGGTTCAGCCATCGCCGGTCGGTTGTTGTTGGGCCACTGCTTGATCACGATGCTGATGAGTACCTTCAGCACTTCAGTACAATGCGAGTGACAGTCTGGTTGTGAGCTTGTCTCGTGTGGTTCACCTGCCCTCCTCCAAGCAAGAGTTCTCCAAGAGGCTGGTGTATTCTATAAATTTTACTTCAAAGAAGGTTGTAGACTTCTTCACGTTATGGATTACATTGGAGTTATTGGAGTGACAACTGCGACATTGAACTGCCGTTTCTCCTACCACCAGAGACAAGCTCACTACCATAACAGGTCTCGAAGCATTATTAACAAGCCAGTTCATCTTAAAATCGTTGATGAATTTAAGAGGCTTTGTGACACTCATGACAACAATGTCAAATTCCAAACTGGACGCAACAGAGGCCCCCGCAGAAGCACGGGAGTTATCCGAGAGGCCGGTGTATAGTCTATAAATTTTGCTTCAAAGAAGGTTGTAGACTTCTTCATGTTTTAGACAGCATCGGACAAACAATCAAGACACCGAGCCACTGTCTCATTAGCTACCTTCATACTGGAGGGCAGGTGAACCACGCGAGACAAGCTCACAACCAGACCGTCACTCGCATTGTGCTGAAGTGCTGAAGGTACTCACCAGCATCGTGATCAAGCAGTGGCCCGACAACAACCGACCGGCGATGGCTGAACCCGTCATCTCTACGGATTGGACTCCAGCTATCTATTTTCTGACTACCAGAATTGTCTGAACTTTGGAATAATTTTCCGAGTAATTTTTGGTCCAAAATTTTACTGTTGTATCCTATTTACTTATATTATGTACTTATTTCCACCAAAAATGTCAATGTTTAATGCTTCTTCTAACTTGAAAATGAATGTTTGTTGCATTCGAAACGTTGTTAATAAATAAGAATTACTTTCTGAAACTTGCCTTTTAATCTACCGTCATCTGAAGAAAAGTTCCACCCACTAATAATATAAATCAACGAATTCTCTGGTCATCGATCGCACGTGTGTAAACAAGTAAATTCTGCCATCTAATATAAAAAGGAAATTAAAAATGAACTGATTCTATAAAAATCTCTGTTTGCTACTATGCCGATTCTAGGTTGCCAATTTAAAATATTTGGCAGAAGTTCCCAAGAATTATGGGTAAATATGATCATTTTACAGGTGATTTTCCAAAACTGCTGTTGAAAATAGGTGGATTTTCTTATTTTTAACTGAATAATTGGGAAAAGGCCATTGTAATGGGAGAAACTTTTATAAAAGGTTTATTCAAGCTGCGAGAGTTTGTAATTAATAAAAGTATATGATTTTAGATAAATAATATTTTACTAAGTAGAAATATTGTCTGGTTAAAATTGCCTTTATCTCTTCCATTACATTGCTTCTGCCATATGTATAATTGTATATATATAGATTTTTTTTTGCAGTCTGGTAATTCATGTTCAGGTAAGAATTTCTATATTTTTTAAAATAGAGCTCCCAGACCCACATGAAATAGGTATATATGTAGGTATAGGTACCTCAAAAGCAGGTGTACAGTGTAAAATTTCCAATTTATTTTATTATTTTCTAAACATTTTTTATGTTTTTCTCATGATTGGTAAATTCTACTTCTTACTGAAATCTTGGATCTCCAAAGTGACAGATTTTGATCAAATTTGGAATCTTGCAGCTCAATTATATATTTTGTCAACAATTAGGTACAAGATAATACATCTAGTAGGAATCTTGCAGCCTTTTTAAATTTCCAGGAAAGCTCTAGTTGCTGCTTAGAAGGTAGATATATTCCTTGCCTATTGTTTATAGAGTAACCTTATTGATGATTATTTCTTATTACAGAACCAATAAAGCAGCAGGAGGTTTGAGACACAACTCAATGGCAGCTGGTGGTGTTGATCTTGGGGCTCTGGCTTCTCTGGATCAACAAGTCTCTTCTGCAGCAGCTCTCAAGGAAGCAAATCCCATTGCTAAACAAAAACACAAGAGGGTAAGTAGTGGCTCATATCCTCACTGGGCTTGAAGTGTTTCATTTATGTGTGTCTAAGCAGCTATAAAAAATTTCTGTGTCCAAAACATATTCAGTATCTTGATACATTTTTGATAAGCTTAAATGCTTGACATCTGCCTTTAACTTGTATGCAAGGGAAGTTCATAGCTTCAATTTTTTTGTCATGCTTGATTGCCCTTGCTCAGTTAGGTACACGTATTTGTAAAATAATTCAGTACCTATCTATTCAGTAAAAGTTTCATGTACCAAGAATTATGGTTGATTTGAAATTATTTGTAATGGTTATGTTGCCCTCTCAGGTTTTAAGAAAGGAAGGCTATGCAGTCCTAGCTGAGGACCTCAACAAATGGGCAGGTGTGGTGCACCACATGCGCACTGCCAAGCAACTGACATTCCCACTACCCGATAACAAAGTGTCTATGTTTGAACAAGACCATCGCACCAAACCACAACTCAAAACAAGTCTCCAGAAAAAACTCTTTGGGCTAATGAATGATGCTGGTTTGATCAAAGCTAAGGAGGTAAATTGTCTAAATGGTGAACTATTTCTAAATGGTATTGATATAAATAGTATTAATTTTAACATCTCAGCTTTTAAAAGAACTTGATGTTACCTAATAGTTATGTTTTTTATATTTATTAATTTTCTTTTACATCCCTTAAATTGTGTTATCAACATTAATAAAATACATGTGTTTTGTTTTTCAATAACATAATTATTTTGCAGGAAACCCCCCAAGAGAAAGAGATCCGTGAAGCGCTCAGTCTGGAGGAAGTGAAAGCACGCAACACAGATGCTTGGCGCCTCAGGATTCTTCGAGACAAGATTGGCAAGAAGGCTCACCTCAGAAATAAAACTAAGAGTAAAAAGTTAGTTGCTCAAAATTTTCTCAACTATCATTGGTCTGGTTCCTAACCCAACAAGAAATTTTCAGTGAATTATCATTCATGAAAACATCATTACCTTATGTTGCTGGCTCTTTGCATAATAGAATGTCAGGCATTCAGTTTCCAACATTGATATTTTACCATGGCAGGTATCACCGCGAGCTGAAGAAAGATCGCCTGAAGAAACAGGCAGCTGAGCTAGAGAACCTGAAGAAGGTGGACCCCAACAAAGCACTGGAGAAGTTACAGGAGCTGGAGGAGATCAGGATAGAAGAGAGGATGAGTCTCAAGCACAAGAAGAGCAAGTGGGCAACTCAGCTGCAGCGGCGAGCTAACACTGATAAGGATGTGAGACTGCAAGGCCTGGGATGGTTTAGGCTGATTTATTCTTGGTTCTTATTTTAACAATGATTTATTGGTGTAATATTTATTAATCACGAAAATATAAGAACTTTTAGGCTACATATTTTATTTAGGCAATTTATACATGAATAATATTTATTTTTAGTTTTACTCTGACTTGAGGAAAATCAGTGATTGATGCTGTCTACATGACCAATATTACTGGTACTTGGCTTTTGTATCAGAATTCTAAGAGCATTCTGTATATAAATTTTTATTGCAGGCCTTAGCCAAACTGCAAGAAAACGCGCGGCTCCACACTGAGCTCATGCAGAAGCTTCAGCAGCAGCAGGAAGACTTGCAGGACGAGGACGCCAGCTCTAGTGGTGACTCTGACGACGATGAGGACCAGGCCGAGACTGTCACGGTGAGTCGAGTGATGACGAGGATGACCAGGCCGAGACCGTCTCGGTGAGTCGAGTGATGACGAGTCGAACGACGATGGTGATCAGGCCGAGACCATTACGGCGAGTCGAGTGATGACGAGTCGGACGACGATGGTGACCAGGCCGAGACTGTCACGGTGAGTCGAATGATGACGAGGATGACCAGACCGAGACCGTCTCGGTGAGTCGAGTTATGACGACTCGGACGATGATGGTGACCAAGCCGAGACCGTCACGGTGAGTCGAGTGATGACGAGTCGAACGACGATGGTGATCAGGCCGAGACTGTCACGGTGAGTCGAGTGATGGCGAGTCGGACGACGATGGTGATCAGGCCGAGACCATCACGGTGAGTCTAGTGATGACGACTCGGATGACGATGGTGACCAGGCCGAGACCATCACGGTGAGTCGAGTGATGACGAGACGGACGACGATGGTGATCAGGCCGAGACCGTCACGGTGAGTCGAATATTCCAGCGCCAGTTCCCTTATTTGCAGAGGAATGCAAACATTCCCTTATTTACAAGTGTAATTCAGTGTTATGTAGTGAATTTTTTGCCTATTTCTCTGAAGTATGTCATTGTAAGTAATCCCTATTTTATGTGTTGAATGATTATATGTCATTGATTACTGTACTAGTTGAAAAAAGTGATCTACCGGTACTACTTTAATGTCTGTGCTTCCAAGTATTTTTGACTAATGTTTGTGTGAGAAATATCACCCTTTTTGCTGAAATTTCTGCTTTAGCGTATCTCTGTGTTGCCAAGGAAGTAATTCTAGCCAGCCACTTCTGTATGAGATAATATTCTTTTTACTTGAAATTTCAAACACTAACGTTACAGCTGATTTTTGTAATTATTTATTTTACATAAAAAAATTCTTCATGATCAACTTTTGCTCGTGCCAGAAAAACGCGACTCCAGCTCCAGGCGTGGCTGACCAGGCCTACATAAAGATGAAGAAATTTTGGGGGGAATACAACAGACAGAAAGAAGAAGAATTAAAAGATCGTATTGAAGAGATCAGGAAGAAGAAAAATGTGCCACAGAAAGGTGAAGAAGAATTAATAATCGAAGAGGCTAATAAAATCATTAAGAAAGAAATGTCAGCAAGAAAAAAGAAAAACAAAAATTGTGAAGCGGACACAGACGACAAAACGCCAACAATCACGCAGTTTGAATTAACTTTCGACTCTGAGAAGCCAGACCAGCCGCTTCATGAAGGAGCTGTAAGACTACGAACCATTGAAGACTATGAAAATTTGGGTCCTGATAAAACCTCTGCTACGGAGGCGGCGGCTGCCACTCCCATCACCGATGTTCCCTCTAACAAACAACTGAAGGGACTTCCTGAAGTCGATGCAACACATTTCAAAGCTGTGAGTAACCAAATTTTTCTTAACTTTCCATGTCTAGAAGTTATAATAGTACACAATGTGAATGTTACCTCGGTCTTTTTGAAATGCATTTTATAGTGTCTATCCATTATATTATCTGATGTCAATACTCGAATATTAGTTTTTGAAGCCATTATGTAATCTGTACTCCGTATTTTGAATCATTTTGCATCAACCTATTTTATTTTTCAAGCAATATACACTTATAAAAGTAATTAAATGAACGTTCACCCAGTGATTTTTCCATAGGCTGAGAGTTTGTACCGCTTGGGGTTATTAGGATTAGGAACACAAGAACTGAGTTTTCTGTTCCGATGCTCATTTCTTGCCACCAAACAGTTCTGTATAAAGCAGAGTATCTCGATGGTTAACAATAGAGAAGCGCTCTAGTTTTTACTTCAGCATGAAGTTGATCAGCTTCTAATGTGGTATGAACATAGTTTGTGTGTTTTACAAATTTCATGGAATTTTTTATGTTATGGTTATTTTGAGAACGAATATACAGCAGAGCCACAGCTTCTTAGCGCTTTAAAAACAACTGAAAACTTTGAATTCGTTGTTTTTTTTTCAGCTGGAAACCAAGGTGTTGAGTAGCGCGAAGTCTCGCGTGTCAAATCTCTTTAATGACGATGGAGATAGCGACGCTGATGGCGACGTCAACAACGAACTCTTCGACGAAGATGACAACGCGCTAGAGGAGTTCAAGTGAGCCTGCTAATCTTATAACTTCTCTTGAGTATATGGAACGGCACGTGGTGTCACATTTATGATTAACGCACTAAGCAGCCTTCCACAACCCATTTTTCTCATTGAGTGTAATAATATTTCAAGAGACTCCCGATTTTTACTAAGAATCTATTATTCAATACCAATAATGGTTTTATAATAATATGATAATTTTTCAAGCAATCTGTTTATTATGAGCTTTAAGTTTATCATCGCCTTCTACAAGCCATAGAAGAAAAACTGAAAATCCACTAGTTGAAGATAGAAAGCTTGGTGTAATTTAGCTATTTTGAGGGCTTAGGGAAAGTTGGATGTTTTAATTTAGCAATATAGATATAGAAATATTTATGAAGGAAGCAGCAGGCTTAATATGTCATATTAATTAGTTTACCGATGTGGGGAAGTTAGTGTGTCTAAAGGCAACAACAGAAACGATTTGTTTACAGTAAGCAGAAGCAGGCGGCCGAGGAGGCCGCGCAGGTCAAAGACGAGTGCTACGCCCTGCCGGGCTGGGGCGAGTGGGCCTCGCCTGACTGCCTTATTTCACAGAAGAAAATCGAGAAATACACGTAAGTTGCGCAGGGTGCGATCTGGGGCTCTCATCTGCCTCCATGTATTAGTCTCTGAATTTAATTGAGCGTTTTTCTCCACTGTTGCTGGTTTCAAAGATCAACTCATTGAACTTGTTTACCGCATGGCTTACATTGTTGCTAGTTATAACGAGTTTTAACGTGTGATTGTTAATATATGTGTATTAGTGAATTTTCATCATTTGATTTGGTATTTATTTTCGAAATTTAGATTTAACAAGATTTTCAGAAGAACTATTAGACCTTAGTATCCTTAGTATATTCTTCGGACGTAGGTAGCAGTAACAGGCCACAATGGATCGCCGCCTGTACGCCGACGAATAATAAAATGCGTTATTTTCCAGAATTAAGGCGCCCAAGAAACCCCCGGCCAAAACGGGCAATTTTATTTACAATGAAAAGGCTGACCTCCATCCTGCTATCCGAGAGCGCATGGTAAGTATAATAATGTGCCCTACTTGGAGTTTAATAATTATTTTATACTTGATATTACATTTACGTTATATTTTTATACTATGCCTTGTGCTGAGCTAGACGTTGCAGAATCAAGAAGCAGGTTGCTTGTACAATTGAGTTTTCCTGTTGAATGCTGGAATTACTTGCAACGATATATTGCGGCTTTAGGCGCTGTCCATATTTGACCACTAAATTTAGCACCAACGTTTTTCCTCTTTTTTTTTATTACCACGTTTTCCTTGACTTCGTTTCGTGTCCGTCTGTCATCAAAAATTCAAACCTTAATTTAGAGCACTTCTAAACATCCTAGTAAGTTGAAATTTGGCATGCATGCTTATGCTGCCTAACAATTCAAGATTTGATCATCTGAAATAATAATTAGAGAAACATTAAAAAAAAATTAAAAAGTAAAAAAAAAAACACTAACAATTCACGGTTTGGAATTGAGTTTTTTCTCGAACATCCACACTTGCCTACCCTGGAAATTGATTTGAATTGCTAAAATTGCTAACTAGAAAGTAGAAAATAATTAAATATAAATTTTTTTTTTAAAACCATGTTTTTCGGGTTTTTACAAAACTAAAAATAGTGAAATAAAATAAATAAAAAAAACTTGTAAAAACTACGTTTTCTTAACGGACAAAAAAAAAACATTTACTCTTACATAACATTACATAACATTTTACATAACTTAAATGTTATGTAAGAGTAAATGTTTTTCTTTTTTGTCCGTTAAGAAAACGTGGGTTTTAAAATTTTTTTTTAATTTATTTCATTTCTGCTTAATTTTGCAGTTAATTGACATTTACGTCTTATGTGTTGTGGCTGGAGGATATGCCGACATTTGACGGCGTATTTTGGCCCGTTATTTTCCTATTTTAGTTCAATGTTGGAACCTGTTACAATAGCCTGTGTAATATTGCAGGTGAAGGAGCTGCTAACTTTTGATGGCGTATTATACACCGTTCTTTTCCCACTATTTTTCTGTTTAATGTTGGAACCTGTTGCGATTGCCTGCGGTGTGTTACAGGTAAAGGAGCTGCCGTACCCCTTCAAGAGCGTTAGCGACTGGGAGGCCAGCGTTCGGTTTCCTATTAGCCGCGCATTCGTACCTGAGACGGTCCACCAGAAGATCATCGCCCCGAGGGTGGTGAGGAAGGCGGGTCAGGTGATCAAGCCTCTGGATCAGTCGCATCTCTACAACCAGCCTGAAATTAAGCGCGCCGTCAAGAGGAAAATGCAAGAAGCCGCAAAAAGTGATGGAAAACCGCTGCAGAGTGAGCCAGCTTGTAAGAAGATGGTCGCTTTCAAGAAAAACCCCAAGAAATTCAACAGAACTTCCGTTGTTTAATAAACGACCTGCTGGCATACAAAAGTATCATTTAGTTGAACCTTTTTTGTTGAAATTTCCGAGAGAACATGAAAATTTTTAAAATGAAGAATATTAAATTTAATTATAGCCAACTTTATTCACGGCCTCTTTTCCCTTGGAACTCTTATGAATCAATGGAACTGATGAATAAATTCAACCAACAAATGGCCGTTCAATTTTGTAATGAAATGACGCGTGAAAATTTCTGTCTTATTCGACTGTCTGCCGGTGGATTTATTGGTCATGGTAGTCTGGCGCGCATCTTATCACACCAGATTCCTGGGTTTTGTCTTTAATCTGGTTTGTGATGCGTTCAGACTAAAGGGGAGTGGCACCCCCTTGCCTCCAGAGCTATTCTATTGGATTCTATACCTTCAATTAAGTACGTATCAGATGAACAACTCTTCTGTGACAAGGAAACAAAGTAGTGAAGTAGGTAATGATTTTAATATCAAGTGTATCGACTTTCAGTTGTGGAAATTAACATTGTTATATGGGACTTGCATATAACGATATTCTTTAAATGTACTTTATGAGGGAATTCTCAATTATGGCGTTCTGTATCTAATTGGTATTGGCGACGTCATTGCTTGCTTTAGATAATTACATGTTCTTTCAGCAATGCTCTTTGTTTTAAGGTGAAGAAATAGGATTTTGTTGCCGCAAATAAACTCGCAAGTGCTGTGCGAGCATGGGGAAGTTCACGAAACTATTGTGGTGAGTGCCTTTTAGGGTGTTGTCTGTCCAGCGTAGCGAATATATTCTTTAGTAAATCCATCAGCCTCGTCAATTTCTCCTTGTTAAATTGATATAAAAATTACGTTTTGTGTTAGTTCGACGTAATTTTAACATTTAGGTTTCGGTATAATATCTGTTGGCGCTGAAATATGGAACGTAGAATTAAGAATCTGATCTACCATATCTGATTAGTGTTTGTTGCTAGAACAGAACATGAGCCATAGATTAAGATGCGTGATTCTAAATCATCCACATGATATTCTTTAGGTTTGGGACGCGTGCTGGTATAGCAGGCGGTGCGGTGTATGCTCTTAACGAGCAGCGCGTGTGGAGCAGCGACACCGACACGCGCGCCATCTACGAGCGCGCCAGACAGACTGTGCCGCAGGAGGTTGCCGACTTTTCACAAACTGTACGTGGTGGTGGTGCACTAAAGTGAAGTACTGCTTTGTTCTTAACACGTTGACTACGATTGCTTCATCTTGTACTATTATTTCATTTTTTGTACTGTTTTTAAACAGGGTTGCCAGACGGTTACTTTTTCCGGACAAATTCCGTAATTTAGTTTTCCTCAATGGCATTGGCCGGCTAAAATTTATAATAGCGGTACTTCCTAATTAAATTTTAAGTACTGGAAAAAGAAAATAAATGGAATTTGTATAGCGGAACCTACAAATAAACTAGTATATATTGGGTTATTGGCCTTTTTAGCGCATTTTCTCATTTATGGAAAAAATGCACTATTGTGCTCGCCATGTCCGTCCGTCCGTCTGTCTGTATAACCGTCCGTCTGTCTGTTTGTCCGTCCGTCCGTCCGTGACTTCACGTTTTCGTCGACGAGAAAATGCGCTCTCTGTCACTCACTGCAGTGAGTACTGAGTTATATTTTTTTGGCCTGTTTTGTTCTCGGATTTGGCCGATTTAATGCAACCTGAATCGTGTACCACTTCGTCCTGGAGAAATACATTTCGTGGTACGCATATGTACCACTTCGGAGTCAATGTGTTAAATGTTGTTATTGGTGTTGTATTATTTCGTTCTTTATTTAATATAACGTGGCTCTGCTAACAGTTATTATTAGAAGGCTTTTTTAGAAAACATACTCGAAGACTTGCACTTCATACTCGTAATTATAAGACCAAAGTTTGCTGGGTGACCTCTTACCTTGAAGTGGTACGTAGTTGGACTCAAACCAGTTGAACTACAGTTCTTCACACTTATTTAATTAAGTCTTTCAAGTGGCCTGAAATTCATGTAATAATCTCTGTTTACAGTACATCACACCGTACGTGCCTAGCAAGAAGTACCTGCACCTTGACCTGAGTCAGCACTGGAACAACGCTGTGCTCGCCACGTTCGGTTTTCTGTCTCGTCTCCCCGAGCTCACGGCCGACGCGGCGCAGTACACCGCCGCGCTCGCCACCCAAGCGATGGCCGCCGTCGCCGACGCCGCTCCACTGGAGGAGCAAAGCGAGAAGCCTGCTGCTGCTGCTCAGGACTCTGTGGCCCACAAACATCAACATGAAAACCTGGCGAACACAGAAGATCAAGCCTCTGATCAGAAGTAGACATGCCATTTTTTGTGTCAGAAATTTGTTCTATATTTCATGTTCTTCATAATTCTAATTAAGTGGATAAATAGCGAGTATCGGAAAGTAGTTAGAAATCGCAAATTAGGACGATTAAATGAAAAATTATCCGGGAAGATTCTAGCTAATTTCTCGTGCACCTTTTCCCCTCACCCCCAAGTAACCGTTGGGTTATCGTTTACACAATGTAGCTGTCAATATAATGGTTAGTTTTCGGTCTTTAAGCCCTTAACTATCTCATAGTTTGTGCTCTCAACGCTGAGTGGTTGTTTCTCCATTGTCGGCAATGATAGAAGCATTTATCCCGGTTCCATTTTTTGGCAGCAAAAAACCATATATGTAAATAATGTTACGATTATGTGAAGTTTTCTTTTAAATTGTGTTTCCTTCTACCCTACGATGAAACGGAAAAATTTCAGAAACGATTATCTGTTCAATGCTGAGGCATAGTTCAAGTGAAATAATGTCGCCATATTTTTGTTGATTGAGATTTGCTAGGAATGACCGTCTGCCAATTCTTGATCGAAATAGAGGTGAAGTATTCTCTTTTCAACTCTTAACTGAAGTTTATAATTTTTGGAGCCGAAATTCCTGGAAACGCGGTAGGCTAAATTAATTTCACGACTAATTTATTAACAAAAATAATTTGGATGGACCCTTAAATGATGATTAGGTAAGAAGATAAACAATATCGTAAATTTGTGCTGTATTGGTCTTGCAGGAAAGAATAATGTCATTTAATGAGCTCGCATCGTATCGTGTAAACAAGGACCATGGATTGTATCTAACTGCTGCTCACTGCTTGCGTAATCCTAGAGTCGCTGGATGCGTCACACAGCTACCGAAATGTGTTTTTTTTTTTATATGCAACGCTCTTTGGTAAGTATAGCCAATCAAATGGAATTTCAGAAGGCATCGATTAACAATGAAATATATAGCGAGCTATGCAAGGCTATCAATATTTATAACTACTTATCTGTTGCATAGTTATCCACCATTGCTTCATATACTACTCTGTTACGACAGGAGTTGATTTTCTGACTACACATGAAAGCTTCGAAATCATCGACAAAACAGGGTGTCACTTTGAAACCATTTGATCAGTGACGCTGCTATCTGGTTGTGATGACCTCACAGCGGGAGTGTCCATATCTGATAATAGTTGCGTGCCATCCTGAAAACTCAGCCATGAATTGCTGGTAGACGTGGTAATTTGTGCGGCTCTGTGATCAAATTGGCGTGAAACTTTGCTGCTGATGATACCTAATCATTTCTCTTATGCGACTAGTTTGATTTCATTTTACAAGAAGTGATATTTCATTCGTTAAAGTCTGAGACAATTTTAGATACCGTGGTGTAAGTATTTAATACAAATGTGTTCTGCCGTAAAATTAATTGCTGCTCCATAAGTTTAGTCTCTTGCGTCGGTTTCTTCGCTTTCTCCTAATGTTGGAGGAAAAACGATAAGTTATTCTAGCCTAACAGCATTCACTCTGAATCATTCAAACGAATTAAAAATTAAGACCAGTAATTCCTTTCGACTAAATGATGGAAAAAATTGAGGAATAATCAACAGCTAAATAGCGGGATTAAAATTAATTGGAAATTCTCTATAATGCCATCGGTTTTCGAATGTTCGGACGAAAGCAACGCATCAGTAGCTGGTCTCTTGTTGTGTGACGATGTGACCGACTGCCCCAACGCAGCAGACGAAGTCAGCTGTCCACGTAAGTCATCATCAAGTTTATTAAACTTAAATTATCATTTCCACACACACGATAATATAATACTGACCTTCACGAAGATAAGGCTGTGTTTGGCCTCTCGACGATTTTTAATCTCGCAGATTTTTTCTGCTCGTTTTCAACTCGCAACTCACATCTGCGCTCGCGGTGATCTCAAATCGCTTAAATCCTAAGTTCTGATTTCGAACAGAATTTTCATTGCTGGCTGAGGCTAACACTCTCAACTAATGACTCCAATATATGTGACTTTTAAGCACTAAGTCGCCCAACCGTGAAGTAATGAAAGAAAGTTGCAATGAAACCTTGATTAATTTTAAAATAATGCACACATGGAATTGTTTCTGATACGTGACTACGTCGCGTAGAAAAGGGCTTCTCACAGTTGTTCTCCTTACTTTCTACTTCAGGAATTAGAAATTCAATAAATTCAGCGTAAATGATCGATTTTTTGTTTGAATGTTTTATTATATTGCCAATTAATCATCAGTTAAAATCCAGTTTAATTTATTTCGTTATTCTTGACTCCACTTACTTTGAGGGGTATTGGAAGGTAGAACATAATAGCATAGCATAACCGTCACTGCATAACATAGTGATGTCGGCGCTGAAGAGTAGGCCTGATGTGGCCTGTCGCCGATTCTTGTACTTCTAGTGACTTGTCCACAGGAGATCTAACAATAGGTCCTGCGACCGGATCTTTTCCAAACTGGCGATCGTTTAAAAAATAAAAATACTACTACTAGACTTCCATCAGGTTCGATATGGTTCTAGGCATTTCAAGTTTATTGTACCTATTCAATGAATATTCTACTTTTTCTTGATTTATTTAATTTTCTTCGTTTAATTTTACTGCCAAATTTTTTTCTTCCTTTCGTTTTATTCTTGCCGAAGACATCCTGATAATTTGCACTTCCAGATAACGGTTTACAAACCACTTGTTCCAGCGCCCCAGTGCGAGCCCGGGTTTTTCTACTGCCAGCCCATAACGAAAATCCTGGCGTCGTGTTGCTCTCCCCGAGCCGCCCTATGTAACGGCATCACGCAGTGCACGTACGACGCCGACGAGAGTCTCTGTGGCATTTGCCTGCAGGGTTTCTGCCTCAACGGTGGCACGTGTTTACTTGACGCCCATGCAGCGCCGTGGTGCACGTGGGTTAAAATACCTGTTCTTTTAGAGGTCAAATGCCTCCTGCTGGATTATTGCCGCTGACAGATAGGAGCTTGATTTCCATATTGTGACGTCACTTCCTTGATTTGTAACCCCCTTCCTTACTTCAAAAGTCCTTGAATGACTCCCGGGGAGGTCTTGATTCCTGCTTTCCTTGCTTCGACTGTTAAATGTGTTCCACGTCTACGTGGACCACGTAGACGTGGACATACATACACTATGTATATCTACGTGGAACACGTAGACGTAGACACACATACACTATGTATGTCTACGTGGAACACGTAGACGTGGACATGCATACACTATGTGTGTCTAAGACGAACATGTAGACGTGGACATAAATACACTATGTATGTCTACGTGGAACACGTAGACATGGACATGCATACACTATGTATATCTACGTGGAACACGTAGACGTGGACATACACACTATGTATGTCTACGTGGAACACGTAGACGTGGGGGACGTAGATGTTCCACGTCAACGTCCACCACGTTCATGCAACGAAGTTTTTTTTTAAATCATTTTCGTATTGATGAGTTACTCGACGTGATAGTGATTATTTTTGTGAGGACATTAATTTGAGCATTTGTTGAAATAAAATGCCTCAATTTTAATAAAAAACAGTTCCTAACCTCCCTTTTACGTGCGTTTAACTCGAGTAATCTACTTCAATAAACACCGAATTCGAATTAACTGTAGGAATGTTCGATATGGTTCGATATGATTATAATCTAAAAAAACTACAACCTAAAAATAAGCAATTGTATTTGTATAGTTGCGTGCCCCCGCACTACGGCAATCGGTGTGAGCGGACTATGCCTCCAGAGGAGGGGTCGGGGCTGGGGGGCCGTGCCATAGCTGGGGTCATCATGACGAGCCTCTTCCTGTTGGTGGTCTGCTGGGTGGTCTTCTTCTACTACCGCACCCGCAGCAAGTTCGTGCTCAAGTTTATCTTAAAATTATCTATAATTTTTATCAGCATCATTTAGATTATCTCGCGAGAGCCAAACACGTAAAAATGTGACTGGGAGCACAAAATCTGGGCCTATACTTTCAAAAAAAGTTAAGAGATCGTAAGTTCATCAGCCAATCATTGACGGCATTTCAAGCAAAATTCCACCAATCATAGACAAGAAAATAGAGCGTAAGTACTGACGTTCACTTAGCGAGTTTTGAAAGTTTGGCCCCTGGCTTGTATTCGCTCGGTTGAGCGCCTCCAGCGGAGTGTTTTGTTTCCATGCTCTATATTTTCTACGTGTTCGCGAAATAGTATAATCCAGTAATAAAAAACCAATTTGTAACTGGAAGCCCGTTTAAATTTTGTTCCACTAATTCTGCTGACTCAACCATAAATACAACTTAAAATTCAGTAGGCTTATCATGAGAAAAATTACTGACATGACGAGAAAGTGGATCTTGACTTGACACTACATTTGGATTTAATTGGTAGTTTTAAACGAGCGCAATCTGTTGTTTGAGTGAATAGAATGCTACACATGAATATAATCCACGGGTATAACTTTTAATGTTTGACTAATTTATGATGATAACCAAGAGGATGGACCGCGTAACGTAGTCGCTATCATAAAATATTTTCGCTTGGTCATCCTGTGTTAAATATTAGAAAAAAATCAATAAAATTCAGAATTTTCCAGCAAATTACACTTCATGGATATTTTACTACTCTAATCAATACTAGGGTTATTCGGCCTAAAACTTGAATCAGTTGGAGGTTTTAGTTTTCTAAAAACTTTCTCCCGAAAATGACGAAGTACAATGAATTAAAATAAGTACCAGTAATTAAAACGAAAATTTTGTGAAAAATATCAAAAGTTTATTTGTGAAAATATCAATGGAAGTTCTTGAGTGTCTCCTGTACAACCACTTAAACACTTTGAGAATGAGAATTTTGTAAGCTTGCTGGCAATAGCAATTTAGTAACGAGAGAAATAATTTAAATCTGGATTAATAAGAAATTTATTACTGAAACTACTCTCACATAAGCGGTACGATTAGCGGTTGACTTCGAATTTTAAATTTTCTCGAGAACTTTTAAGCAACATGAAAAATACGACTAAGATTCTGTAACTGTAAATTTAAATAAATTTTTTTTTTTGTAAACTCAAAGAAAGACCGTAAATTTCGAATTATTTTTTTTTTCAGGGCATTTCCTGACTTGGTAGCAGAGGTAGCTGGAGGACAGTCAGAACATTCAGGGAACTTTTTGCTGCAGTCAGCGGAGTTGGCTGATGCAGCACCTCTACACGTCAGCTCCTTGACTGTCGACCGCCGCGAGCTGAAGAGTAGCACCCCTGCGAGACCAATGGCGTCCTTCTCTCAACTGTCATTAGGAGCTCACTTAACAGATGATGCTTACTGCTATGGAAATAAGACGTTCTGTCCACTTGATGCTTCATCTTCTCATGGTCAAAGTTCTTTGAATTGACCTAAAGGTGCCGAGATAACTAAACCAATAAGTGATCCAATACAGGGCAACGAAATGTACAGCATATAATAAAATCAGTTCATTATTTTATTTTACAGTTTAATGCAACGAATGCTAATTGTAAATTTAGTAAGCTATTAATCTTTTCAATGAATTGCCATTTCTTCATGGAAATTGGGCGAACAAGACATAAATAAGAATGATTTGCAGTTAACATGAAAGTCCAGCACCGAATTCAACAGCTCCTATCGGCCATCAAGTCTTCGTTTTTACAACACTTCTCTTTAACTTCACTTCTTGTTTGTCTGTCTGTTTGTCTGTCTGTCTGCTACAAATCTTGTAATCGAAATTTAATACACTTCTACTGGGGAGGGTTGCTCAGTGCCCGGGGTGCAACAGGGTGCTGTCGGTCGCCAATATGGCGAGGCACCAGAGGGCGTGCCTGGTGTGGGACCCTGGGGGGGGGGCAAGTCCCTGACGGGGATCGACGGCCCGGAAACGGAAACGGAACGGAATTGTAATATTCAATTGAACACTGTTAACCTCAGATATTATGAAATACCAGAGATGTAAAAAAATTTTAGTTTATTTTAGGTCTGGTACATATTCCTAGCCAGTTCATTGCAAATTATTTCGTATTTTCGTGCAAATAAGACATCATTATATTCAAGGACGAAATAAACTAACGGATACAAAATTTTGTCAGATAATTAATTATTTCCTTGACCACCAATCAGTTAATATTAAAGCAACTTTATCAAATGAAATGCGAAGTATTGAATACAAATGATCGATTTATTATAAACAAAATTGGAGTCTCTGTTGAGACAAAAAGGAAATTATTTTTTTTGCGGAAAATCTGAACTAATAAAGATTAAAGTTTGATTTCTTTTTAATTTCCTTTCAGTAATTTCTTTTGCACGCATGGAATCATGCGTCCATTTAGTACTCATCTCTTATTCACGCTGTATGCTCGAGATGCTCAACAAAGTTTAGCGTACATTCCTACAGTGGTTCAGTGGAAATAAAGGAAAGTTCGGCCGTCCTGGGGCCGCATGAGCGTATGCCCAAGTCACCCCACCTAGCATTCCTCAGCGTCCTGGTCGCCACCAATATGGCGGGGCCTTCCGGGTTCCTTGGATTCCGGTCAGCAACACCGACCTTCCCACATCCCCATAAGAGGAGTCTGCTGTGGGAAATTGGGGGATAAGTCTTTGACCCCCACTACGTCACTTTGAAATGAAATTTGTCCACTAATTAGTAGACTTGAAAAATTTCTGGTATATGCTTATTTTTTTGTAATTTCATTCATACCACAATGCAGGTCCAAATAAGTGTATAAGTGTCCAAGATAAGAGACTTACGTGGAAATATGAGAACCATTTCGTGTTCAGAGTACGATGCATGGGACTTGATTGGTTTTCAATGAATGCTTATTGTGGGTACGTCGACACATGATCATTACAAATGTAAGAATGATGCACTGTCTTAGAAATTACAAGGATTTAGGCAGGTAGTAAATTTATCAGAATTGTCATTGCATGCCTGTCGGCATTTAGAGCGACGGTCAAATGAAATCCAAAGCTATTAAGGCTTTATAAAATGTACCTGTTTAATGTCGTACAGTCTCAGTTGGGCTTTAAAAGAAATTATTTACGATATGAAAAATACTTAAATTACTTCAGCGCTATCGTCGTCCGAGAGAAATCGTGCACTTCCTTATGCATTGCATGGAAAGTCGGCCAGGAATTTCAATCGTTAAAGACGTGTTATAAATTTAGATTAAATGCAATGATCTTTATTCGACCATGCGAGAAAAATGCGCTGAATAAAATTCGAGACGATAGAAAAAAATAGGCGTCATTGAGATAAAATGGCCATAGATATTTTATATTTTTCTGCATCACCGCATTATGTAATGGTTCACAATACGCAAATTTGTGTTTTATTCATTTAGTATATGTTTTTGCTTGACTGGAAATTTGAATGTTTGCGTGTTAGAGGGCATTTCTGTAAATATACTGGGATTATGCCAAGGAGCATCTAGAATACAGATCGTATCGGTAAATCAACATGGTCTGAAATTATATTCTCAGCGTTGCAATCGCTGAGAGGTCATAGTGAAATATTTAATTATCTCATTATCTCTCAATAATATCTCATTTTGTAATTAACTTTGAGTAAATTAAATTACAAGAAACAATATAAAACCATTTCAAATTTCAAACGGGTGCTAAGTGCAATTTAACTGGATATTTCTCTAATTTACATAACTTCTGTCTGAAAACTATAACGATAGCAAAGAACAATATTTGAAAACTGTAACGCGACTTTAAAATCTGTGGGATCTGCCCTGACCAAACACATGCCACCCAAAATTTAATGAGTAATTTATTACTAAGAGTTACTTTGAGCTGGTGTAAGTACAAACTTCTCAGAAGGTTACAAAGCGTTGAACGGACGCCCAGATGTGTCATTGTGCGCGTGTATCATAAATCAACCTGAGGTAGCGGTTAGTTCAAAGCGATTTGAGGCAACGTCCGGAAACAATGGTTACAATTAACGCAATACATTTGCTGATTGTTTATATAAGATACAACTTTCTGAACATGATCTGTGAGCAGAGCTGGGTAGCGCTACTTTGAAATGTAGCGCAGCTACCGCTACCGCTACATGCTCTAAATGTAGCGCGTTACCGCTAACACTACAATTGCTTAAATGTAGCGCCGCTACCGCTACCGCTACTGAAAATGTAGCGGCCGCTACATGTAGCGCGCTACTGCCCACCTCTGTCTGTGAGTGTGATTACTGAGGAGGTGCCGTAGGAGGAGCCAGCAGCTCTAGGGGCGTCCTCAGAACAGGTGCTCAGACAGCCACAAGGAAGCATATCGTGCTCCCCTGACCAGCACCTCTCAGAGCTGCTCATCGACACCTCGCACAACGTGCTGGCTCATTCACGCGCCTGTCTCACTCCTGAGAGGTCGTGTACAGTCACGGGTCCCGCAAACTATCTCATTCAACATAACATAACATACCATATTGATCTCGGCGCTGAAGTGTAGGCCTGATGTGGCCTGTCGCCGATTCTTTTCCTTTTCGTGCTTTTTTAACATTTGTTAAAAAAACATTTTAACATTTGTTCTGTAGACCGTCTAATTATTTTGAGGCCACGTTAATTTAAAATTATTTTTGACATGTCCTACTCGTTTCAAACATAGTGTTCACGGTTATCAAAGATATCATAGGAATTGTTTTAACCATAGGCTGTTTTTTTTTATTAATTTGCAGAGAAAGTTTATTTTGAAGTAGAAATGAAGGAATGCCCTTCACAGTGCAAGAGCATTTGAGGCAATTCTGTCATGCCATCACCTGAAGATATTTTCAGTTACTTCGTGAGTATTATTTAAATTTGCATCTATCAGTATGGACGTATAAGAGGCTTTAAAACGTAGTCAACATCCCATAGTTTTTTTGGACCTCTTCATTGATCCTATTATAATAACATGTTTGATTCTGCTGCTTATTCCTATTTGCAAAAAAAATACACAAGGTAGTGAAAAATGTCACTTAATTAACTCGCCCTCATTAATTCTATTTGGAGTCTATGTGTAAATTTATTTTACGAAATCTATTTACCGTTATATCTCATTTACGAAGGAATAGTTAAACATTATTCATCGATTTCAACATTATTTGTTTCCCAATAGCATACATACATGGCCAAAAATCAACATGCATCAGAAAAACACGTATTTCCTTCTAAAATACAGCATAAAACAAGTTGAATGCTGAAACTATTGTGAGGGACTGCATATCGCGCTCCAGTGGCGGTTTCATTTGTTTTAATTAACATAATGCATCTTAAATCAAATAGCAAGTATGCACATTCTATCTTTCGGCTTTTCTAAAGTTGAACTTTCCGCCTATCGTCTTAAAGAATTTTTTTAGCTAGTGTGTTATTCATGGAGATTCAAATGACACAAGGCTCTCAGAAATTGAATGGTGTAGATAAATAGTAAAAGGTATTCGAGTAAAATGGAAACATCTTGTTTGAACTAAATCATGTAAATTGATTCGCCTTCATGGTTTTACAAGAATGGTGCTTTTTATTATGAATATTTAATGAAGCTAATTAGATTTGTTTCCGGATAGGATATTGAGCTTTGTATAAGTAGGACAAAATGAGAAAAACTAAATAATCAATGAATTTTTTGTAATCAAAGAAATGCATGAATGTTACAAAGCAGCTCAGGTGCCACGAACAGCTCGGACTGAGCAAGGCTTGGTCCCGATTGTCTACTGAAGTCAGCTCGGTGCTGGCTTAGTCAAGCTAGGTACACGAAGCTGGGCGTCTTTGTCAGTCATATTAGTACTGAAATACATGATATTCACCGGTTTTCGGTCTAGTCAAGTGAAGTTATTCACATTCATATTCACTGGCTAAGTGCAGTGATACATGAGCATCGCTGGGAGCTGGTCCCGCCGCGTGCAGTGATATATGAGGCTCACTGTGTCGTGGCCTCATGACGAGCGGCGGCCGGACGGCCGAGCCTCTGTTACCTGATGTGGCCCACGAGCCTCTCGTAGCGGCGCCGGGCAACAGATGTGCTGAAGTGCGTCTCACTCACGGCGGCCGCGCCTTCACTAGGCTAGTCACCCCTGGGCCTCGTGACGATGGGTACTGCTCATCAGACTCAACGCCCAAGGGCACAGGTGAGTTTTTCCTATATACGACTCGACGAAAAAGTAGTCCTAAACTGGGTTGTCAGGTGTTTTTTTTCGGAAAAGTTATTTTTCTAAGAAGCCTTTTTTCATAGGCGTTTACCGGAAAAAACTATGTTGGTCTCAAATTTATTTTATTTTGCCTTATGGAATACGAAAAATCGAATTGTTGCACCGAAAATTACAAATATATTAACAACTGTTCAAGTTTGGACGGTTTTGTCGTTTTTTTTTTTGTGAATAATTTTCGCTGTTTCCTCTTGCTAACATCTGGCAACTCCTGAATTCATCGTTCATTCTAAATGCTAAATAACTTGTTTATATTAAAAAATATTATTTATCGGGTTGAGTATGCCCAAAATCTGAAACTAAATTTCGTTTACGACGCGCGCTTAGTGTCAAAGCTATAGCTGTTGGTTAGTCGTATAATTTTATATCGCAATTAGAACATCACATTATCGGTAGTTGGTTGTAAAATTTACGACGCTGTTTGAAGAGCAAACATGTTTGGTGTTCATAAAGTAAGTTTTTACGGCTTGCAATTATTATCATTACACGTGTTGTCAAGAAAGTCGTGGCTAATGTCGTTGAAGAAAATAACCATTCTCCTGATAATTAATTAGCTCACAGTTGTTACGCTTCCGCATGCCAATTATCAGTGATTTGGAAATGAGACGAGCGTCTCTGGCATCAGGAAGTGATCATCATTAGCCGTCAGAAACAAACCTAACAAGTTATGATGTCAAATACTTTTATATTAAATACCTACCATTCTTTCTAGTTACCGCAGTAAACAAAGGCACACAGTTTATCAGCAGCATCACGTCAGACGGGCGGCTAGTCTTTGTTCCTTGACACGAGACAAAGATGCGATAAGCTTTGCTGAACAAAGACAAAAAATCTATACCTTTCTGAAATCGACAGATTATTTTTTAATAAATATTTATAATAAGGTTAGTTGATTAAGTATACTAAATAATTTGTTCTTTGTTGATAAGAATCTCATCAATACAATGAAATATTTTGGTATGAAAAAATATTTTCGCTAAATAATCGATCTCAACGAGATAGTTTAAAGAAAGAAGGAAAGCTATAATGCTGTTCTTCAAAAGGATGAATCACCTCATTAATGTTACTCATATTGAAAGATATTTGTGTAGCATTATGAATATTTTTTTTACGCACAAAATTTACGATTTTTTTTAAACACTAAGTTAAAGAAACAATGCTTAGTCGACCCTAACTTTTCACAAAAATTGCTTATAAATTCTGTTAATAACAGGATCTGAACCCAGCAACAAATAAAACAGACTCAATAGTCCATCTTTTCCTTAAGCTCTGACATTTGACGTCTTTATAATTCAGCTTTGGCGAGCAATTCCTTCACATGAGCTGTCCATTCCACATCGATCACAACGATAAAATGTCTATTGAATAAATGTGCATGAAATCCATGCTGCTTGCGCATTGCGACAAATTGATATCTTATCCGTGGTTTTCTTAATAAATTTAATTGAGCCAGAAATGTTGTTATCTTCCATGTTATTTGTTCTCTTCGAAGCGATAAATTGTAAGAACTTACGCTCGGTGGTCCAAGAATGGAAGTTTCATACATATTATTGTTGATGTGTTCGAAGTTTAGAGTGCAGCGCTCAGTTGGTGTTGATACTTGCGATCTAGCAAACATATGAGCACCTCAAATGCTTATCCCAACGAACGGAAGAGAGCTCAACAATGTCGAAGTAAACTTATGAGGATATTTTCTTACTCATATTCCTTGAACAAGAGAACTTGAAAAACTAAAAATCATATATGCAAACAAAATATCATAAAGCAATAAATGTTTTTGATCATTATAAAATCCTTTACGGATATTTTTGGGATCAGCTCATGCATCGATGAGCGCTATACTTATTATCTTATTTATTAAAACAAATGCTACATATTGTTCCCAAATATTGACGGTAGAACTGCCTGGGATATAGAAATGTCAGAAGTAAAAAAAATATCAAGGTATTTATATATTCGTAGCTAAATTTCATTGCGTAATATTGACCTCAATTATATTAACGGTGAAATCTGTCATCTAAGCTAACATTACCATGCAAACAAAAAAGTTTTCATTGTCTCATAACGAGCTTCGCACGATGCTTTTATCGACGATATACATAGAATGCAGTATCTTCAGAAGTTAAATTTTCTACCTATGTTGAAAGCATAAAAATTCGTCGATACAAATTATACATTTTTACATCGTCTGTCGTGAATAAAATACTTGTAAAGCATTTTATAATAAAGCTACCTTCACCAGGCCAAGCTTGTTCGCAGCTCTAATCGGTTACTCCGCGTGCTGCAGGTAACTCGATTGCTCTCCCATCACAGTAGACCTCAGTATCAACCCATTAAACTGAACTGGTGCGTAGAAGTCAGTATAGTAGCTGCAACGTATCTCAGTATACCGCACGCGGTAATTCAGTCAATAGAACATACAAGCCATCACAGTACATAGACGCTCAGTATCCCCTCATGATATTGGCGGCGGTTGCTGTGTAATAGCTGCATCTTATTTTAGAGTTTAACTTGCGGTCATCCTGTCAATTGGACACGGAAACCATAGCAGTTCCTTGATGCGCATAGCAGATTTATTACAGCTTCTTTAGCTGAGAACGATATTATTAGTTGTAGCTCCTAATGTTCTCATTTCATAATGTCTAGTCCTCTCGCGTCCGCTACCTTAAACCTTTAGCAAGAAGAGATATAAATATTCTTACCCCGTGTATTTTGGTACGTAACCTATGCATCCTTTACAGAACTCAATTTTAAGAAATGTAGCCTCGATTTTGTTATCTTAATTTTATGAACACCTCAGCAGTGTGATGGCTCACTGCTGTCTCTGGGTAGCCTAGGTTGGTCATTCTAGTGCATAGGCATTCTCTCAGTCCAATGTTACAAAATAAAGTAATATTTAGTATTTAATAGGTCGGGTAGGCAGTGGTAGTCAATACACGACAGAAAATAAATGTATGTTATAGAATTTTTTTTTCACCGTAATGAAGAAGCAAACACAATTTTTTCTCATGAACGGGTATGCCAGATGAGCGAAAAATAAAAGGCCCATATTGCTATGCAGAGGCTGGAGCCTGTCAGAGTAGGTGTCAAAATTTCAGGATTCATCGAGAGAATCCGGAAGACGGAAGATACCGAATTCCCCCACGAGTTCGAATTCTAGTGCCACTGCTATATGGGCGCTTCCTCATACGAAAATTATTTTTTTACGACCCGCACTTTTCAAATAAAAAAGATGAGGTGGGTAGTTCGAAGCTTTGGAATTCCTGGGTTACCGCGAGAAGGCCGCGGCTCCATTAGAGATCGGTCGCATGCCATCACATTCTGGCGCTGGTATTTAATTTCAGCCGCCGATATTTCAAGTCTTGCGGGATATTCAAATGCTGCTCAGACTGCCTGCTGCAGTGCGCATGCGTCGTGTGTTCAACCACAATAAGGGAAGATTATAAGAGGTTTTTGAACGATCAATAGCGTGCTGTCAGTAGCAATTCTTTTCCGATTGCAAGTGCCATCAAGGCTTAGAAAAGCTACAGCCAAACAAAGATAAAACTCATTATATTTAATCAATCATACTGCCAATAAATTTCTATCAAATTATAGTGAAATTAATCTAAATGATTTGGCAATAGTGTTAAATGGCCATAGTACCATTATTTGCATTTGATGACAATCGATCGGCTTTATTTAGTTTCATAGCCGGGGGTGATTTCAGCGGGTGGTACGAGTTAGAAGTTTACAAGATTCCTAAAAATAAGAGTTGGAATTGTGCGCCTGAAATATTGTTTAATGATTAACTATGATAATTCTTTCTCAGCATCGATCCAAATGGCATTTGTTGAAATTTGTTCAAACAATTTATTGTACTTATGAGCATCCAGTAAAATTTGCGAACCACCACTGATATAACAAATTACTTTGGATTTTATCAAAATTAATGTGCTACGTTATTTATAATTCATTTTATTTTAGAATATGTTTACTTGCGCGTCTTTTGTGGCTTTGGAGCACGGCTCTGCATATATTGTTGTTATTATAAAAGGATTTTTCGAGCGCGCAACCACATTCTTATTGCACCGGGATTTTATTGTGGGATATTTTATTTATAGAAGTGGAATAATGAGACGTTGCAAAAGGGAGATTGGATAACATAAAGAAATTAAATTTTAATTAAATGGAATTAGATTTCAACTTAAATTTCGAGTTATGCTCGTAATTCTTCGACTACCAAAGCGAATGTTAAATATGGAGCTGCTTTGTTACACGAAGGTTCCGTCATGTTTTTTCTCTAATTTACATTGCATTATTTTTGTTTCATGACAAAAATTGTACAGAATTACAAATATTTAACCGATTAATGCCAGAATTGCCTGCTTCTTATTTCATGCGTTTTGAAGAGGACGCTGATGGGTGAAGTGTCGTCTAATCTTCACGGCCTTGGACGGATAATGTCTTTATGTCATCCAATGCCGTATTGATTTACCCAGTCTTCTGTACCTTACAGGGCGATGTCACTCTGATCTCACTCTCGTCGGACTCACTCCAAGTAAGACCGAGTTTTCATCGCACAAATTATATGCAACGTATTCTGTTTCGTTTTTGGGCTTATAGTTTTCTGAGGTTTCACATCAACTAATCCGTTTATTTTTGAGAAAAAAATAAACATTTGTTCACGCAAATGCGTAAAGGTTCAAATCATTACCTAAGTTTGTAACAATATTGCAGCTGTTGCAATGCTATTTCAGACCAGCGAAGTATTTGCACACAATATTTGGCACCATCATTCCAAGCATTTTATTTTTAAAAACATTTCCTGTTATTTATGTTTTGGATTCAGGAATATGATGAAATACTTCCTGGGAGTGCGCGTCCACTTCACGACGGTTCCTTATGAGAAGACCGTTGCTAGGCAAAATATTGTGCTAGATGCACAATAACTCACGATCGTTTGTCCCGAAGAGAAAATAATAATTTTTATTACCGCTGACATGTATCGTGTTGATATAAAAAGGATAGAACACATCAAACTGGCAACACTTTTGGGTCAGGTCACTTGTCACTGTCGTTATAGCTTTTGACATTTCTGGGACGCTGTCGCGTTGAGAGAATTAACATTTTATTCATCTGAGCTACGCGTAATGCACGCATATTACCTACCTAACTAATGCCTCATTGCTTATCTACATACTGTAGGTAATGTTCCTCAAAAACTTCATTAACTGAGATCAAAAGATGCATCTCGCGGCTGTTAAAATAAGGACTAAATTAATTTCATTAATCATTACCACATTTATGCCTCATTAAGTACTAAATTACCGGCTCAAATCACATTTCGTGTTGAAGCAAATTATGAAAATTTTACACTTTACTCGTCTACATAGGTGTCAAATTTTCTCTCAAACTTCATAAGCTGAGATATGATAACACCAAATCAACCCTTTACAATTAGGACAAAATTGATTGCATAAATCACTATCATATTTTTTCCCTCAATAATTACGATAATACGAGTACATCCTGCAAATATTATCACATTAATTTAAAAAACAAATTATAATATTGAAGTGCGTCTAGCGTTTATCTAATCTTTGAGGAGGTCCCCTCGTGGGAGACAATGAGGAGGCGCAGGCCCTCCATGATTCCCCCATCGAGGCCTCCCCTCACCCCGACATTCTACAAGGCGATGGGAAGGCCTCACCAAACCAGCTGGTGCCCCAGGGGAGCAAGTTGCCCCACACAGCAGCCCCACGTGACGCTGAGGACGGCAGGGAGTCGTGGGGCAAAGGCATGGACTTCCTCCTCTCCATCATCGGCTTCGCGGTAGATCTGGCGAACGTGTGGCGCTTCCCCTTCCTCTGCTACAGAAATGGTGGAGGTACGATAATTAACGCTAAAAATAACTCTAATTTTATTAGTAAACGCCAGTAATGAAAGCGTAGACTCCACTTCCACTTTTTGCTTCACACAGTTGATATTATAAAGGTTGGTTGGTGTTACCTTATTTTATTCTACTAATGAACCACTTCAAAATAATTTATTCGCAGCTTCTGTTTTTCACAATTAGCAGTGTGCTAGCATATAGAGTTTCTTATCAGTTAACCTCAGTGAAGATATTTTCCTGCCATTGCATATTAGGTGCGTGTTGGCAGGTAAAGTTAATCAGAAGTTTACGGCTATGCAACTTCGACTTGAAGTTTTTCGTTCTGCACCTTCACTTCCAGGCGCGTTCCTACTGCCGTATTTTTTAATCACGGTTTTCGGGGCGCTGCCGCTGTTCTTCATGGAGCTCGTGCTGGGCCAGTACAACAGGCAGGGACCCATCACCGTCTGGCGCGTGTGTCCGCTCTTCAGAGGTTCGTTATGTCCATCATTCTAATGCTAGATATTTTAGTATATACGACATATATAACGATCATTGCCAAAGTGTTGATTAGGAAACTCAAATAATGCACGACTAGAACGCTTAATTAGTAACAAAAACGCTTCAACTTGATGTCCAGAACGCTCCATTCCTCACTGAATATTTAGATGTTATGATGGTTAAGCATAGAAGCGCTGATATATTGTAGACGTATTAGCACTAGCACTGACAGCGCGCGCTGCTGCAACGCCCGAACAACATGAGTTTAAAAACACAGGAGTGGGTTACTGCGCGGTCCTTGTAGCGTACTTCGTTAGTTTCTACTACAACGTGATCATTGCGTGGGCCCTGCACTTTGTGTATGCCTCCTTCACGTACGAGCTGCCCTGGACCAACTGCAACCACACGTGGAACACGCCCAACTGCTGGGACGGCGTCACCTCCGAGGGGCCAAGACCTAACGACACCAACATGACATCGCCTTCAGAAGAGTACTTCAAGTTAGTGGCTCTTTCTTAAGGAACGGTGGTCTTTTCTGATCACAATCAGTGCGTTACTCTAGAAAGTACCTGGTCTAAGTGTTACGTTACAATGGCAGAGAGTGGCTTCGTGATTTAGATTCCCTACGCGGACTGCAAGGCCGTTAATTTGTGATTTTATTTTTACAGTTTGGTTGTGCTGCAAATGGACAAAAGTCTAGGGTTTGATGACCTGGGGCCGCCCCAGGCGGGCCTCATCGTTTGTGGGTTCATCACTTACGTCATACTATATCTCTCACTTTTCAAGGGAGTCAAGTCATCAGGTATTTCAATTTTTAAATTGATATATTATAAGTAAGGTCTTAGAAATATCAAATTAAATTGTTATAAATGCTTTGAAACAGCAAGACATTTCTAGCACTACCGCTCGTTGTTAGAAATGTCAAGATTCTGTACAGTGATATCATTTCTAATAAAGAAGCTAATGGGTTGCTGGATGCGCAGGCAAAGTGGTGTGGGTGACAGCCACCATGCCATATGTCATCCTCACGTTACTGCTCATCCGCGGCGCCATCCTCCCTGGCGCGGCTGACGGGATCATCTACTACCTGAAGCCATCCATCTCAGCCTTACTCAACTACCAGGTCCTACAGTGCACGCCATGGGGACTTTATTTGTTTTCCTGATAAGTTTGGTTGTTTAAAATTACTCATAGTACTTCTAATTATTTTCTTTATTACCTTATGAGTATGATTTACTCGTTACCTCGTTTGAATTACTCGTTATTGAACGTTATCACCTCACAACCACTTAGGCTGCGAATCGATTGACGCCATTGATCCCTATTGATGCATCATTAATACTCCAACTGATGCCATTGATCACTATTGATGCATCATTAATACTCCAACTGATGCCACTGATCCCATATTGATGCATCCTTAATACTCCAACAGATGCCACTGATCCCATATTGATGCATCATTAATACTCCAACAGATGCCATTGATCACTATTGATGCATCCTTAATACTCCAACAGATGCCACTGATCCCATATTGATGCATCATTAATACTCCAACAGATGCCATTGATCACTATTGATGCAACATTTATACTCCAACATATGCAATTGATCAATAAGATGCATCTCGCGATTCTTCTAACTCCCAGCGATCAAGGTTCCATCAGAGTATCGAGCGAAACAAAGTATTGAAGTACAGGCTATATTTAGAACTGGTACAATTTAACATATTTATTTTTGAACTTATATGCCGTAGTATATCACGAAAATCTATGAAATTATTTAATGAAATTTCCAATTCTACTTAAAAAGTGAAAAAAATGTTCTCGCACATTGCAGCTAAGGCACTTTCTTCCTAGTCGATCCTTACATCGAAGAAGTTTAAAAATTCACGACAGTAACTGAAATATTTAGTATTTTTCATCGCCTCTAAATTAGAGTCCAGGTAATAATTCATTTGTGAAATTTGGATTGATTTTAAAAAGTGAACAAGTGAATACGGCTCTCACGGCTCAACGTACGGCTCGGATGTGTCTTCTCAGTTCTGGGAGCTGTAGACTCGAAATTAGATCAAATCAATTAATTTCGTTTTGCAAGAGGCTGAGCGCTACTTTCTCATCAGAAAAATAATAAAAAGGCGCAAATGCCCTTATTTTAGCAGTATGGCTGATTTATTTTTTATAATTTTTCCATTCACTTTGTTGTCCAGTACGATTTTTTTCTAACATTAATTTTATAATTAAATCACAAGTGGTTTCTGTCGAAGAATGAAACATTATTCCCGAAACATTTGCTTATTGAAGCTAAAAACACGTAGTTTTCAAAAAAATTCGAAAAAGTTTACTGCGTCTTTAAATTGATAATGAAAATGCCATTTACATTTGTGAAGATACGAAACAAATATTTTTACATTATTGAAGTTCTTCTCCAGGGAAAATAAAAACGATAAACTCTTCATTAAAGTTTGTAATCAAAGCTCACGCCATGAATACAGGCATTAATGACATAATTAGCATTAAAACAATGCGCTCTGCTGAAGAATGTTCCATCGTGACCCCAAAGCTTGACCACATCCACCTGCTGCTATTAATTAAGGTCACTCGGCCTCGTTTGTTCGGGTGCAGCTGCAGTTCGGTAATTTGCCCGCAAGCTGACACACTTGTTGCCCTGGTGCAGCCGAGGAACACTTGTTTCTTGTGTCAGCGTCAGTAACTTAATATCAGTGACTTAATAATAATATCAGTGACTGGCTAACGATTCGTTCGGCCTCATATCGGCCTTTCGGTAATATATTTAAAAAGCTTACTGGCTAACGATGCGTTCGTATATTTCTCCGTTGTGCCACCCCAAAACCATACCCTGTGAATGAGTGTTCACAATTAATGCACGAATTTACCGCGCTAAATGATGGCGAAATCGTGTGTTTATAGAATGAGCGTTAAATATTTTGAAAAAAATGAAGAAGCTGCTAACGTACGTTATTTACGAATCTGTGAAAGTTCAGCACAAACGTTAGAAAAATCATGCTTTTTATTTGAAAAAAAAATTAGGTTATGATTGCATCCAGACCCCGTGATGACGCCGTAGCTCATGCACAGCTGTTACTCTCAGTGAATTGCGTCATTGCCTACGTCTTGCTTCGTCATGTGGTGACGTCATGCCTTCTGATGCGGGCTCACATAACATCAGAACTTTGGCATTCTGGCTTCCGAAATAATGCAAAATAACGCAATTAATTGATTAACGATAATGGCATTACGCAGTACTTAATGAGTTTGTAATGCATAAAATCCTAAGACGTGACATGTTTTTAAAATTAATAGTTCCGTATCAGTCTTAATATGATGAGGACATGGTCGACTTCGCTGTCACTGAGGGAAGGGGTTGCGTTGTGCAGGTGTGGTACGAGGCTGCGGTACAGGTGTTCTTTTCAGTGGGTGCAGGATTTGGCGTGCACTTGTCGTACGCGTCGTACAACACCTTCAGCAACAACTGCTACAGGGACTGTCTCATCACCAGCCTTGTGAACGCCTTCACCAGCTTCTACTCCGGGCTTGTGATCTTCACTTACCTCGGCTACATGGCCTTCAAGCAGAAGATGCACATCTCTACAGTCGCGACGGATGGTGGGTTGGCTTCGATGACACCTTTGGTGAAATTAATGTTGTACGAAATGATATTATTCTTAATGCCATTCATGGTATTATACGAGTACAAATCCTAATTAATAGTTAGTTTCACTTGATTCGGAGGAAATTTACCAGTAAGAGATGTCCATCGCCACTGATGAGGAGTGAATTTTTAATATGAAGGTAATGCTGTACCTAGGACAAATAATTGACTTGTTTAAATAATTGACTTGTAGCATCATGAACAATATATTAATTTATTCGTCTTGAATTCACATAATTTTGATATGGTATCACGCTATCTGAATATGCATAATAATTGTACTTTGGTCAGGTGCCACTGATCCCGTTTGCATGGCAATTATTTGGTGCACGTTATTTTAGCTAATTGTAGCTACACAGATTTACCGTCATTGGGCTGAAAGCATGGAGCCATGTCCTTAATCCTGGAGCCATGTCCTTAATCCTGGAGCCATGTCCTTAATCCTGGAGCCATGTCCTTAATCTTAATCGTGGAGCCATATCCTTAATCGTGGAGCCATATCCTCAATCGTGGAGCCATATCCTTAGTCATGGAGCCATATCCTCAATCGTGGAGCCATATCCTTAATTGTTGAGCCATATCCTTAATCGTGGTCCCAAATCGTGGTGATGTGGTGCCTACCAAACACTTACCTCACCACAGCACAATTTATCGTTCAGCACGAGCTGGCTGGGTAGTGACCTAACAGTCGTACGTCATATGTCTCATTCATAATGATTTTATGGCTATGCCGTATGGTATGGTTACATTCACATTGTGTTCATGGCGAGGAAGGTGTGACTTACAAGCGTGCAGCGTAGCTTCATCTTATTATTGAAAGCGAATTACATATATGAGATCAGTGACGTAGCTGAGGTGGTTTGCAGGTCCAGGGCTGGTGTTCCAAGTTTATCCTGAGGCGGTCGCCACGCTGCCCTTCTCTCAATTCTGGTCCATACTCTTCTTCCTCATGCTCATCATGCTTGGGCTTGACTCCGGGGTGAGGATAATGAATAAACATGTTTCAATAATGAATTAGGCTTCTATCATAGCTGATGACATTAAATAATTTTTTTCAAACATAAAATAAGGTGTTCAAGATTTCAGCATCAGAAATGTGGGTTACTACTCATTGTAAGCTTGAAATGTTGCAATCAGGTTCTGCTTGAAGGATCTTTATTAATCTACGTACAATGTTCTGCACAAACCAGTCAAATTTAAGAACTTTCTTCCTTCAGCTATCTTTGCCTCAGGCTCAAGGCCTTGTTTCTTTTCAACCATAGAGCTCATTATAAAACAGAATTTATTAACTTAATTAATTAATTAAAATTAATTACTAAATAGTTCAGTGATAAGTTATCTTTGATGCAGATGGGCGGTCTAGAGTGCGTGATCACTGGGCTGCTGGACGAGCTCAGGGAAACGTTCGGGCGCAAGGTGATCAGGCGGGAGGTCTTTACTGCCATCGTCGTCGCCTCGTCCTTCCTGGTGTCCATCGGCAACTTCTGCCAGGTAAACACGGATCCTGGTGTCCATCGGTAACTTCTGCCAGGTACACTCGGGTCCTGGTGTCCATCGGCAACTTCTGCCAGGTAAACTCGGGTCCTGGTGTCCATCGGCAACTTCTGCCAGGTAAACTCGGGTCCTGGTGTCCATCGGCAACTTCTACCAGATACACTCGGGCCCTGGTGTCCATCGGCAACTTCTGCCAGGTACACTCGGGTCCTGGTGTCCATCGGCAACTTCTGCCAGGTAAACTCGCTTGAAATTTCGGGATGATAGCCCATTCTGTAATGGGCTATCGTTTGAGAAATTGTGGAATGCTTCAGAATACGTAGTAGCTGTAGTTGTACGATGCAAAGTTGCATTTGATATTTTTTCTTTCATGCATTATATCTCAACAAAACTCCAAGATGAAATCGGCATTCTGCATGGTTAGTTTTCTAAAGTGATAATTAGAACAGGCAAAGCAGCTAACGAAGCAGCTAAGTCGATATTGGTGATATAGATTTACCAAGATTATTGTAGTGACTATTAGAGACTGTCTTGCATGAGGAATAAGGTACCGTTAGCAATTTTACTAATGAATTTTATTGCACGTGTTCAACTGAAGCATTACAGCAATGCAATCAGTCTACATGTCATCTTATCTGCAATTTCTTGATTATAGAGAACACGGCGGCAGGTCCAGTCCTGTCCGTCCTTATTTCAGGGAATTATGCGCTGTTGGAGGGCGTCTCTTATCTGACAGATACTATATAAGAATTAGATTATATTTTACTGGCCCTGAATGATTTTCTACAGGGTGGAATGTACATGTTCCATTGGCTGGACACTTACGCTGCCGGCGTGTCGCTCCTCTCATCAGCGTTATTCGAGAGCATCGGCGTCGCCTGGTTTTATGGTAATTTCACAATATTCTCCGGATATAATTTTCATTTTCCATTGTGAATCAATAGCTGGTGCATGGATGCAGAAAAGAAAATATCTGTTGTGCTTGGTGGGAAAACTATATTTACTTTTCATGACCATTTATTACTATTATTACCATTATTATATTTATTAACATTTGCATAGGGTCAAATGTAAGTAATTTTTCTATTTGATACATAATAGGTCAAGCAAGGTTCAATAATCAGAGAAGGTAAACTTGATTTGATTTTCGGGTACGCTTCTTGACTTTCCGTAAATAACGTTCAATGGCCAATGTTCAGGCTTGTTTGCGGATTATGGCAACTTTATTATTCAATAATTTAAATAGGCCTTAGTCAAGACTTCAATAAAGATTACAAGCCACCAAGCATCAAAAGTAAGTCTTCTTACGCAAGCATAAAATTTAAAGAGTTTCGTTAAATTGCAAAGATAGGGTTTCGCTGAGACTTGAGTCTCAGCGAAACCTGGCTCCGACACCTCCCAATTGAAGGTTTTCTCCAAACTTGAGTTTATGGTGAGCCTTCGATAAATCCTACCTAAATAATTCACGAGAAACACATAATTAGATGTATCCTGCTAAAATCGCATTCACACAAAATTATAAAGCAGTAGTATTATATTAGTTTAAGCAAGGATTAGGAGCCTGTAGTTTGCTGGCGATGCGTAGGCAAAGCGTCAGGTCACAGGTGATATAGAAGATGTTGGTAGGTCGGCTGCCGATATATGTAAATCTAAGCCAAATTGGAGGTGCGCTGCTTCGTCACCTGGCACCAAGTGAAGACAGTAATGCTTTCGTAAGTGGTAATATTTTACAAAAAATTCAGTCGAAAAGCAACTGCAATCTTAATTTAGAATTTGAGCCTCTAACTACTGACAGGACTGTCATTCTAATGATCAGACATTTCATATGGATAGAATTGCGACGGTTGCTGCACGCAAGGACAAACGGGCTAAAATCTGGTGACTTGTGCAGGCTTGGACCGCTTTACCGCAGACATCCGCCACATGCTTGGGTTCCAGCCAAGTCTCTACTGGATTATTTGTTGGAAGTTTATCTCACCGCTATTCATTTTAATTACGGTCAGTTTTGGTGTGAAGAATTAATTGGCTTATTCAATAAACCCATTTCCGTTATGAATGACCTCACTCATGGTGCATAAAAGCTTGAGCAACCAAGAGTCTATAAGGTGTTGTTTAAAAAAAATATTATTCTTTATCTGCAGATAATGAGAAATGAACATACAAATTTGAGGCAAGTCTAGAAAGTGACTTGATGCAAGCATAACAACTTTATCATATGATGAAAAATTTCTTCTAGATTCTGATGGGAGTTTGGTCGATGGCGACGAACGCTCTGGAGTACCACGGACTGGTGCTGTACGTTTACCCAGGCTGGGCAGAAGCCATTGGTTGGTGCATCACTGCTTCTTCGATGCTCATGATCCCTCTTTGGATGTTCATCTCTGTGTTCCGACAGCCACACAGCTCACTCAAGGAGGTACGTTCTATTGCAGTCACCCTTACTAAGAATCTCGCACAAAACTCAGTAGACCTCACTAAAAGAGAAAGCATTCGCCGTCGCCCATATTAGGACTCTTACAGAAAACTAAGGCAGCATCTCTCATTATCACGCTCATAGAAAATTATTGTATTCACCCAGACGAGAACTCTTTTCTTAGACTACTTTAGTCACCTTAACTATTACGCGGAAAAGAAAATGAATGCAGTCCCTCTTTCTAGAACTCAAACAGAAAACTATTGCAGTCACCCATTCTAAGACTCTCACAGAAAACAACTTCATTATCATCGCATTTATGGTCGTGTAAAATAATTCGATTTGATGCGAAAGTGACGTAATAAAACCTTAGTTTGCAGTGAAATGAACACTGCTGCCCACTAATACTAATTCATTTGAGTTTTTACGTGTTTAGAATCCGATTGCAAAATGAATAGTAACTAATTAAATTGTTCCACCATATTGCCAGAAAAAATGCCGCTGGGGCAGGCCTAATTGCTTTTCAGATATGAATAAAAAATTTCCCCGACTTTAATTTCTGCCAATATACGGTACCGCACTAGTATAAATTCTGACTTTTTAATGCATCGATAGATGAGATTTATGTACATTACCACAGCGAGATTTATGTACATTAATGAGATTTATGTACATTACCACAGCGAAACAATTGAAATTCAACTTTTAATGTCAACTAATTAGTGAGGATCGGATCAGCATCGTTGATTTCAGAAGCTTCTAAAATCCTGTTGTAATTTCGCAACAATGCAATAATTTGCTAGTATCTATTGGTACAAGGGATATAGGACGCAAACAAGGGATATAGGATATACGTGTAAATTAATTGATCTATTCGTTGCAGAAATTCCGCGCCGCCATCGTACCGCAGGAGAAGAAGGTGTGGAGGTCAGCCTCAGCCGCGGCCACTCCAGCGTTGTCTGAATGATCGCCCAATGAATCTATTTCTTGTCAATCTAATGGAAAATAACATTAAATTACATTACATAACATTAAATAAGAATTAGCAGTTATGCTAAAATTATTATGTAGTTTTGATCGGTAATAAAAATTATTTTCACGACTCAAAAGTTTTGTCATGCATGTGAAGTGGACAAAACTTACGTGTGGGTTGATCGGTATTTTTGCACCCGTATTATTTCTCATAAGTTACAGCAAATGCTCAGGGGAAAAATGTATTATGTTTATGATTACCATGATTTAGAATTCATACATGTCAATGAGTCGATGAGTCTGTAATATAGAATGATATTCTCTTTCTTTAGATTTTGGCTGCATGTCTCATAGTTTTATAATACCTCGAAACTGATGTGGGGATTAAATGTAACGATTGTGCCTCGCACAGAACATTCCATCTCTCACCCAATCGTCTGTTCTTTATGATAGAAATAATAACAAGCCTGTTCATGCACCTCGTTCGTATGGTAATCTATGGTTGGTTATTCTTCGATATAATAGCAAAATATGAACTTATAAACTACGATGTCAGATCGGTACATCTGACAATTGTAAACACTCACTGGATTTCCGTGAATTATCACATTTAAGCAGCGCGCTGTGAATCTTTCCGAAAACTTAGGATTGCGTACATGTAGTAGACGAATATCTCTTGATGAGTAATAAGGTAAAATTACTTATTCTGAAGTAATTTATTGCAGCACTGAATATACGCGAGGAAATACTGTAAATGTAAATTAATCGTCGATTGCAGAAAACAAGTAGAAGTTGCAGTTAATAAAGAATTAATGGCGCGTGAAGTAAACTTGACTGTCGTTTAATAAGTGCATTGCGAAAAGCTAGGGAACAAACGAGAACCCTGCGTTGCTTTCTCTGGAAATGCCCGCTCAGTTTTAGGAACTGTTTCTTAACCCAGGGAACAAGTTGCACTGCGGTTCCCTGTAGTATATATAATAGATAACAAATAAAAGAACCTATGTAAACTGTTGTCTAAACATGTACTGCGAATGCCGTGCAGAATTCAGTGTAATGAAGAAGTCACGACAGTTCTCCCTAGCATGTATTTCGTTGCTCGATATTATACGCATGCTATTGTATAGCAACAGCTTTAGCCTTGTCGAAACAGTATATTCTCATGCATGAACAATACAATATATACATGTTCTGCATCGCCCAGAACTGCAAAACTATCGTTATTGGGGAATGTGCATCAGGAATTAGAAGTGTTTGTTCCGGGGTTTCTTTTATTAATAGCGTTGTAATAATACAGTATTTGCTGTTCATTAATTCAATTATTTGACTCGATAAAGCATATTAAATTCTCCGTTAATGGAGTGACAGCTCAATGAAGTCATAAAATTTAACGAACATTATTGCTGCATATATTTCTGCATGGTCTTCAAGTAATATATTTTTATGGTTTTGGAAAAATTATTAAGACAGCCAATACCCGACAGTCCGTCTTTGTATAGGCGCAATCTAATTTTAAATATTTATGGCTCGTCGAAATGTTATTCTTAAATGTTGTACTCTGTGCCTAAAATTTATGATGTTCAATTTCGACAATGTAGACAGCACAAATTGTTCTTCGGTGTTTTATGCGCTCATAATGCTAGGTGACAGCTGCATGATTGTTACGTCGGAAAATTGATGGAAGTAGATCGACGCACTTCTGTGATATCGCAGCCATGATATTACAGAAAGTGCAATGTGTTAGCTAAAGATATTTAATTAAATATTAAGATTATAAAGAGGGATATAAAGCTGTTGTAGAGCAACAATGCTTCTTAATGTAAAGAATTTATGTGATGTTAGCCTAGCGCTATCGTGGAGTTTTCAAGTGTCAAATGATGTTCACAAAAGTCGCGTTAAGGTGCTTCTTGATGTGTACATGTTAAACTTAATATTTTCTCGTTGCTGCAAAGTTTTGAGAGCTATGGGAAATAATCATGAAATAAGAACATAGTTAATTATCCATGAAATTCTTACACAAAATGAAGTATTGAGGTCGTACGACACTTTTCGTTTTCATCACAATTATAATTAGTCAAATATTGAAATTTATTTAAACCTTATTTTCTAATCCGATCTTGTCTTCCTTACGAGGTTTATGACCAAATAACAAGAATATTGGCTTTTATAATGCACAATAATATTTATGTTTTGAAAGCAGGCTTATGTAAGCAAATTGTTAAGGTGCTATCATCCGTGTTGTACTTAGTTCTTCTTCATGTTCTATAGTTCTTCAAGTTCTATACTTCTTCAAGTTCTACCTCCTTACGTATATTGATTCTCTGGACGAAGAGATCAGTTCAATTCAAGCGCGGGGAAATATTCTAACTATTTTATCTCATGCGCGTTGTTGTGGCAATTCAATGGTTCGGTGACCAGCCATGCACCGCATCACTGATTGCTCTCGGTGTTTATCGTTAGAAATATTTTTTGTTGGCAATGAGTGGAAATCTCAAATTTATAATATTTTAATACGCACTTAAAACTCCAAATATCGCTAGTACTTTAAAACCATGGCACTGGAGGTCAATTGATTCCAGATATTGAATTTCTAAGCGCAAATTAAGTCGCATATTTTGCATTTTTTGTTCCAGAACATTGATGAGATAAGGCGCAATTCAGTTGATAAAAGACACGTCCAGCTCATCAAGCTTGAGTTAGTCATTTCTTTGTCATATGAATATAATATTATGAAATTAATTATGAATTAGTTCTGTCGGGGAAAAATAAAATTCAAAAAGAGTTCAACAGGAAACTAATTGAAAGTTATTATTTTCCTTAGGATCAGTAAATCTGAAATTGGACATAATAAAATGATACTAAATCATTACATATATGTATCGAATAATTAATAAATCGTCAATTTTTAACCGATAATTATTTGTAACGCATTTTCTTACATTTCTTCTTATTTACTTTTGATGCTGTAAGTCCAAATGAAATTTTCATGGTGCAGTTTGTTTCATTGCCTTATATATATGGTTGAAGATGTCCGAGCATGTTTGTAAGAAAATAATTTGGATACTTACATCTAAAATTGCCCAAGAATTTGATGCAAGTAAAATACCAAATTAGATATCTAAAATTGCCGTTGAAAACGTTACAAGCTCCACCTTAAGATAAGGAAATTCAGGTATATTTCACAATTTCAGATGTATATAATTTTTTTAATATAGGAACATAGTAACGTCAAATACATATGATCTGTTCACAATTTTAAGTGAATAGAGAGTAAAAATATAACTCAGTACTCACTGCAGTGAGTGACTGAGGGCGCATTTTCTCGTCGACAAAAACTTGAGGCCACGGACAGACGGACGGACAGACAGACAGACAGACAGACAGACGGACGGACGGACGGACATGGCAAGCACAATAGTGCATTTTTTCCATAAATGAGAAAATGCGCTAAAAATAGAAGACATTTTTTTCGCCAATTTTTTACTAAATATTTAATGATTCAAAAATCCTCACAACTGAAGCAGTAGAAATATAAGACTAAATTTCTAAAACGGATGTCGAATATTGGTGCATCGTAAATGTGAAAGCAAACGCGCACAACAAAATCTGGAGGATACGCTAGTAGCTTCCCAGCACAATTAATCGTGAAAAAACACTGCTTTTCACATCAGAGTTTTCGGAAAATCTCTGATGATGGAGGGTGTGAAATTAGATAGAAAAATTAGGAAATGTTTCAGGTGATAAATTGGCACCGACTACGTGATAGAAGTTAAGTATTGCAGCAGCACCTCTTCAGGATAACGTGATGGCAGCTCAGTGTTGCAGCAGCACCTCTTCAGGATAACGTGATGGCAGCTCAGTGTTGCAGCAGCACCTCTTCAGGATAACGTGATGGCAGCTCAGTGTTGCAGCAGCACCTCTTCAGGATAACGTGATGGCAGCTCACTGTTGCAGCAGTCCCCCTTCAGGACAACGCTATTGCAATGAAGCCTCAGTGTCGCTGCGGCAGTGGTGAGAGGAGGATGGTTGGGACGTCCGAGTCGCAAGACAAGGCTGCTCAATTTGCCAGCAAACTCGCCAAGTTTGAACTGTTGAGGTAAGCGTTAATATCAGTGCGTTCATAAAACATGTTGTAGTGACAGAAAAATGTATTCATTATTTCCAGAAAATGTGAAATGGTTTTTATTTATTTCTTGTTTAGGTTCGGGAACGCTTGAAAAGAAGTTCTCTTTAGAGACCGCCATAGGTGACTGGCGAGCCCTTGAATGAATAGCGATAGAGCTTCTAGCTCGCGGCGTCTGCAGTGTTGCAAACGTTATCAGGTTATCTTAAATATCAGGTGGTCTTGAAGATCAGGTTATCCTAAATGACAGATCATTTTCTATATCAAGATATCTCTCATTATAATGCTATCTTACGAAATCAGCTTATCTCTCAATATCAGCTAGGTTATCTTACAATATCAAATTGACGCACAATATCTGTGCATCCATGCACTATTTCCCTGAAGGCATGAAATATTCAAATGATTATCGGTGAAATGTATGAAAATTCAGAAAGGATGTTGTAAATGAGATATTGTAGTAAACAAAAGGACCTTTTCTTTATATTCAATATAGAAAGTCTTTTTAAATTTTTCCTGTCCTGGCCGCAGTGACTTGAGAACATCAACTTATGCATGCGAAATGAAGCTCTGGTTAAAATTCAGTAAATATTAATACTCATAAGCAACCTCGTTCAAAATTAGATTCATGTCGGATTTCCCTCAAATTTTATGATGAATAATTAATTACAGAAGTTTTAAAATCTTCTCCTCATAATGCTGTTAGTACTGAACGTTTTATTCTCAGAGAATCTAATTTAATGCTGAACCGAAGCGCGAAAAAACTAGTTTTTGATCGATGAATTATATAATAAAATAAAAATCAGTACTCACTGCAGCGAGTGACAGAGAGCGCATTTTCTCGTCGACGAAAACTTGAGGTCACGGACAGACGGACAGACAGACAGACAGACAGACGGACATGGCGAGCACAATAGTGCATTTTTTTCATAAATGAGAAAATGCGCTAAAATAGAATTTCTCATGGTGGCATATAAAAAGTCTGCGGATAATACATCAAACATTTAACTAACTATTTCGATAAATGTTACTAACCATCTCGTGTAGGACTGCCCGCCTGCTCCTGGGAGGTTCAGTTCATTTCTTACGTTTGGCACAAACTGAAAAAATGAACCTAATTCGACCTAACGAATTTTCGTTTATATTTTTCATTCATGTTATCTGTCATCAATTAATTCGATTTTGATGCATTAGAGAAAAAATCTATCCAAACTTATAAACTATTTCTTCCTCTTATTTTTATGGTTGAATAGTGAATAATATTTCAGGACAATGTATGCAAGGCATTATTGTCTTTAGAGCAGCGTGAAGTATCGTCATAATTAACTCGCTTATCTCTTTATCTAGCTGATTTGCGAAGACACTAATCTCGCCCCAAACGTGCATCAAGCTAAATTATTTATATACTTTGCTAATTTAATGTGTTGAAAAGGAGGTTCTCCGAGCTTAAGACATCAAACACTTCACATTCTTGGAGTGAAGTCCCATTGCGCGCAGGAGGTGCATTCCTTTCAGAGTCCGTAGTCTTTCTGTTGACTATAAACGGAAGTTTCTAATAATTCTGGAAGCACGATAAATATCCAATCGACTTACTATACAAAATACATTTCATTGCTTTTTGGATCAGTTTCCAAAGATGCAGCAAATTTAACTCCACAACTAATTTCTTCAAATCAAACGTGGAAGGGTTAAAATTCGCCACTTGTCCTTTTTTGTCATAACACAGCATTTTGTTCACTTATTCACAATATTTATATGGAATAAAGTTTTTTATTTGTTTGAAATGCGTCACTTTGTACGTAAATATTCAAGCTCATAATACTCTTGTCTCTCAAGCACAGTTTTTATCCATAATTATTGTTTTATTTGAAACTGCGAGAAAGTTTTAATTTAAAAATGGCCGTATTGTTTAAAGAATTCTGTACAATCCATATGTAAATCATTTGTATAGCAGGTATAAGAATTTTAGGCGGTTTCTTTTTCATTGGTGTGGCTGAAACAAGAGGACATCTAAACAGTCGAGGACGTTCAATATTTAGCTGCAGAATGTATATGGATGCTTCAGAAGCTTTACATCTCTTTGAGCTTTGGCGTCTGATTGTTGGTCGTTCTCGGTGGCTAATCAACACGTTAGTCTACGAGGCTTCCTAGCCTGCGTTTCGATCAGAGATCACTTAATTAGCCTTCCATTGATTGCAGTTTGTTTCAGCTTTAGTTCATCGTCGAACCAATTAGTAATTCTTTGTGGACATTGTTGCAGAGGATACCGTTGGAAAATCAATCAATTTGTGAAAATAATTTCAGGCTTCAGAATGCTCAAGGTTATTTAAAAAAATGCCTATCAACGCAAATATAGTGAATTTTCAGGGAATTTTAGATATTCTATTGTAACGCAAAGGGGGTTTTCTAATTTTATTTGGGATTAAGAATGAATTCCGTGGTATTTAAGGATTTAGCTCAATAACCTAAAAACTAGTTGAAAATTTATAGTTGAAATGCTGGGTACAATATCAGAGGTTGTTCTCACTTTCACGGGAGTTGTTTGCTAGATTAAACTTTCAAGATTTTTGGAATCATTTTATATAGAACAGTAACAATCATGATTTCTCTATGAATTCTTAAACACAGAGGCACTATTATAATATGAAAATTATAAAATATTATTGATGTGTTCAAGATTATTCCATGATCAACGAGCGACAGCAACGTAAAACTGTCGATGAGCCAACATCAAAGTTGTAGTAATTATGTTCACCCACACAAACATCGAAACTCAGTATCGACGCGCGCATCGTGGGTGATAAATGCAGACGAGCTCATCGAGCGTCAGGTGTCGAGAGCGAGTTGAATGTACAAGTGAAGGTAGAAAAACTCACTTAATGACAATCAGACGTCGGGACGAGTACACTGTACAGTTGAAGGTAGAAAAACTGACTTGATGACCGTCAGACGTCGGGACGAGTACACTGTACAGTTGAAAGTAGAAAAACTCACTAAATGACCGTCAAACGTCGGGACGAGTACGCTGTACAGTTGAAAGTAGAAAAACTCGCTTAATGACTGTCAAACGTCGGGACGAGTACGCTGTACAGTTGAAAGTAGAAAAACTCATTTAATGACCGTCAGGCGTCGGGACGAGTACACTGTACAGTTGAAAGTAGAAAAACTGACTTGATGACCATCAAACTTCGGGGGCGAGTTGACTGTACAGTTGAAAGTCGAAAAACTCACACAATGACCGTCAAACGTCGGGACGAGTAGACTGTACAGGTGAAAGTAGAAAAACTCACACAATGACCGTCAAACGTCGGGACGAGTAGACTGTACAGGTGAAAGTAGAAAAACTCACACAATGACCGTCAAACGTCGGGACGAGTAGACTGTACAGTTGAAAGTAGAAAAACTGACTTGATGACCATCAACTTCGGGGGCGAGTTGACTCTTAGGTTTAAAGCAGTAAGACTGGCTTATTGACCGCCAGGCGTCGGGGGTGAGTTGACTGTGGAGTTGAAGGTCGTAATAATTCACCGGGCGCGCTAGGCTAAAAGCTCACCTCGAGGCCTGCCTTCGGTAGGACCTTGACCTGCCTGACGTGGCCCAACCAATTACAGATTAGAAGCTTGTCAGATTTTCTGAGCTATAATTAATACAGCTGTATTATTGTTCATGCCTATCACATTTGGGTGAATATTAATTCGTATATTTTATGCTTGAAAGTCTTTTGTCGGAATATATTAATGCAATAATACACACTGGATTGCAAATCAATGATGCTCCGCGCCATTCGATGATTACCATTTGCTCTTCTTTATCATTTGAGGGTCTCCCTAAATTTTCTTATCTCCCCTGTCGTGAAAGTTAGGGTATAATGGTAAGGAATATCATTATTATTTCTCATTGTTTATGATTATGTCGATTTGATTCTGACAAACCATACCGCTCGGCAGCTAAGAGCTAAGAATGATGGTTCTAAGACTAAGCCGGGCTTCAAAGAGTGGCCGGGTCCGGTGATAATATTGTGGCTGTAGGTCACCGCACTGAAAATACGAGGTCAGAATCGCTCAAAATAGCCTGTGAGACGCAACCCTGCAGATCAGGACCCTTCTGCCTGGTGTTTCAGCAGCCCGCACACTACAGTAAAGGGTCTCTGCAACGCTGGATCCTTCAGCCTTGCGTTTTAGCAGCATCGCACTCTTCAGTCAAGCGTCCCCGCATTGCCAGACCCTTCACCTGAGTGCTACTAACAGATCGGGCTCAACCGTTAAGCGACCCTGCAAAACTGGGCCATTCGTATCGGCTTGGAACCGCGAATATGGCACTGCTTTTTGCATGTTGAGGTCGCGGTTGAGTGGTGCTGCAACTTGTGTCGTCAGGTCTGGTTCGTGAGATATTGTGTAAGATGTCGCGAATCTGTCATGATTTTATATATACTGCCTTTAGTGCCGCGGTAATGGCTATTAATTTGTAACACGGTTGGTAATGAAAATACTCAATTTGCCATAAGTATTCCTCTATTATTATTATTATTATTAGAATTGTTGCTAATATTATCATTATAACATGACTTATCAATGCTAAAGTTATGAGTTTTTACACGGTTACACTAAAAAATACTAGAAGATCTAATTAGGACGCAACGCTAATTAGTGTTATTTGCAGCGCTATAGCCACAACTGGTCGGCTGAATTAGGCTGCTCCTGGTCTCTGCTCGTCTCTGTAATTACGACATATTTCTCGCTGGTATTAGGAACAGGGCTTACGGGGGCTGAGTGCTGGATATTTTTATTAGAGGAGTACGAGGTTGCCATTTATGGCATGAGTTGTAGCCGACACTCTCATGTCCCCCTCCCGTGCACCGGGTGACGGGTGGATAACATCTATAAGTTGCATTAAAAATGGTTGTGCGAAAATCAACTAACTTTATTTGCAGGCGATGATCGCATAAATTCTATAATTTACTAATCATATCATGG